AGACCGCGTCACAGGAGGAAGATAAGCCGATAATCCAGATAGAACAGAGAGGTTATCATACGGAATAGGAATGGTGTCAGACGAGATTGATGCTAGGTCAAATGGCGCCAGAAACAAGTGAGACAGCCATTGAAGGATAACATATCTCTCTTCCCACGTCAATGGTAGTCCTTGGCCAGTAGATGACGCAGCCGCATCGTTATCCGCAACCACGCTATCCCAGTCGATGAAGGCGCGAAGAATAGGCTCAAGATACTTTGGCTCATTGTTGAGGAACCTAGTAATGACTTTCACGCCACGAACTTTGCATAGAACGTAGATGAGTTTGCAAATAGCTCGAGGAAGCGGCTCCACGGCTCCATTTTTAGGGATAGTGACAGCCGCAGTGGAGGCATATTGATCTTGATACAATTCAAGGTAGGTAAGAAAGGCATCGGTCAGTTGAGATAATATTCCCTGCAAGTGAGGATCTAACAGTTGTGGCCATTCCTGGAAAGGCTCTAACTGTATCTTTCTTTAGTCACGATTTTCTCTCTGTAGAAGAAAAGGTCGCACCTACAAGGGTCCTTAACCTTTCTGTCCGTACACGTTGGGCCCATCGATGGACTTGACGCTGATCGCCAGCAGATTTCCAAAGGAGGGGAGGTAATTTTGCCTTGAATTCATGTATAAGATCCCCAGAGGCACGCTGAAGTTCAATATCTCTGTCTCCCGGCGCATCCATGATTCACGATGCGTGACCTTGTATTATTGAACCCATCGCTATTTATGGGTGTCCATTGCGTGCTGAGATCAAGCGGCTTGTAAGGAGTGTTGATGCCTTACAGTGATGATACTAGCGCCTTGGAAATACGTTCAAATCTTAAACTTCTATTGGCTGAATTTATTCTTGATACATTAATAAGAGCCAATGGAAATTAGTTTGTTTGAGGATATGGTTATCGGCTTCAAAATTTAACCACTATGAAATTTTGCCAGAACAGCCGCAATTGGGATCAAGGCACAGACGCTCCGGATTCAATATCTTACTGCCCAGCTGCAACATCCTATTCCGCATCCAAACTACGGAAATTGCGATTGCCAGAGAATTCCACACGTCTTGGCCAGGTTCGCTAAAGTCTAACTTTGCAATAAACCGGGCAGACGTTTCCGGATCAAGCACAGGTCTTGCAGTGGGATCCGAGTCTAATGTGATAATAGCAACAATTGACCCGCATATCAAGAACCCTGTAAGGACAGGAAATCCGTACTTCTCATATCCCTGGTTGTGACTGTTGATAATATTGGCTCGAGCTTGAGCGTCTTGCTTCAAACGCTGTGTAGTACGATATCGGCTGGTCATTGATATAAGGTTGCGAATAGTGCACTTCACGCCGGAACTGACTGATTGCTTCTCCCGGAGAGCATATACAGTGTAAAGTGGTATAAGACACCAGCGATGAAGTATGTCCGCGTCCCCAAGCGCCCAGCGGATATAGGAATCCAAAATGCGTTTAACGGCAAGTTCTGGGCGAAGATGGCAAAGCTGGCGGTCTCTCACGGCGCGAGGTCCTATGGATAGGACGCTTTTGAGAGCTTTTATTGCTATATTTGACCATTAGTATTCAATATTTCTTGGGAGTTGCCTTCATCAAAGGGGTCTACGTACCACGGAACTCTCGCCCCTTCATTGACCCAATAAAGGAATCTTTCGTCCCGCACTCGCAAAACAATGATCTGGGGAACATGGGAAAGTCCAATCTCCAAGTGCTGGGAACCAGAGACTCGAGTCCTCGCGTAGAAAGCCGGAAGAGAAGCTCTAGTTCCGCATCTGCCCAATAACCAGAGGGGAGTTCAACAGCAGCCGCCCAGCTTTTTGGTTCCTCCTCCTGACACTTGGCCCCTATAAGCGCTTCTAGACTATGTCCTTCCGTCAGGCTTGCACTAGCGGAGAGAGAATTCTCTTGTGCGCCTTGGGGAACAATCGTGTGATTTAAATAGTTTTCAGGTACGGAGCTGTTAGAAGTATCATCCAAGATCCGTGCGCCCGTTGACGCCCTACCTGGCCTTGCATTTACGTCTTGGTCTCCGGAATTGAAAGGCCCTCCGGACTCAATATCAGACTCCGAAAGCTTGGCCCTGCGTCTAGGCTCCGCATCATCACCATCGCCACACAGTGTGGCGGAGCTGACCGAGCTATTGCCATGAATGTCCAAAGATGTATCCCTCCGCATATATCGATCAAGTCTCGGAAGTGTATAGCGAGGGCCGGCGAGTCGTCTTTGCTTTTTGAAGGGGGTATTTGCATCGCCTACTAAAGTGTCGCCGTCAAGGCCTTGATCAAAGTTCTGACTGCGGTGAGGTGTCGGACGGTCACCATTATATATGCAGTTCCAGTACTGATACAAGACATATTCATCAACGTCAGCCATTAGGCGGAAAGTGGTGAAACTTCGAAACTAAAAAAGAAGGACTCGCCTCCAGAGCAGCTAGGTTCACTTAGTATCAGCGCAGGACAGGAAAATGAAACATATATTGCTTAACAATGCCATGTGGATGCCACTGGACTGGAAACTGCGGGTATTTGAAGATGTTTGAGCAGAAAGAACTAGCAAGTTCGGCTTCCAGACACTGGAAAAGCAAAGTTGATTTGCATATAGACATGTAAGGCATTGTCATCCACACTATGACTAGTGAATGGGCTTTGTCAGGAATGAAAAAGCGCACGATGCATGTTCCATCTTGAACAATGACATTTGTTGTCAGTCTGTGCCTCAGAAAGCTAAAGACACCATGCTGCCACTGTTTCTTTCAGAGGAAGCTTCAGGCCGGTGTAGTTGATATGGTATAGACCCTCCGCAGGTGTATCGGGCTTTCTTGGTATAAAGCACTCTGTACCTGCTGGCCACCTCCCAAATTTAAGAGGAAACCTGGATGTTCCCAAAGTACTTCTTTAGCACCAGTCCTAGTCCCGGAGGAGTGCTGGAGGCATGCCGCTTTACAGCGCGGGTGTGGCAGGTAGAGACGCTCAATCGAAATGGGCTAACGAGTTAGATGAACCTAAACCGAACAACAGTTGGATTCGTGGTAGCAAGTTAATGTTACTTCCATCGCAAGTTCTGCGACACTGTGTATATTTTCCTTCTCGGCTCTTGAGTGCTAATATGTAATAAAAGCCCTCTTAACACCATCGTTTCCCTGAATAACATATTAGCTATCGATGAGATAGCTTCCCCCTTTGAATAAGATTCCGACAGTGTGGTGGCCATTCATTCACATTTTGAACAAGGAGCAGAAGATTCTCTCCTGTAGGCAACGTATTTGCCCTAATACAGTTTGCAAGATACTTCCACAATATGCGAAAACCAGTTCTCGAGTCCTTGTTTGTGGCTAAACTCTGCGCAATCGGCTCGGAAAGGTAATCAAGGTCATCTTCAAATTCCGAACACCAAGACTTTCTGTCCATTTCATCTCCAATCGTGTAAGTGAAGTCTAACGTTGTCTCGGCATGAAAAGGCAACATATCTTGCAAGTTGGTGCTAAGGAACCCCAAGGCAGCTACCACATGTACAGCCAAATTTCAGACGCGAGAGCTATGCTTCAGGACGAGTCCTCTAAGCATGGTTAGGCATGAGATCGTCACATCGTCGTATCCGGTAAACTAGTCGGAGATGTCTGTTCTTTTAAATCCGTGCTCGTAGATCATCCGTATTCGCTCCATGACCTCCAGTGGGGTATTCCCACGGGCGTTCCGTTGAGAGAGGAGGCCGGAATTCCTCTGCATCAGCCACTGGGCACTTTACGCCTTGGAAGAAGAGGGCACGAGATGAAGTAGTGTATTGCCGTCCTCATCTGTGGCTTCCCATCTGGTATCGTCTAGAGAAGCATCGCCAAAAATATTTCCAAGCCGAGTCAGGCACTCTGGATCATCGATGGTGGGGATTGCCTTGATTAAAAAGGTCAATCTCCTGTATAGGAGGCATCCTCCGGAAGCGAGGCAAGTCAAAATCCTGTCCAGGTGATAGAGAGCGACTTGGGTGCTGTTCATCGGGCGAATACCCGAGCCAGCGAGAAGAACCAATTCTTCGGAATTCTAATGTTCTCCAGAAGGAGAGCGCAGCATCCTCAAGTTGTCTCCTGATAGCTTTCTTGTCAACAGTCTCCCCACCAGAGGTTTCACGATGCACTTCATGTTCAAGAAACCCCCGGCCAACTTATCCCAACAAAATTTCCGCTTTTCTCTGAAGCTAGCTCCTGGACTGCACAAGGCAGCCTGGGACCTATCCCTTGCTGTTGATGGGTTGGTGAAATTGTCAACTCCTCAATCAAAACAGTATTTTTATTGTTCGGCCCGTCACTCCAGACCCCCGATCCCCGTTTCACCGGGTGTTTCTTGGACTGGGATTGAAAACAGCCGAATTGATCAAAGAGCTCGAATGCCAGCTCGGCCATTTCATGCTCCGGCTCCTCCATATTATGCCGGAACTTATACTCAGTCCTATTTCTTCAAATTAGGAATGCCCTGCAGTGCCCGATTTGTACCAAGCGTGAACGACTGGACCGTTGATATATAGTCTCACCATCAATCACCTTCAGCCACTTGAATTCGGAGCAAGGATCAACGTATTTTTCGTAGTCGGGAATTAAAACTTCGATATCAGAAGAAGGCCCTTCAGAATCAGACACCATGTCTTCTCTTTGAGCGGCGAGGACATATCGCGAAAATCTTCATCTAGGTCTCATGAATTTGCCATGGTTAATGTGCAATTTGGTGAAGATCCGGGTGAAGCACGGCAAGGGTCCCATTGGTGGGCTTTGGTCCGGGAATGTAGACTTCAGGTTCGCATCAATTTGTGCTGCACCTTCGCTATTCAGGGATTGCTTTTTCTGAGAGAAATTGACAAGTCTCTCCTCGTTCGTCGGTTTGTGCTTTTAGTTATTTTCACTTTCTTGGGTGGATGATTTTCATCTAATAAATAATATCGAATTCTGTAAATAACTCGCTCTCATCAGCTGAAAAATGAAGATTGAAATAAGTTCTATTGGCGAGGCTATTGGGGGAAAATTACTGATGTTATACGAAGCACTGTTAACGGATTTAGCGCCAAAAGGACGGAAAAACAATAGAACCCGAGGAGAGCGTTGGGATAACCTTAGAAAGGGCGGAAACGATATAGAGACCTGACCTCCCAAACTTTCCGTTGGTAAAAATAGTAGAATCACACTTGCTTTCTTCTGCTTGTTATCCGACCTGCTGCATTTTTGTGACACATTAAGTATGTGGAATTACATCATCGTAAACCCGTCAAATCCGTTTGAAGGAAAAAAAAGAAAAAGAGGACAAAACTCTCATGCAAGCAGAATATGACGTAGTAGTCTGAATCAATTATTTGCAAGTAGGAAATCATACGAAGTCTGCAAAATACGAGAATCCACGGAACTCCTCTTGCATGGCCTGAGAAAGGACTGTGGGAAGGATAAGTTAGTAAACGTACATCAACATAGGAGTTCATGACTATTTACCAGATTGCACAGGGGTAAGAACGGGAGTCACGCTTGTAAATTCTTGATCGAAATTGCTTGTATCAGTCGGGCTGGTAATTGTTGGGAAGAACGGCGGTGAGACCCGTTTATGGTAGATATCCTCCCAATTGATATTTCGGAAGAATGCATGAGACATGATCTCCTGTGCATCGGTAGGGCCAGAGCCGAGCCGCAATTCTGGCTCCCGGGTTAACAGTTTTTGCAAGATGGAAACCGAGTCACGAGGCATATGGATCGGATACAGAGGCTCATCGGCCAGAATGGCATCATAAATCTCGTCTTCATCCTCTCCGCGGAAAGGAGACTGCTGAAGAAGCATTTGATAAATGAGGACACCGAACGCCCACCAGTCGACTGCACGTCCGTATTTCTTGTCCAACAGGATCTATATAATCAGTTATTAGTACGTCATGAATCGATTAGAGAAAGGGAGTCGTACCTCAGGCGCCATAAATTCCGGAGTGCCGCAGAATGTACTAGTGGTGGAACCATACCACATATCCTCCTTACAAAGACCATAATCGCCAATCTTAATGTGACCATCAAGAGTGAGTAAGATATTATCGAGTTTCAAGTCGCGATAAATGACGCCGTTCTCGTGGAAGTATTTCAACGCCAGGCAAACCTCGGCAGCATAAAACCTAATTCATGTCAGCATCCCTGCCATCAGCGTAATCGGATAGGTCTTACTGTGCTCGCTTTAAACCAAACTGGCCGCGCTGAATATGCAACATCAAATCACCACCACTGATATATTCCATGACGAAATAGACACGGGTCTCAGTCTGGAAGCATGCGTGTAGGTTCAGAAGAAACGGGTGTCGCTCTTTATTTGCAATCAAGAAGACTCGTTTCTCAGACTTCGTACTTTCAACTTCATCGTTCTCAATGATAAACTCTTTCTTCAAGACCTTGATAGCATAGAGTTTCCTGGTCGTTTTAGTCTCTGCGAGCATGACCTTCCCAAAGTTTCCTTTTCCGAGCACAGCAAGGAAGTTGAAGTGATCCAAACCAACTCGCTTCGGTGGTTGCTGAATTGGGACGGGTGCCTGCATTTGCTCTTTTGTAGGCAGCGATACCTGAGGCGCCTGGGTAGCAATTGGAGTTTGCTGTTGCATACCGTAATGATGGGGTACCTGTTGCGATACTAGAATTGGAGGAAGCTGAGGTGGTTGCGAGTATGTATCTATGCTTGCATATGCACTTGGATCATAATGGGCATGAGGTGGTGGCTTTGGTTGTGTCTGAGTCTCAATATAAGGAGGTCTATTATTGGTATAGTCTGTGGAATTTCGGTCATAGGGGATTCCTTGTTGAGACGGAGGTCGCATACCAGCAGCTGCAGCTGCAGCCGCAGCCGCAGTATTTGTCGGAGGTGCGCTTGGTCTACCAGCTGGTCCAGACTGGGGCGCCGTGTAAGACAAATGCGCGGCACTGACAGCGTCGGCGGATATAGGTTTTTGTGGACCAAAGGCATCTGTAGGTTTCTGTGTCTCAGGAGCGGGTTGTTTATCACCACGACGAAGTGTTTTGGCAGCCATGGCACCTCCAGCCCTGTTATAGTTCTTGGTCTTATGGAGAGTCTCGAGGATTTTGTTGGCTACCTCCATTGACATGCCACAAAAATCAGGCACGAGATGTGCGCATTGAGCGTGGCAAGTGAGCCCACATTCTTATGAACATCAGCGCGTTGTAACATTATCGCTTGAACAAGGACCTTACCTGAGCATTTCTTCGAATTCTTCCGGCCAAAGGGCAGTAAGTATCCGCAATGACAGCACCAATTGGCCGAGATATTAGAGTAAAACTCAAATCTATGTGGGATGCGGTGATTAATTTTCTCCTCATCGGGATCGGTCTCGTAATTGGCTTTGCTGATACACTTCGTGACCACCTTGGGGTAGCATTTCTTATGACAAGTGTATTTGCAATCTGAGCACTGCATACCAGCGGCGTACTTCAAGAAATCACCGCAAAGCGCACAACGCATAATGTTATAAAACTGCTGTGTAACGAATTTGTGCCCTTGTTTTTCGTGAACTTCTTCCTTCTTCTGGCGAACGGCTCCTTGTCGGTTAAGACCAATATCGAAAGGTCTGCGATCCTTCAATTGCTTGGCTACAGACGTGTTAACACCAAATTTATAGCAAAGATGTCTACATAGCGATTTACTCACCAAAGCTCATCGTAAGATGGATCCTACCGACTGGCTCCAAGGCGAACCAAGAGTCAATCATCACTGTGGCGCCTGGTCCAGGTTGGCTAGCCTGGTCATGTTGGGGGTGTTGAGGAGCGTTGACTTGGAAATGAGATTCAGTTCTTGCAGCTCCATGTTCCATCTTATCTGCCGAAACCCATCCTGACGTATTAAACTCGGTTTCGATTTTCTTACGACGCATTTCTTCGGCAATATCGGAGAGTCGAATCCAGAGCATGCCGATAGGGGTAGGGCGATCTCCACTTTTATCATATACAGTGAGTTCTATCTCGTTGGCCTTGTCAATGTCAACATTGAAGGTCTCTTCTGCCCACTTGTCGTTGCGCGTAGCCTTCGTCTTCGCTTTGATTGCATCTTCGACTTTCATGATGACGAATGTTTCAGGTCCCCTGGAGAATCGCGAGCCAGCAGCATGATCTACATCCCTCACTGCGTGGATGCGCATGGTCAAATGGCCCGTAAGCGGTTTACGAATGTTTGGGGAGCTCAAACTTTCATCTGCGGTAGGGGAAGGGGTGGTCAGCACACGAATGGAAATCCCACATACTAGCTACGTACCATCGGGATGGTCTGCACTTTCAATATCCACATGCAGGTCTTCATATCGCTTCAGAGCTTGCTTTAGAAGCTGGATTTTCTGATTGCTCTCAACACGTCTTCCCTCAGCATCAGCTCGGCTTTTTCTGTCCCCTTCATCTTGATATAAGCGAACCATCTTTTCTATACCAGCTTTATACTGTTTCTCGACGCTTAGCTTGAATTCTAATTGGGATAACATGAGTTGGATTTTGGGACCAAGGTAAGGAGTGTCGTATTTGATTAAGTCTGCGAAATCATTAGCCTGACCGACGTTTCATGCAATATGAAGATTTGGCTGTATGGCCTACCTAGCTTGCTAAAGTTTGGTCTAGCCTTCGGGATTGGGCCTCCTGGTCTAGGGTCATGGAAGGGGGCTTGAGATGGCATTGAACCTGAACCTTCCTGAGCGTAACCGATATCAGAACAATAATGTCCGCCATCCTTTGGAGGAGGCGGTGGCGCTCCCCCGGAATGCCGTTGCTGAGTTGGCGAGCCAGGCTGTTGACCGGCTTCACGACCCATCTTTCGCAGTTGCAGTTCCCGCATCTTCTCCTCTAAATATGCGATATTCTTCCTGCCATCACGGATATTCGCATCGACTCGTTGCTGCACGAGAGGATTATCGGTCGACTGGCGCATGTTTGTAGCGGCATTGATAAGGGCCTTCTCCCGCTCGATCTTGCGGTAGACTTTGGCCATGAGCTCGTCGTCGCCATCCATCTTTGCGGTTGCGCCTTTGCAGAGGCCGCTTTTTGGTTGAGACTAATCAGTTGGTTGGCGCTTTGACGAAGTGAAAATTAGCAGAGATGTTTAAATTGGTTTTGTTGTGTTCGTGTGAAGAGATAGGGCCAAGCTTGCGTGAATGGCCCCGTAGAAGATTCCGGTCACCCCTTTGCTCGGCGGAACCACAACAGGGCATGGACAAAAGATATGAGGCAGCGTTTGCATGATCAAGGCAGTGATTGAAGGAGATAAAACTGTAGAGAGGCGCCAGCGAATGCTGTGCATCACCACTATGAACATACCTCTGATCGCACTCGTGAGGCAGAGCAAGGGCCGAGTTGCCCACGACCGGAAGACGAATGAAACCCCCAGTTACGCAAAATATCGAAATTAGCAAAATATACAACTGTGGATTGAGCTGCGTGTGGTATTCCCAGTTTATCCTAGATCTAGGGTTTCGAGGCAGATGGTTTAGTTGCGATTCGACGGATGGTGTAATCCATACGGTCAGGGAGGGGAACGAACTAGAAGAGCCGCTTGCGATGGTGGGGATAAATTTCTCGCACAGCCGCCAATCCAAATCTTGGCCTGAACTTGACTCTTGCAGCCCAGGTTTGACATCGATGAAAAAGCTGTCGACTGCAGTTGTGTCGACAAGTTGCAATAATTTCGCCCTATTCATTCTCATCGCAGATGGTGAGTCCTCCGTGCTTGAACCTTTACGGCCTTAATTGTCCACTCCGACCCAATCACCTGACGGCATTTCCTGGCTTCGGGGGCTGGTTACATTAGGTTCTACGGAACCACGGGAGATAGAGATTCGCCTTAATCGTTGCTCCTCAGGAGACACGAGTGTGGCTTCTAATGGGGATTATGTATAATGGAATGATCCAGTTTCCGGAAATGGCCAACTGGGAGATGTGACAATGTTTTCTCAGCGTGTGTTTGGTCCCACGGGATTATGGACTTTGGTTGACTACTTCCTCCATCTGGCCGACGCCACAAAATGATTGTTGTTGCATGGAGTACAGCTGTTCCAGGGGAGGGGGTCAAGACGGGCAGTCCCAATTAAGATGGCTGGAGAGTTTACATAGCTAGAACTTACCAGCAAAGGGATTGCTGCGGAGTGACATTATTCCTCATTCGGTTGGCATGGTGAAGGTAGCCGTTGAATGTAGCTGACGACTCCCAGAGCCCTTTTGCCCCCTTTGCTCGACGCCCCAACCTTTCTGTAGGATCAGGCTGAAAGCTGAGGACCTCAACAATATATAGAAAAGAATCCCTCTCAACCGGGCGTCGGTACGGCGGAATGACCTGTAAAACATATGGTGCCCTAGGCCTAAAAAAGGCTAATTATATCAAAGATATATATAAACTAGCACATCTGTACTCTGTACGTTCAACCTAGTTTCATGTTATCTGCGCAATGAATATGTGTGTATAAAGTGGAAAGGATAGAGACGTTGGTGGACGGGGCATTATTGCTCCCACCTTTGCGGAGAATTACTGATCAATAGTTTATGTCCTGAGGCTAGGAAGTTGTGTTGGTTCCTTAAGGATGCCAACTGTTTGGTCATTCATTCAGTCCTCTTTTCGAATCTTTGGAAGGAAAACCCAAGAAACAAGCATCACAGCATACAGCATTATGCATATCGGGTGTAGCACTACTGTACCAAGATTCTGTGCGAGAAGACCGGTGAAAAACGGCGCTACTGCGCCACCACTGCTACCCATGGCGCTAACGAATCCTAGACTCGAAAGCTGGATTCCACGTGGAAGCAATGTCGCGAAAACAGCTGTGGCGCACGGATATATGGGACCAAGCAGAAGACCGACAATGGCGAGCGCAATGGCATCACCAACGATGTTGGGAACTAGCCAGACGAGCAGTTGAAAAAACGCTGAACCCGCTATGAGGCCGGCCGTAGAGACCTTTCTCCCAAGTTTCTGAGCAGGATGAGACAGAAGGAACCGGCCTAGGGAAATGCCAGCCCAAAAGCCAGTGCTAATATATCCGACCTTGGCAATTTCCCCCCGGCGATAAGCAACAAGAAAAGATACGGCCCATCCAGAAATGGAAACTTCGGCACCTTGGTACGCAAATATGAACAAGGCTCCCAGTAGCGTGACCCTATTCTTGATGGCTTTCTTAAGAGCATGGTCTCTATGGACTCCTGTGCTCTGAGCAGAATGTTGAGGAGATACTTGTCGGGCAGTAGGGGGGTGGTGGACGGATAGGTCTTTCTCATAGTCTCGGAAAGACCAAACCGAGAATACGATATTGATAAGCCCAACGGCAAGCGGGATAACGTAGAAGATGCTCCAGGGGATGCCGCTCGCCGAAATTGCAGTTGCGATTAGCGGCGAAATCGTACCACCGACGCCATAAGCGCCGTGGAGACCCCCAAGTGCAGCCGTGTTGTTCACTAGGTTGGCACAGAAAACGTTGTTGAGTGCCAGGCTAACCGCAAGCCCGAATCCAATGAAGAAAAAGCATGAAACGACCACAGCGAACGGCGGTTTGGCAATTATTGCTGCATGTGCAATGGCGACCATTAATAAAGACAGCGAATATGTCCAAGCGCGGCCGAGACGGGCTTCAAGGACATGAGTACAGGGTGCAGCGAGGATGAATCCCAAGGCGTTGGTCACAAATATGAGAGACACGACCGCATAACCAATGCCATACTCTTTTTCGATGTAGGGGATTAATGCACCGGGAGCACTGTCATTTAAGCCGCCTCCAAAGTTCATCAAACAACAGCTAAGCATCCGACATGTAGTTTTCGGCGGGAAAGCAAAGCTTTGAGCGACGCTTGGGGCTTCATTTTCGGCGAATGATACAGACTCTCTACCTTCAGGATCGTGATTGTCGTTCCCGAGCCGCAGAGGTTGGCGATTATGTGCCGTAAACTGCGAGCCATGTGATTCATTCTTTGTAGCAACTAGCACCCCGCCCTCCGTACGATCCTGAACAACCGCCGGGCTTAAGACGGGGGGTAGCTGGTCGAGCTCAGTACAAGAGCCGGCAGTATAGGACATGTTCCACAAACGCGGAACATGGAGCGGCGGGAGGGATAGAGGGATGGGAAGCAGCTTTCTCACTCGATGTCCGTGGTCAAGTCGAGTACTTTGGGGATGACAGGAATCCAGAGGATGGCTAAGTAAACCTAAAATGTTTAGGTTTGTTTCCAAACCTGTTGGCTCGGCCGCGCGTGCGATGCTGGCCGCTCATTGCCCCGTTTTGCCATCGCGTAGGAGGCGGTGCAACGCTCCCGAAATGTTCCAATAGCCCACCGCCTTGGTTAGTTAGGTGGAGCCGAACGAAGACATCTGACAAGCATATGTCTATGGAAAGTTTCAGATGTCTTGTCTTCATCAAGGACATTTTATGCCAGTACAGAGGACTTGCCGAGGCTCCCTAGCTGGGGACTATTTATGTATTTGACGGCAAAAACCTCAGTCAGGTATGTGATGAACCCGCCTTGCGGCTTGCTGAGGTAGTTAATCAAGCTGACGAGCAGGTGTGATGCAAGCAATGAAGGAACTTGTCAGTGATTACTCCATAGCTTCAAGTAGTGTCTCCGGCACAATCTCAAGCTTTGCGGGAAATTGCCCTATCCGGAGGAGTCAGGACCATGCTTTTTATGGGCTGGCGGGACAATGATGCAGGCCCAGAAATGGGGGATCCTGTTCTGTTGAATCTGGGTAGGAGTAATTAAATTTCTGAACCCCAAAGCGAAGAATTATCCTGCAGCATGTCAGGGATGCCCAACCGTGGCAGGCCACCTGGAATCGCTGGCTAATTTTGGCAGACTTCGAACAGCTCGTAAAATTAGCCCGTCTTTGACCCGGAATAGCCAGGATGTAACCTCCCGAAGGTGGAATCCCTTGTTCTGAATATGGCCTGATGATCTGCACCAATATTTCCCCCTGAAGACAGGTCTCCACGGCCTGTCTTGCAGCAAAGGACTCCATATGTCGATATGTTCGTCTTCTTGTGCCTTGGAAAGCGTGTAAATTGGGACTCCATCCGCACCGATCCATCTTCTAGCCTGATCCCATCAGCAACTTTAGCGATCTGACTTGAAATGCCAAATCAAGCTTAGGATTAGTATATGAATGTGTGTATATATATATAATAAAAAGAATTGAAAAATTGAAAAAATGAAAAAAAAATGAAAAATGAAACTCCATATAATTGCAACTACGGATTGCTTGTTTGCGTTGACGGAGTCCGAAACGGGAAGATAACTAACTAATGCACCACATATCAAATTCATGAACTTTCTTCCCGGGAACAACAGCAACATGACAAGAAAACTAACACAAACATCTACATCTCGACTTATCCACAATCCTTCAAAGTGCATGAAGTTGCTCAACTTCTGACCTCCTATTGAGCAGTTGTAACTTCATGTTGCATTGGCAACGGAACAAGCAGAACTAACACATTGTTATACACCCCTATTGGTAAGCAGCTTGCAGACTACAGACCATGCAGACTTTCTCATCCATTTCACTATGGCGCTTGCCTTTGCTATTGCAATTAGAATAATCAAAGGATTCACATGTGTGAAGACATGAGAATCCAAGTCTATATAAACCCGTCACTCTCCCGCTCAAATGTATGTCTTGTTCAACAATCAAGCAAAATCAATCTCTCAGTTTAAACCACTCCCCGAGCCTCTTGTCGCAAAAGCCAAACCCTCAACTAGACACCATGGTCAAATTTACTTCAATTGCCCTCGCCGTCGTGGGCGCGATGGCTTCTCTTGTGGCTGCGGACAATTGCCAGACCGGTCTCCAGTACTGCGGCTACGTCCTCTTGAGGAAAGGTAAGTTGAGAGGACTGGCACATGTTCTTCCATACTACTCCTGGATCTCTGTCCTAACTTCGGCATTAGGAAACTATTATGCCCAAATCGTTCAAGCGTTGCACCAAGCGAAGCTGCCGACCGACCCACGGCACGTCCAGAATACTCTTTTCCAATGCATTGGTGGACCGAACGGCGAAATCAAGGTTATCAAATTCTGCGGAGCGGCTTGCCATGATGGAGGCAACAATCACAGCGATACTTGCTGATTATCGATCATCGGCGAGATGCTCGCGATTCAATTATGGCCCAATGCTTTTCCACACTCCAAGGAATCTCGGCGATTTTTGAACTTTATATTTTTGTGGTCTGAGTCGTGTACTTCGATTTTGATACCTAGTAGAGCAAATGCAGGATCTCGCATATCAAGGATTGGAGCCGATTCCCTTCATACCTCGTAAGATGGCTGAAGCATGAAGTTGTAGCGAGGAAAACAGGCGTTGAAGCACGAAGCATTTCCGATGTTTGCTCGTAGAAGCAGAACCGATCTGCACTAGGCCAAATGCGGCAAGCTCGGCTCCATTCAACCAACCAAAAGATCCATCAATCGATCCACGGGGAAGGTTTAGTCTTGGCACGAGAAGATATCCAAACCCACAAAACAACCAGTCTTGTTGGCTGTTATCAAACTTTCAGCTTCATCACGAGCAGGATCATGGCGCCACCAAGAAGGAGGCTGCTGGCTACAGCTGAAGAGACTCTCATACCACCATCTGCTCTGCCAGAAGGCCATCGAATCGCCAGAGTTATCCGCGCGACCGGAAATAACCTTTATTCCGTGGAACTGCCGTCCAAGAAGTCGATGTTGGTGGAGTTGCCCGCTCGGTTTCGCTCAACTATATGGATGAAACGGGGATCCTTTGTCGTCGTTGATACGAATGCACTTGAAGAGAGGGATAACAAACTCTCTGGGCAAATAGTAAACATTGTGAGAGACGAAAAGGCATGGCGCAAAGCGGATTTTTGGTTAGTGCGCTTCGATGTTTCCCCGCCAACCTGACATATGTTAATCCTTTTAGCAGGCCGAAAGAGTTTGTGAGACAACCCATACCGGATAGCGATGACGAAGACTCCAATGTGGGCAAAATGCCGCCATCGGACGCCTCGGATGAAGAGTGACAGGCGGATAGTGCAAGATGAAAACTTATCGAATTCCCTGAGGATAAGCAAGCTTCTATGTAGGATTGATCGATCTCGAGTACGATCCGTCCGCCCGCCCTCCCTTCTGCCCCCCTTGCAAACAAGAAAGCTTCTCATTTGGCATTTTTGTCTTAGTTTAAAGCGGGAGCCAAGACTTGAGATGCAAGGGCCATCACAACCGCCATTGAACTCAAGGATGTGCCTGGATATACGTTCCAAGCATATTCCTGTATTAGACATAACGCGAAAATATAAAGTGGTCGAAGGCCTGATTCCCAGAGCAACAATGGCGAAGCCCATGCCAGGTACGAAAAGAACTGGTAGTGCAGGCTTCTTGCGCACAGGAAACCTATAACCAGCGAAGTCAACATAGTTTTGGTAATGAAGTTGGTTGTGAGGGTGTATCGTGTATTTTTCCCTTGCAGTATATCTCTGGCAATCTGTGTCAAAGACTTCCGTGATGGGTGTAACCAGGAGAATCCAAGAAAAAGAGCTAAAAGAGATAGATGCACAACCAATAGCGTCAATGAAAATGACCTAGAAAGGAATATTTCCTCGCCAACAAATCGCCAGTTGACGGTCCATTTGAAAAGAAACTGCCTTGTGAACTCAAAGGCTCTTGAAAAGTATCCGACAGGGCTCTTCTGCAAAAAAGGAATCGCAATGAGAAGCTATACATATCTATTAGTTCAGAGAATAAGAAGGATATTTTGTGTTGACGCACCTGTACAAGCAAAGATAGTATCCCTAAGCCTAATGCACTGGGAAACCCGACGGCTAAAGTAAGAATTACCGCAAGCGCAGGAGCAACTAGGAGGAGAGTCATTTTAACACTGACTCCTGCTGACCATAGAATAACGGCAGTGGACCATCGACGCTTCTGGAGCATGTATATTGTCGCCCAAAGGAGCAGCGTCGCAATCCCGTCATTAAACATCCTGAGCATAAAGATACTATGCAGGCGCTTTGACAACACAAGAAGTGGATATATGTACGGCGGAGCACCGGCCGACCAGTATGTTGCCATGACAAGAGCCAGCGCAACAATATATAGCCCGGCGAATATAATTTGGCCAAACGCGATGTCCCGTCCTTCATCTGTCACGGAATATAGAAGGGAGAACGCGTAGACATGTCCCGCAGGGTAGACGAGGGGTCCCGTAGAACCTTTGATAAGCGTATAGTCACGTTCACCGGAGAGAAATATCGAAACTTGTTGCATATAAGTGGACCAGTCGATCTCCGTGTCTGGTCACAAACATTACCAGGTGAGCTGCGGTAATCGTAGGCCATGACAGGGGCGATTAGACCTACACGGTATTTTCCAAACAATAAGGGAACATAGAACACTTTCTGCTAGCAGAAGTAATGGGCAGATCCATTTCGAATGCTTTGGGTTCGTGCAGAGGTCAATACAGAGCCTGCAAAGCTCCATCTTGATGCCGGAGGGTCGGACGGCCAGGAGGATATTCGGGTGGAATCCGCTCGTCAAGACAACGCCGCCTAGTTAAGCGTATCAAGAATGACAATTCATGAAACATTCACTCTGATAAATCTGGCTGATAAGGCTTTGTTTATTTTTAGTTTTTGTATTGTTGTTGGCCTTTAAAGATGCTAGCGCAACCATCAATTCCTTAAAAGATGGGCGTTCGCGACCCTGCCCTTGCAACCCTTGTCTCCGGCTCTATCGACCAGTGGAGATAAATAATTTCTGTCTTAGTTACCCGATATACAATAATTTGGGAGTGGCTGCACTTTTCATCTGATCTTTGAAAGACTATTTCATCATCAGAATGTAATTGAAAGCTGGCCTTGTATGGTTTCTGAACGGATCGTCCTGGAATATGGAGGGGTTTAGTCCCTTGTTCACACAGATTGCTACGCCGTAACCGCATCTATAAAGTACATATATCGGGGCTCTCTAGCCACGATAGCAATAGATGATACAGGCTCAACCACCAGATATCATCTTCCTTGTCCAACATTGTGCCGTCCTAAATCAGCGTATAAAAAGAATCCGACTATAAACGTGCAACGTCCTTCCCAAGATCAGTCGGGTTACACGCCCCAAATATGATATTGCAATAACTCCAATCTCATGCCGCGTATAAACTCGGAAATTGATAATGTACATAGGATGGCCGTTAAAAGTCGACGGCCTTCGCATCAACGGGCCTTGGTCATCCGTCGTTTCCTCTGGGCGGAGCATCTAATTTTCTGAAATCGGCTCCGCCACCACTTTCCCTTCGTGCATCTAGGCCGAGAATTTGGCCAACGATACCCTTGGGCTTCGGGACCGGGCACTCTCTACCCATCTTCGTGAGCCTTCTTGCCTCCGCGTCCATGTGACGGAATTCTGCTGCAGCGTCGTCCAATTCATGGGCCTGCTCGGAAAGCAATTCTCCCGGTGATTCTGGTACTTTTCCTGTTTCTTTTCTTCTACGCCTTCGTATTCTCTGTTGACCGTCCGGCATCGTTATCATTTCGGAGTCCGCTAACGTACGACGGGGCGCGGGACATGGGAAAAGATGCGGCATTCCGACAATTAGGAACGAGGCTAGGAGCGTCGCTGTAAAGAGCGATGTGGTCGAACGCGACCGCGGATGGAGGTGCGGGGGCATTGGGACAGGTATTTTAGGTGTACGTTTTCATCAACTCCCGCATTGCGTACTTCAGTCAACAGTCCCCGGTGGCTTTATTCCTGAAAAGAAGGATATCAGCCGAGTTGCAACCTCTCTCTAATTAAACCCCGAAAATTTCGAACGCACCTACACAACTTGTCTCATTGTGACCTGCACATGGGGGCAATTGAGTGAATCCCGATGATTTTTATTTCTTGCGCACTTTGGAATGGATCTCGGGCTTCAACTCAGAAAAGAATTGGCTAATCGGGGTGTGTGCAAAACATACTGTCACGTGACTTCACCATTGGGCCAGCTTCGTCGCCCCGCAAAAACATTATGGAGTATACGCATTGACAAGGTGAGACTGCCGGACAGCAAGCCTTTCAGCAGGGCCCCCAAGCCAACTCCGCACAGAAGTTATTCGCAGCGGATGACAAGCCGGGCGAAGAACACTAACGCCTGATCCACTTACTCTGTATGCAGTACTCTGCAGACAACCTAACGCTGTTTACGAAGTACTCCGTAGTGCCTCGTGCAATAAATAAGTACATCAAGTTCTTCGGCGGACTACGTAAATTGGTGATGCAATAAAACACTCCTAGTTAGCATGGACCAGAACCCCAAAGAGAAGCAGGGCCTTGGCTTCTCACGCACTCCAATCTACCATTTGTATCACCATTCGTCCCGCGAGCACAACCACTTCCGGCTTATGCCGCGAGATCAATATGAGGAGGCTGTAACGCGGGCCCAGGCACCTAAAGAATTACTCTATAGATCGGAGCTAGAAATGTACCACATTTGGTGGTTGCACTGATACCCATGCGTCCTCTTGAATTCCCGATTCACAAACCGCCAGAGCTCCCTTAGGGAAATATGGGGCATTCTTGTTTGAGTGTTTGCTTTTGAGAATGGCAAGAATCATCTCCTCACAACGGGCAAGCTTGTCGTTTCTTCTATTTGATGACTAGGAACATAAAAAGGGGCTGCTGATGCCTATCAAAAGGTCATCATAGGCGGATCACTCGTCCATCGATTTCTGGGTCATTTTTGCCATTTTAACAACTACCGATTTTTTATCGATGACGGAGTTGGAAATACAGCTGACCTTGTGTTCAGTTCGTGGCGAAAAACCACCATCTTGGTTCAAATTTGCTGGAACTCTGCAAGTTTTCTGCCGAGTTCGACATCGTTTTCTTCTATCTTCTATTTAACACGTCTCGTTTCTCCACGCCCGACTCCACCTGTTCTTTGTCGTAGTACTCAAGTGCAAGGCGCTTTTTCTGTCCTCCGTGTAGCTCAGGTCGCCGACATTTCAATTTGAAAAAAGTTTTCACTAGCTCTTTACCGCTGTGCCTGCGATCTAGGACATACCAGTAGACATTGCCAAAGTATTGAGGTTTTAAGGGCATATGAGCAACTCGGAGTCCTTGAGAATTCCTTGCTCTCTGGGTTATCATTGCAATTCACCGGAAACCAGATATTTTAGCTCTCCTTCTTCCATTGCGGGAATATTCGACAGAGCCATTTTTCTGAGTGATAGGACGAGGCTAATGCAAAGACGTTGGAAGGATAAGAGGAGTAACAACGCTCCCACCGGCCATATCAGGATTGTACTTTGTTATCCGACCCGTGATCCCCAAAATCAGTGCAGCAAGTAGCATTGTTAAAGGACAACTTGCTTTCTAAGAGCTGTTTGGGGGGAAGGGGGGTTACAGAATAAAGGAATGCAAGAAATATGCTTGGGGATTTCATGGGTGAGCGGTGCTGATTTCTGCGATCTGCAGAGTTTAAAGTGGTTGGGGTTCAGAGTTGGAGCGCGTCAATGGCTTGGCGCTCCAGAAATCGGCTGTGAAGTCCTTATCGCCATCGAAGCTTCGCAGCTCGGCTTACCGTCGTAGGTATCTTGTTCCTGACAAGCGATGTCTCCATCCTAGTCTAGCGTCAGTCCTTCACTATTCTTTTTTTCCTGTTTCTTAAAAATGAAGAAGCCAGAACTCCTGCAAACATAGACAAAGCCTCACTCGCTTGTGCCGAAGCAGCCCAAGAGCGCGCGCCGCATGAGCTGATTGTAAGCATCGAACACTCTCCCTACAAAATGAGTGACCTTGACAAGTACGTGTAAGTTCTTTTGATTGATGCTGCGACACACTGCTGACTACCGTTCTCCCTTTACCACAGAGCCATCGCGCAACTGCGCAAATGCCGCCCCATCCCCGAGCCCCAAGTCCGCGAACTCTGCTACAAAGCCCGCGAGCTACTCATCGAAGAGGGCAACGTCGTCACCGTCGATGCTCCGGTCACGATTTGTGGAGATATCCATGGCCAATTTCATGATTTGATGGAACTGTTTCGCGTCGGTGGTGATGTCCCTGATACCAACTACCTCTTTATGGGTGACTTCGTTGATCGCGGTTTCTACTCCCTCGAGTCCTTTCTCTTGCTACTGTGTTTGAAAGTGCGATATCCAGATAGGATCACGTTGATCCGGGGTAATCATGAATCAAGACAGATCACGACAGTTTATGGGTTCTATGATGAATGTATTCGAAAATATGGTAATGCGAATGTTTGGCGTTATTGTTGCGAGGTATTTGACTATTTAGCTTTGGGCGCTTTGGTCCTGGGCGCCAGTTCAGAACTGGAACCAACGGGGCCATCAACGTCGATGGTCCACGATTCCTTGGGCACTTCACATTCCATCACCGGGTCTTCGACCAGCGAGGACGGGATACTCGAGATTGAAGTGTTAAATTCGAAAGGCGAAGTCACATACGCAGCCTATCGACGGAGGGACCGTGGATCGCAGGAATTGGCGAACGATATCCGGGACGTTTCACCACCCAGAGACATATCCTCAGCTCCCACCAGCACGCCGTCCAGAACGGGGCCTGCGGGGACAGGGGCGACCTCTGACAGCATAGGGAGTCTGTCAAGCAGTTCGGGCGCTGTTCTTTGCGTTCACGGTGGGCTTTCACCGCTTGTCGACAGCGTGGATAAGATCCGTCTCATCGATCGAAAGCAAGAAGTGCCCCACGAAGGTGCCATGTGCGATTTACTCTGGTCTGACCCTGATGAGATAGAAGGGTGGGGTTTAAGTCCCAGAGGTGCAGGCTTCCTCTTCGGTGCAGACATCGTGAAGCATTTTAGCTATAAGAACGATCTCTCTTTGATTGCTCGCGCACATCAACTCGTCATGGAAGGCTTCAAGGAGATGTTCGATGGTGGTATTGTGACAGTTTGGTCAGCACCAAATTACTGCTACAGGTGTGGCAATGTTGCCGCGATATTAGAATTAGGTGAGGATGCGAGTGGTGGAGGCACCATCTCGAGAAGTAATGGTGACTATGGTCGGAGTCTGGGCGGCATCCGAGGTGGACGTGGTGAGAGGCGAAGTATCGTCGGACCAGGGAGGAGATACAGAGTATTCGATGCTGCACCTCAGGATACCAGAGGAATGCCAGCAAAGAAACCCGTTGCAGATTACTTTTTGGTGGGTTCCACTCTTTCAATGTTTCTTGAGTGTTTGCTGCTAGATGCTAACAAGAAACCAATCAACAGTGATACCAACGCCCTGTTCCATGCTTGCGTTTGGCTTATTTCCTTCACCACATGCAATGTATATGTTTATAAACCTGGGAGGCAAAATGTCCTGATTTAAATTGCCCAAAGCAGCTGAAATACAAGAAAATTATTAAAATATATACACTCTAAATCAACTATGTACATCCAAGAATCGATATCAGGTTCCCAAAGCGGAATCCAAAAGCCGAACTTTCCACAGAGAAAGTTTGCACATAAAGAAAGAAGATATCCATAAATCCTGTTTAGCCCGAAATTTTTTTTTTTTTTAAAAAAAAAAAAAGCGGGGGGGCCGAAAAGAAAACATACCAGTGCCAATTTGATGTACAACAGCCCCAATTCCCAAAAGATAGAGCCAAAAGGAGAAATGTTGAGGGTATGTGAGGCAAATGCTTTCTGCAAGCAAGGCTTCTCACATAGAACCATCTATAGAATCACAAATGGACAGAATATCAAAAATCAACCAAAAAAAAAAAAAAAAAAGAAAAAAAAAATCCCGCACCAGATTACAATGAGATGAAAATTCATAAGTCATGAGCCACAATCGACTGATTGCGATGTTATTGTTAATAGTACATTTGGTTGGGGGTGTGAATCCCAGGTTCAGATGGCGGCCCTGTAAAAGCCTGTGTAACATTGATGCTGTCAGGTGTGGACTCAGGGACATAATAGCCACCGCTGTAGGCATGGGGAGCAGTATGCACTCCTATATTGGGGCTGATCACTCCGGTAACCTGACCAGGTATCAAGTGAGGATTCTCTCCAAAAGATGGTGTCGGCGTGCTTGTTGGCGGCATCGTCCGTTCGACGTCAATATCTCCACAGGCTCCATCTGGGCTACCCCAGTCCCAGTTGTCTAGCCCAAGGGCTAAAGCGTTCTGGTCTTTGAACCACCAATCCTGACTCTCCTCCACAAGATTGTCAATCTCGGCAAAGGCTGGAATTTGAGGTGCTTCCAAACTTGTGGAGGAAGTATCAGTCACTGTTAAAATTGGCGGAGATCCAGAATCCTCCAACTTTGGCTGAATATCCACATCTGTATAACAGGAAGGCTTTGGAGGCGGTTCTGGGAGTGATGGGTTACATTGAAAGTCTTTAACGGATTGCGATGGATGTATCGCCGACTTCTGGGAAACGGGACGGAAAGCCTGGGCGAACTGAGGCATCGCTTGCAACGGAGTTCCTGCTGGTTGAGGATGAGCTTGAACAGATTTCAAATTTTCATCGGGACTTGATCCACGGGTTGAAGGGATCGATGGGGCCTCCTGGCTGGGCATTTTAGTTGACTCATCAGAAGTGGATGAAGAGTGCACTTGATCCCAGGAAGCCCAAGAGCCAAATTTCGCGTGAGACCGCTCTAGGATGGCAGTGGCTTCAGCGGGGAGAGCGATATGCCACTTCTGTGCAGATAAATCTAGAATCCGAAGAGTCCTGCGGGCACATAGCCAGCTCTCTGCCATTTCCTCCAGGTTTTTGAGACCGTATACAATATCTCTCCGTGACGCCTTATCGGGAAGGTTAAGAAGATGGATCGTACATGCCGAATGGACAATATACACAGCGACATTGCATATTTGGCGCAAATTGTAACTTCGTTTATAGATTCGAAGCAGCTTCGAAATCATGGAAGCACTTTGTGTGCAGAGTTTCCTTGGAGAAACGTGCTGCGGGAGGGGAGATGTTGCTTTGGTATACTTGAGGAACGGTCTGTAGAGATGGATAAAAAGTAATTGGAAAAACATGCTAATATGGGTTAGCAAGAGACTAATAGTTCGGTTGTTAGCACTTTTAAGTTTTGGCTTACTGCATAAGTAAAACTTGGGGCAATTGCCCATCCTTTGGTTCCATCTCTTTCGGCAGATCTTTTCTCCATGCTTCAAGTCTGGTGTGTAGCTGACTTAGTCGTCTGAGCTCTTCTTGCTTTCCCATATGTCTGTTCACAGGGATAGGATTATAAAAGCTTGACAATAAATCACTGCTAATTTCACAGAGTTTGGAAATTTGCAGTGCAACCGCCCTTGTCCGAGCAGGTTGCACATGCTCTTGCGAAACTCCAACATCTGTGTAAGGTGACCACATCTCTGAATCTTCATCAGGAAAAACATCAACTTTGGGGACTGTAATTTGCGCGCCGGATAGCTGTGGCTGTCGACCTAGATAGTTTGACCAGCACCTGCACATTTGTTAGACAACAATCCAAGTTAAGCGGTGAATCTACTAACTTATCAAACAAATAACACCCCCAAAAGGTGATGCGACGTGCGTCTATATCTTGGTCGTTTAACCGATTAGAACCAATGCCCGTCGCGTCCACATTTAGCCCCAAATCATAAGCCATACGAAAACTCATGCCGCTATACACCCAACCAGAGCCTTCCCTACCGCAGCCAGCCTCTCGGACTGACATTATTGCAAAAGCCTGCACGTTGCAGAGTCTAGCCTTCTCATGCTCATCGTGTTCCAGGATCAACCTCTTCGCCTCACGGAAAAAGTGATCTCCAGCGGTTGCAGAATCATTGGGATCTTCGCGAGTGGCAGGCCAGGAGCTGAAGTGGCAGCCAAGAGCAAGCATGGCATTGACGAGTAGAGCAGAGCAGTATTCACTTGGTCGGCCTCGTACAAAATCGCGATAAAACAACCTCTTTGACAAAGTCGTGAAGTAGGGATAGTGCCATGTAAAGTACATCGTGAGCAGGTGACGAATCAATTCCTTGCTTTTTGTGACCGTAGTCCAGCATCTAATCGAGTCATCCAGAGGCTCAGCACTACTTAAGCCGGGTAGGCATGGATCCGAGTCATCGGAATCGGAACTGGCAGGTAGAAATATCAAGTTCGAAGTCCCGCCAACGTACTTCACCGTGCCATCGAGCTTGAGCTCGCTTATCCTTCCAGCCAATTCGGACTCAAACTGCGGTACGCCAAAGGCAGCAATGTCCTCATCGCTCCGAGAAGGGAGTTCCGATTTTGAACCATCCTTCTTAGATTGCCGTGTTAGGATAGATTCCGCCACTGCCTCCAGGTCATCGCTGGACCGCATCTGGCGCACAAGGTCCAAAACATCATCTTCATCGTAGTTGAGGATTGCTTCGACCAACGTTTGAAGTGTTGTGTTCCGGTTCTTCAAGTTATCAATGTCTTGCTTATAAACACCTTTGCGTCTATGATCCGAGTTTGGATCGTATATGCCTACCAATCATATCTTAGCCACAGGAAAGACAAACAAATTGGTGTGCTTACATGGCGTATGGTAAACGGAGGAACACGCAGCGCAGCTAGGAGTGTTTCCATCGCACTTGCAGGTAATTTCTATTAGCGCATGTATAGTCTAAATGGATTTGCAGCAAGCATACCTTTGACTTCCGTTTCCTGCACGCAATGCATGCAGTTGAGACGCATCTTCTCTTAGCTGCAGGTGTCCTGTCTTGATTTTTGAGTTTCGATCTCTGTTTCCCGGGTTGACGAACCCTTTGTTTAGCCACCGCCGTCCGCTCAACATCTGCCGCGGCCTCACTATCAGCCATTATTGTAAGAATTGCACTCGGTTTAAAAAATCTTCGGTGCGGAGCCTTGACCAGTATATCGGCCGATGGGTCATTCCCACTTGGTGGGCTGACGCATTCCGTTTCAACACGTAGTATCGGCGTAAAATATGTCGTAAGGGTCGTCTTGGCCGGAGAGGAAGCCGCTCGACGAGGGTGAACACAGCATGAACGATGGCTGGAGGTCTAACGAGGTAATCTCAAGTATTCGTATTGGTCTCGGGAGACTCTATGAGCGCGCACTTTCCAGCTAGCAGCAAACGAATCGAGGAGTTTGCAAAGCCTAGCCAGGAGAAAGAAGAGAGACGCCAGCCATGAACGATCCGCACTGAGCGTCAGGACAGGGTTGTTCCCGGCCGTTGGAAGTCGAGATGATTAGGACGACGATGGGACGAAATCTGCGCGCGACCCGAGAAGCCGTCACAATTTCGATAACGGGATGGCAGGAAGCGCAATAGGGCTCGGGAGGAGGCTGGAATTGTCTTGAATCAAGTCAGCGCTGCGCGAGTCTCAACCCTTCGCTCGTTGATCCGCGGTGAATCTTGGGGCGATCGACCCCACGAGGCAACCAGACATGGGGCGGCAACGAAACGAGACGAGGTCGGCGTATCAGCCAATAGGAGCCCCTGCATTGATGGATTAACTAAGCTGCAGACAAAACCCGGTGGTCATACCAGCCGAAACTTTTGTCCTGCAACATCGCGTTTCTAGTTTTGCCTACAAGAACCCGATATGCTGTGGACTATTGCAGTGGCCCAGAGAAGAGCGATCTCATAGTGAGGTAGTTATAGTCATATTCGAGGGTATTCAACTATGGGGACTCTTACACTCCGTATCTAGCAAGGTGATAAGGCCTGTCAAGTTTCCGTGTACACCATAGAGTATGGAGTTTATCCTCTGAGAGTCTCGTAGCCTTTGCATGGTAACTTTCACAGCGCTAAGTCCATTTCCTCCTTTGATTATTGCATTCGTGTCGCATGAGTTGAAGCATAATTAAACATTTCATTGCAAAATGGTGGCTAATAATACAGAATAGAAGCAATCTATGATACAGACTTGAACTTGCTTCTGCATGCACAGCATTATTAAGGAAAATAAAATCCCTCCCTCCCACTCCTGGTCTCTTTTCCTTTTTTTTTTTTTTTTTTTTTTTTTTTTTTTTTTTTTGGGGTATGAGAGAACAGAAAAAGGAAAAGAAAAATAGGCAGGATACAAATACACTGATAAGAATATAGGGAAACAAGAACAAAATCTTTTCAACATGTTCCAAAGAAAAGAGCAAGCAAGCTCAAGACAGTCTGGACATCCACAAGCTGACAGACAATATTCTTCTTTAGTAACAGCACAGTACAACCACACCACCTTCGCCCCCCTTCTTCCCACCTCCCTTTTCTTTTTTTTTTTTTTTTTTTTTATTCTTTTTATTGGTTGTTCTCTAGTTCACGTACCAAATGCTGAAGATTTTTAATTCCCTGACGGGCGAAAAGTTGCTTGATGCATTGAGATAGCTGGCAATTGCCCGGGCAACTTCCACCATATGCATCGCACACTGAATGGATCGATTTGTGGAAGAATTCATGGCGTCGAAGTTTCTGTTCCATTCTCGCCATTTTAGCAGTCATTGCTGCGAGTTCATCTCTCTTTTTCTCTCGAGTCTTCTTCGCCGAATATCGGTTCTTGATCCGACGCTCGTGAGCTTTTGCATCCTCGTCGTCTTTCGGCAAGGAGCGCTTTGGGACTGGCTGGCTCGGCCCGCTGGATTCGTAGGGTGGGCTCGAAGGCGCACTTTGGCCCTCGCTAGGACCTTCAGGGTTTTCCTCTCTTCCCTCTATTTGAGTTGCGGGAGCCGAACCCGAATTGTCGTCGAAGAGGAAATTGTCGGACCAAGGCAAGTCGGGAATCGCGGGCAAGTCAAGCAAAGTGTCCAGGTCCTCATGAGAATTCTCCATTTGTGAATCCATTGCGGGATTTTGGTGATTGAGGGTAAGTTGAGCTGCGCCCATTTCCCCTCCACTGCAATCTCCGTTAGTTATTGGGTTGATAAACAAAGTCTGCTTAGGAGAAAGGGGTCATTCTCCATAACTTGGGCGGTTTATACATACCATGGCATTCTCGAGATCGATGGATCCATTTGAGTGTCAGACATGAATGAGCCAGGGCCGTTAGGAAATTGGCTGACTGAGTAGTAGCCATCAGGAGCCGATGGCATGTCCAGAGCAGTGATGTTGGCGTTGACGTCGTTCTCCAGCAATCCAGTGAAACTCTCTGGCAAAAAGTCGGACTGAGTGTTCTGCATCGTAAAGAGGACGCTTGCCGAGGATGAAAGATATGTGCAAGAGGTATTAACCAACTATTCCTTGAGAATGGATGATATGCACTGAATGTTTTTCTTTTTTTTTTTTTGGGACTCAGAACAGAGCGAGGGAGGAAAGATTCGAAATACCGACCAAGCGGGCTATTTATATTTTTTCGAACTCGAGTCATATAAAAAGTTCTGACTCTCAATGAGCAATATGGATGGCTATGAGTCTTTTCATTTCGCCAGAAGTATCGCATCACATCAAAACGGCCCATCTTGAACAGGAATATGAGTCCTCTAGATTTGGAGTCAAAGCTTTGCCATGGAACCGACATGTCGACTACGGGGGAGTTAACTGGGAGTAACTTTCAGAGAGATTGTTATGGGCTCCGCTTCCATGGATCTCTTCGCTCAACTCATGGGAGGGCCGTTGCACACCGCCGGCGGTGCAGCTAGCAGGGAAACGATAAACTTGTTACTCACCCACGGGCCGTTTATCGATAAAAGAAAACGCATACTGGGGACACACGGGCAAGTATTTGCTTTTCCGATTCTTTTCTTCCTTCAGTCGAAGGCCTATCTCATATAGAATATCTCTGGATGAAACGCTCATCGCACGGAACTGAAGAAGCTCTAGCTAGAAGTAAACATAGCGGCAGAAGTCAGAGGTCTCAATTAGGAAGTTATTTTCCTAAACAACAGAGCAATCAGCGCTATGCCATGGTACGAATGCTCGTCAACAATTCAAAATGAGGGAAATGCATACAGTTTTCAATTGAGTAACGGATCCCAACTCAAAGGCGTTCCACAGTTAAGCAGTACTGGCTATGACTCTGAAGGCATTTATGACTGTAGTAGGCTCCCAAAAGCATTGATAGATACGGTAAACATTAATACTGTAACTTTTGTTGTTGTTGGCTTTGTGGTTCCAGAAACCCTGTTTGCTGATGGCTGGGAGATGGTCACAACTCCTCACATGTTTCCATGCCCCTGCTTGCTTTGGGGAAAAAGAAAATAACATTTTGATTGACAACATACAGCACCTCTAAATGATATCTATTGTGTATTTGGCCTGTAACGTCTCTCAAATAGGGCTCTTCCAACCCCGGTGCATGGTCTGAGAATAGTTTCTCGGTGTCAATTTTGAGGACTCCTTGGCAATTGGGTCTCAGAAGTTGATATTAGCTTTAGATTAAGGTTAAGGCTCCGTCAAGGTAGAAAGCTTATTTCGATTGACAGCGACCCCATTAAGCTGCCGTGGATCGATTCAATCCGTCACATTCACATCACTGTTTACTCATAGAGGATTGGGGATAGCTACATGACTCGATTCCCACATGCATGCTTTCCTTCTTTCTGGTACGGAGAAAGTGGTTTAGCTTGAATGACTGCGTGCTCTGCCGAACCTTGCTTCCAAGTTCTCGCTGGGTTTCGCGGCCATGGCCATGTGCGGTTGACACGGGAGTTAACTTAAGGTTGCGGTACTTCCTAACAAATCCAGCAGTGTCCAAAGAGTAAACAAGAGTTGTAAAGTAAGCTTACGGCACCTTATACCTCGTCCGCCATAATATCTCCAATACAATACGTCATCGACTTGTTTATATACATATGACTGTTTGTTTTGATAACTCTTGCATCAAGCTGATGGAGTCACAGCAGCTCGATGAATTGCGACAGAAAAACACTTCCTTTAATCATTGATGTAGAAAGTCAACGAGCAAGCCGGGCTGACTCACACGTCCTTTTTCTAACCTCCTACTAGCTTCTACCTGACGGTCCAACGACGACCGATGTCCATATTGCCTATCCAGTTGCGTGTTGCGGTGGTTCTTGAAGAGAACAATCGTGAGAAGAAGCAGTGAGCTTTCTAAAAACTCTATCTATATCGCTAAACATTGCAGCTACAGAGGCACCTTGCGCATTATCCATTAAGGAAAATGGTGCTGGTGGGACCGATTGTTAGGGCGACAATCGAGTAACAGCTCTCATGCTCAATATGGCGTACGAAGGCGTTGCAAGGAAGATAATGGCTAGGAGAAAATGGACTGAGTATTCCTGAGAGTCCAATAGCCACGGACAGACGTACAAGCCGGGTTCGAAGGAGACACGGGGTAGACAATGCCAATTGAGCCACTAGATGAGGTGCTGTGAACCGTCCAAGCAACTATATGGGTTGACGCGAAGATGCTCAAGGCAGTCTGGGCCGTTTCAATTGTTGAGCAAACCGGTCTGCTCTCAATCTGGCCCGTCAACTGGGCTTTCGCAGGAGCCTTCGGTGAAATTTTGGGAAGAGGGATCAGAAGGAACGTCAATAGGCTTTTCTGAGGCATTACCAATTAGTTCGTAGAAAAGCATGAACGCGCCTCCCTGTTCCATGACAATGTTTTTGCTGACCGAGGTAACGTCCGCATCGCTCAGTTCAAACCACTGCTCTTCTTCCCCTTCCATCTTGCTCTGCCTATTGTCGGCTGAGACTGAATCTGTAGGCAACTCGGTCGAAAATTTCCTATAACAAATGTAGTGCCCATCATCATGCCGTCCATAATGGGTAATGACAGCACGCAGCTCGTACTTTCTGTTTAAAGACTGAAATGCTGCGCTAGGGGAAGAGAGCATGGATTTCGTTGGATCCGCTTCCCAGTTTTCAGTTAAAGTATCATCCGTTGTACCGATTTGCTTACTGCCTAAGCACCATTCGTCTAGGTCTAGAATGTCTGGGAAGATAACTTTGGCGTAATTCTTTCTGAGAACCCCGGTTAACTCGTCGAACACACTGCGATTGATATGAATAGCGAGCGATTTTGGTGCCCTTGCAATGACCGATTGCCTCGACTTTGTCGAAGAGACACGATTCCTCGGGTTGAGGCGGCAATGTTCTGAGAGAGCCTTCTCCGAGAAATCTTCATTTTGCAGGACATCCTGGACTGCATTTAACCTGGATTCTGTCATTTGGCTCAGAGCCTCCTTCTGCGCTTTTTCACTTGGCTCAAGTTGTGACCAATCATTAGACCTTAACTTGTCGAGGAATTCGAGCAGACCCGCTTTGACGCGTAGAACCGTGCATTTAATGCATTCTACCCCCTCAATTGGCTCTAGCGCGGTATAGTCATCTAAACAGTCTCTTACATCGTACTCAATATGTTGGGCAAGTGGAACCGTGAGACAGGTGAATGGGATTAGAGAAAGCCCTTCACAATAGCCACACGTCATGCACCCGACGCGCTGCGCCATGAGCCCTTCTAGAGGGTTATCGAAAGGACCGACCAAGTCCACAAATCCGATTCGTTTTAATATTTCACAGACGCGGTTTCCATCGGGAGAAGAACAAGGGTTTCTTTGAAGCGCCGTTAGGCTGAGCTTAAAGCCATCGTCGGTAACCAGAGATTTTGACGCCTCGCTTATTTCTTTATCAATCTGCTCCACCAGCTTCGAATAGTATTCTTGAGCGTCTTGCTGTTGCCAGCTACTCATCGATTTGAGTTCGTTGGGAAGCCATAGCTTGCGCCCGGCATTTGAAAGGGTATTAAGCTGCGCTATTGTTTCTTTCAGAGATACATGCGTGGACATTTGTTGTACGTGCCCAAGGGTTTGAAGGTTGTTTTTTAAAAAATAATCAAGCTGACGAAGCGACGCTAATCCCTGAATAATGCTGTTCTGGTAACATGAATTATTGAAGTTTCCTAGTCCTGCAGGAGCTGGGCGCGTTGTACGTAAATGGATCGACCCTGTTTTTGGATACCCAGACGGCCCAGACAAGAAAGATGTTCTATCAAAGCGCAAAATTCTCCGCAACGCCTGTTCCTTCATTGGGATATCACGCGCTAGGTTGTTATCCTTCGAAACACCTCCTTCGTTCGGATTTTTATCGAGGGCAAAGACAATAGGACCCGGAGAAAGCATAACTGTGAGTTTCCAAGCTAGTCTGGATAAGTTAAACGACGGTAAAATACTAAGATATACAAGTAAGGAGTAGACGAAGACAGAGGATACGAAAGCGTATGCTATCGCTGACAGATATGGCATCCATCGAGCAACAGTATCATCTTGAAGGTGCCGGTCGCTCAGGTTTCGGATAGGGTAAGAAAGACCCTGGCGGGAATGTGCATTCATGGTTTGCGAAACGGGTGATGCGAACAAGGAGAACGAAGTGACCGCAAGGCTGCATCATCGAGACATCATCAAGGGCGGGTCAAAAGGATCAGCTTGAAACGTTGTTTAGGCTCGGCCATTTCAGCTGGTCAGTAAGGGTGCCATAAATCAAGTTGATGCGTGCAATATCGCGCTTCTTGAAACCACCGCATGACTGTCAACTGGACGGAGATTATTTCGGCCAAAGCTGCATTCCCAGCTGCTCGCGCCCGCTGTAGCTAGTTACCTAAGTTAACCTATCCATCTGTGGGCAGGTAACTTCGGCGACGGAAAATTGATTATCCGCAAACACCAAGGTTGGAACCGAGTCTAGCCGCCTATGTCACAAGCGCACTACAATTTTTGGGGTTACTACGACACCACGCTTCTGTCCTCATGGGGAACGAGAATCGATGTCCTGCGTACGGCGTACAGACTATTAAAAGTATTCAGCCACTATGCCACCGAACCGGAAGAGAGCGCCATTGGCCACCAGAGACACTTGCTGTAGTTAAGCAAACCAATGTCTTCCAGTTGATAGTGGATTTTAGAAAGAAAGAGACGGGAATGTCAACTTCCCACCCCGGAAATAGTGTCCAAAAACACAATGGAGTAGCTTATTGAGGTATAGTTATATATATATATATATCTCCCGCAATCACCTGCTTTAGATCGAAGCCCCCTTTGTCCTTTAATTATTATCCTTATAATACGTATAGCCCTGTTAATAGAGATCTCTATTGTCCAAGCAAGCTCCATTTGACAACACGAACAAGTAGTTGGATGATACGACCACCCTATCCAACTACCAATCGTAGAAAACCAGTTGACGGAGTTGACCAACCATAACTAGGCGGTCGGAGCGAACCCTATGTATGCAATGACATGTTAAACCGAGAAGGGGCATGTAACGGATCAATTATATGGCCAAATAAAAAGGGAAAAAAAAAAAAAAAAAAAAAAAAAAAGGAGCGAAACAAAATGCCTGGCTGCACAGAACGAGGGGAACACGTACGCTCTTCATCTAGCAATGATTCTGCCTTCCAGCTGTCTTGGATCCAGGCAATAGTCACAAGATGCGGAATTCTTCTCCCAGCAGCTACACGCTTCGATATCGCAGAGCGCAAAGCAGAAACATCAGCCGGTTGACTGTCCGTGTCAATGACGACATGGGTGATGCTTTTGTCCTCCAGTTCATTTGCCACCGAAGCACCCGCAAATCGAGCAAGATTAGACGCAAGACGTAGAGGGAGCGACAGCATGGAATCCGATCGAGGTTTGACAAAATGTAGCACTTGGTTTTTGAATAGCCAGCCTCGCAGCTCCTGGAAGGTGCTTTCTCGTTCTTGTATCTGGGTTTCCGTTTTTGAAATGTGGGGTGGTGGGAGATTAGGGATTAGGGGCATCGAAACAAGAAGCTGTTAAAATGTTAGATTCTACTATTCCTCCTGAAAATTGCTGCTTTACCTTGCTTAGCTCATTTGGGGTAATATCTCGCACGTAGCTATCTGAATATTCGTCCACATGTCGGGCTATCTCTTCTTCTTGGCTTTTCACCGTAAAATACATATGTCTGCAGAGAGATACAAGTTAGGAAGCTGCGCGAAGTCCACAACAGTCATAGACAAACCTCGGTTCGAAGGGGATCAACAAATCCGGTAGCCCTTTGTCAATTTCATTCTGCTTAATGCAGTCAAACAGCCAAGACGGACGAATGATACTTTCTTTTGCTACTTTTTGCACAGATGCAACCTTAACAGTTCCTACAGCCTTTGTCAGCATCGTCTTCGTAAGTCTTCTGGGCTGCCGGAACATACTTCTCTCTGCAATACAAAGAGTATTAGGTGCCGCTGTATGGGTTTGATATATTTTCCCGCCATTTGCTTTGATCAATTGTTCCAGCTCAAGTTTGGACTTTTTCTCCAGCTCAACTGAATCCGTAATAACGACTACGAGGGCTGATTAGGATGAGTCATGCGATGTAAAATGCGATAGGTACTCACAAAAATTCATTCCTTCAAAAACATGCCCTGATGGACCTGTAAAACCGGCCCTTTTGCTTTCATCGTATCCAGCAATTGTAAGGGGTTTCTTGACAGCCCTCTTCGCCCGTTTTCTTCGGGAGTTATCGATCTTGAATTCCTTTTCTTTCTGCTCTCTTTCTGCATTCGCCTTTAAGTCCATGAATTCTTGAATGGACAGGGCGCTTTTCCAATCCTTATCCATTCGTAACCGCTTGAATCGCGGAAAGCGAACTGTCAACCCCAATCGAAACTGGTCACTAGGAGTCACAGAGGCTGCTTTGACACACAGAACAACAGACTCATCGGGCCGAATCCATACGTCAGGGCGTTCGTACTGTGCATCACCACCAGCCAATTCAATAAACTCAGTTGGCGGCTTCTTGGGATTCCAATCTTTCCATTTGCCGTCGGTATGGTGGCGAATATTCGCATAGTCTGGAGCCGTGAATCCTCCTCCAACTTTAAGAAATGAGTAGCATTTCATCGGGCTAGCCCCCTGTCGAACTTGGGCTTCGTCAACCCTCAGTCCACACAGAAAACTTGCTAATCCACCGCCCCTTTTACCTGAGCCATAGTATCCACCGATCACAACGCAATCAAGGGATTCACCAAACTCCGTCATATATTCAGGTTTCACTTTCATCCAATCATCGTGGCGGTCATTCAGACGATAAGGTGAACTTGGATTCTTAAGAACAAGCCCTTCAGATGCCTCTGCCACCACCTTCCGGAGCTGAGGCTCAATATCTGCAGCAGAATTACCGATTTCGTAGGGATGAACTTCCAAACGACGATGGACTGGTTTGATACTGGCTTCAAGGGCTCGTCTTCTATCCCGTAATGTGTATCTGGTTAAGGCTTTATCATTGAGGTACAAGATATCGAAAATCCGAAATAAGGGCCTTTGGCCAGTAGCCGAGAATGGGTTCCTCTGCTCTGATAAAGCTGCTGTTTTGAGCGTGCCAAAGGGCAATGGTGCGTCTTGTTCTGGGTCCCAGGTAATCATTTCTCCATCGAGAATGATGTTATCAACACCATCTGCAAAAGCATCTTTAAGATGTCGCGTCAATGCTCCATTCTCATCGTAGAATCCGTTCCCATACAAATATGTATAATCCTTTGCTTTACGTGACCAGAATCCAAATCTTTTACCTCCAGGAATGGAGTCGTCGGACATCATATGAAGCTGGATTCGCTCACCATCTAGCTTCTCTTCGATCCAGAACGTTGGATCGTCAGGGGAGAGCCGCATCCTCTCGATCATCTTTGGAAATGAATGCATTTGAAACTGCGCCAATTGAGGTTGAAAGCATTGCATGAGCGTCACCCGTGCTTCATCGGCCTCCAGGCGGACATTCGGGTCATATAATTCCCAACAAACGCGCCGAAGGCTGCTGGATATGCTAAACAGGCTCTCTGCATCTGGATGCCATATCTCGAAGAACGTCCGCTCAGTGGCTCCAACTTTCATTTGACGCAAAATGATTCTTATGAGCCACATTAGTTCTTCAGGGTTCATGTTTCTGTAGAACTCTTCAAGAACAGGTATCTGCTCATCTTCCTTACTGGTGGCAGCTAGAACATCCAGTTTGTCATTGACCTCCTGGATGGTCATGTTGCCAACATCTGTTCTTATAGGTCGCTTTGATATCACTTCGTAGCAGCGACCAGCAAAATCGCCAGCCATTCGACTCGCCATGCTTTGGCCTGGAAGCTTCCAGTTCAAAAGGTTAAATCCATCTTCGGAGTTTTTATCAATTTTCATAATTTTAACCAGCAGTTTTCCAATTGTCTTCTCTTTCAAGCCATACATCGCACGATCTCGATCTTTCTCAGGTATGATCAATCGAAACGCAGGATAGATATCATTCCCCACTTCCTTTCTCCATCGTGAAATGAAACGTTGAATAATATCTCGCCGTAATTCCTGCGGGGAAAGGGTCTGTTGTCCTCCATGTGGTCCCAACTTCTTGCGAGCGGCGGCAGGTCCTGTTGGTCTCTTCTTGTTTCCATTTAGGGGATTGAAAAGCGTAAGGAAAAGGTCATGGAAAGGTAATGTCGAGTGTTTATTGCGGGGACGGTTGGGATATCTAATACACAAATTAGCCGTTGTCTACAGGCCATGGTATCTCATCAGCGAACTTCTCATCGAGCTCCCTCTCGGTCTCTCTCCCAACGTTGTTCAATCGGTCCATTGCCAGATATGGCAGTTACAGAGTGAATCGCTAGCTTCACTATCACCACTTTCTTCCTTGGACGTACTCCAAAATATAAGCCTCCTTCCATATAAATAAGCCGAGAATGCCCTCAGCCTGACCTCCAAAACCGACCTCCACGCCCCAGATGTTCAAGTCTCCAGGCAGCAGAACGCGACCACAACACAAGATCAGGTGACCTGACGTCATTTGGCGCCAAGTGTTCTGGATGACTACTCCGCTACGGAGTACTCCGTAGATCTGTTGATATTGTTGTGGGGGATGCACGGGAATGCACAGGCTCGTATTTTAGTCCGTAGTACAGGCCATGCAGACCGGCCATCTCCTCTTTTCGGGCGGAACTTTTGATCCTGACGTCGCAATGCGCGCGCTAGACGACTGGGGAGGCCAATCCCAGGAAGCTGGAGAAGGCTGAACAGACGATCGATCGACGGTCGTCGGCAGCTTCCCTCCTCTTCTTTCTCGCTTTCTACCCCGAACCAGATCGCCTCAGCAGCGAATCTAGCCTCCCCATTATTCCGCGGTGTAAGTCTGACCGCGAAACATCCACATAAGCTGCGTCCAAGAAATGCACACGAATAGCTGATCACCGATGCAGTCCCAACTAAATCCCTCCACCTATTTATCATCAATCAAGTCCTCGCCACGAGCAACCATGCGCGCCTCACTCATTCAAAACATAGTTATTGCAGCTGTCCTGGCCTGCTGTGCCACTGCCGACTTCCATCTAATGGTCAGCGACGGACCGAACGTTCCTGTCAGGTACTTCATCTGCCCATCCAACTACTTCAAGAGGAAGTGCTATTGCGATGGTGACCGGCGCAGTGAGACTAGATTCGTTGCAAAGGCCAGCAACGGCGAATGGAAGGTCAAACTGGAAAAAGTATGTGGTGTTGCAGAGATAGACTTCTGGTACCGTCCTAAGGGTGCTGGTGGTGATAACCGGATTCGGTGGGAGGGATACATACCCAATGCGGATGGGCGTGTCGTAGCCCAATGTTACCCAAATGGGGGTAAAGTGGTGTCGAAGCCAGCTTGTTATGTTGGTTTTCCGCAGAGGTACAACGCGCATGATAGGTGGGTGTGTTATTCGGAAATTTGTGGGCATGCGTAGAGCTCATGGCTTAGTGGTTTGGGGAGATCCTGGATGTTAGTTCATTTGGGATTGAAAGGAATTGAAATTTGGAGCACAGCCATCCATGCTATTCTTTTAACAAGAGTTGATCTTCAGATGTACCTGATCTGACCTTTGCTCTGTGAATTGTGTAAATCAGACCACAGATGCCACCATCAGCAATTGCTGCCTTATTGACAGGATTTGGATCAGCAGCATTCTGTGAGTTGAAAATCTCAGAATCATTTCTGTGGCTGTATGTTCAGCAAAGTTGTGTTATGGTGAAGGAAACTTCAAGTCAGTAGCACTGTGGAAGACACAATGATGGAGTCAAACAAACCACGGCAAGCTATAGGAATTTGACAAAAAGGTTATAATATGCACTTCAGAGCCTTTTGAAAACCTACAGGCACACAGAAAGGCAAATTTCTCATCAATAGGACGTCCTCCTAAGTAGTAGTAGTCGGGGTAGGGGCGAGCTTCATTGGCATGACTCGATTGCCTCCCTCATTTACTTTCACATTTCAGCAACTCACCTTTGGAACCCAGATTGCGAGGGTCGACGTGGTCATTACCTTTTTTGCAATAGAAGTATTGAATTGATCCCTTTCAGGCTAGAGCAGCATTATATGAAGATAGTAATATGATGCTATATACTAATGAGTACATTATAATGAATATTGTAATTTGTGCTGAATATTATATATGATCTACCTAGGCAAGAATGCTCCATGTGATGAATTATATGCTAGGCAGTTAACTGAACCATAGAGTTTACTAGGGTAGTAACTCGAATTAAAGTCGGAGAGCATGATAGGCAAATGGGCAGGGCTCATTTGGGCAGACTGAATTAGAGACCTGATGCTGCTCTTCTGTAACAGATTAGTCAAAGATGCTGTAATTCTGGCATAGCAATATATAAACCTGCAGAAGAAGCCTGTAAAGTCTAGAAAAATTTGGATATCATGTATCAAAGCAGGCTTTGACCAATCTCCTATTGTGGCAAGTCAACTAGATCAGAAGTGGTTATATGTCCGTGGTAATATTATCACAGCAAAATGCAGCAATCCTTGAATGAAAGCCAAGGGGCATGCTACCAAATGTACTGAGAATGATATGATGATCATATCCTTGGGATCTCTATGTAAACTATTAACTGCGTAACCAAATTCGTAACTAACTAACTGGTTACCGAGACAACTAATATGATGACTAATCTAATACACGTGACAGGGGCTCTCGGCCCGGGGACACCACAGACGCCCGGCACGAATTCTCATTCAACGCTTTGCGCGGCGCAATAATAGGATTTACATCACGAATTCTCAAAGCCGCTCCTGCTAAAACAAGCAACCAGGCAAGGAAAAAATGGGATGAAGATTCCTGTGACCGCTGACGCCGAGTCAGCGAGTAAGGATGGCCTTCAGCATGATGATATTCGGGCCACAGCGACGGTGAGAGATAGAATCAAGCAATTTTCCGCCGAGGCTTCAATACCCATTGAAAAGGCATCTTTCTCGCGGCAAGCACCTTCTCAAAACCCTTCTATCACGGCCAAGCCTCCTATTCCTCCACAACGAGCCGCATTGAAACCAGGAACCAAGCTGGTAAAGGCCACTGGAACAGAGCTATGTGGCAATCAACAACACGGCAGAAGTCGCAATATCTCCCCAATTGCTCATTTTCCAGCTGTTCCTTTGAGCAATAAAAATACATCCGCCATATTATCCTCGGACTCAGAGGCAGGCGCTGAGCTAGCCGATAGACGAGAATTCACAGGTTCTAAGGCTGTCGTTGCTGTAAGACACGGCAGTCGAGTTCCTCACGCCGAGATGAGTTCTTGGAAGAGCCCGACACCCCTTCCTCAGAGGAAGAAAGAAGCACCCCCCGTTCCACCACGATCGTCCCAATTATCTACGGAGTCAGAACTGCTACAGCTCGACCCACCAAGTCTGCATACGGACCAAGAAGGTTCCGGGTTCAACCACACATTGGAAGTACGGGAATCGGACATATCCGACAGCGCATTAGCGGACGCAATGACCGCATCATATTTGATACCTTCTCACGCTGCATTGGGTTCGAAATGTGGTCTTAAACAACCACCGCCACCGCCACCGCCAAGGCAGAGAGGTCCTCCCTCTCAGCCCTTATTGCAGCTATCAAACGATTCCAGCAAAGTAAATCCGCCAGCCCTCGGTCCTGATGAGATATTAAAAAGGGGGATGGACATGCTCGATGAGCCAAAATCTGGCAGTGAATTACCCCCAAAACCACCAAGGCGGGTGACTTTTAATCCCAACCCTGAAGTGTTTCAGATAGAGAGTGGAAACTTCGTGCAGGGCCAAGTCACTTCGAGTGAGCGGAAAAGATACGAGGAAGTTTGGGAAGCTAATAGAGGTGTGGCCCGATTTGGTGTTATGCATGACCCGAACGTCGATCAGAAGGTTATTAGGAAGTCGCTTGCATATGAAGATCTGGTTGTAGACTTGGTGGTCCGAGATATCTGGAGTCGCTCTCGGCTACCGCAGGCTGAGCTGGCGAAAATTTGGAAACTAGTAAGCCACGACGCTGTCGGCATGCTGTCAAGGGAGGAATTCGTCGTGGGAATGTGGCTTATTGATCAGTGTTTGAAGGGCCACGGATTGCCAACAAATGTGCCCAAAAGTGTATGGAAGAGCGTTCAGTAGCTGTGTCCCCGAGAAAAATATATCAACAATCTTAAATGCGAGTATACTATAAAGTATAGATCATTACAAATACGGCTCGATATTCTATTTCTCATCACATTATGCCCAAGATGAATTTCACCAATGAGGAAATGCAAGATTTCCTCGTCACCATTCTCAGGACTATTCTCAAAAGGCTAGCCATGCAGATCGAACAACTTCCCCCATCCCAAGATGATCGCCCAACCTCAAATTCCGCAACACACACAGGCTGAGTGCCCCATATTGTGGCTGTCAACCTGGTGGCAATAGATCGCGTCGCCAGAATCATGTGACCCACATTTGTGCGGCCTTCCCCAGCAGACTTACGTATATTAGCTTGCAGCCGAGCTCGCGGCCTAGCCAAATTGGTACTTCGGGCAAAGCTTGGTATGAAGTCCGGCCACTCGTCGATAATTAGCTCATGTGTTGGCTCGTTTGGCAATTTCCCTGTCAATGCAGGTGGATGTCAGTCGTTCCAAGGATCTGGCAAGCCGAGTAAGCGAGTGCCATTGACGACCTGGCGAGATTCTATTAGTAGAGCTGCGTGGCGGGCTGAGCCCTCGAGGCCCTCCCTCCAGTGGTCCCCAGTGGGCGTGCAGCCGTTGAAGAGCCAAGCGCTGACGCCAAGCCGCCGTCACGATCGATGGTGGGGTATCCGTTTGTGAGATCTCAGATGGGTCGCTGACTCATCAGCGGATCGGACACGAACCTTTTTCTTGGCACATGACATATGCAATTTTGGAGCCGTCTCGAGTTCCCCCCCCGTTAGGCTGATCCCGACTATCGCTCAACAACACACCCGCCCATCGCCCGGCCTGGACTGTTGCTACATTCCCAAGCATGTCAATTCACTCTAAGACAGCCAAGCTGCTAGGAAGCTGAACTATATAACTGCCTCTGAATTGCTGAGTCGCCGTAACCAGGCAGCTTCGCCCTCAGTCTCGCCATGGACGAGGACAACAAGACTGAGATGCGCCTGGAAAGGGCCCCAGCTGGGAAAGGAACGCGCAAGAAGTTCACGAAGCCGCCCGTCAAGGTTGCTTGTCTATCATGGTAAGTGATGCGTCCTCATGGTGGACTCTCTTTGCTACCTGAAGTCACGCCCAGTTTCAGTTCGTATTGACAATGTTCGGTTCCGCGCTGTTTGTTCTCCTTGGCCTACCTGCTTGTTAAAATGGCTTTCCACTCTCATGCTTTTTGTACGAACTATAACTTATTTAGTAACAAAATCAATCTTAGTCGAGCCTCCAGAATTAGATGCGACGGAAAGGACCCATGCTCCGGTGTACGTGGGTAAAGCGCCAATGGCCGTGCAGAAATATCAGTATTCGAAGACATGCTAAACGGTTATATCCATCCATTAGTGCACCCTCAAGGGAAAAGATTGCAGTTATTTACCAAGTAGGCGCGGCGGTCCGCGAAAGAAGAAGGTCATTCCGGCAGCATCAGTAGCGATGGAATCTTCGGAAAGTAAAATATGGAACGTTGTCCATCCGATTCCTCGGCTTGACGAAGGTATGAGCCGCCGCGAAGAGACCTTTGACGGGATGGCGTTGATCCGATAAGCAAAATAGAACTATTCAACCAAGTTGACACGCTCGCCGTTCCTGGCGCCGGTCTCAGAGCACTCGATTTTCCCAACGAAGTCCAGTCAATGTTTGAAGGCCTCTTTATGCCGGGATCCTCTGCTTCTTATCCGGGTTTGGCCTCAGAACCTGTGCCAACACCCCTCCCTCCGTCGGCTCCGACTAGAGTTAGGGTCTACGGAAGCGAACAAGACATGTCAGTGCTTACTCTGTCGAACTCTTCCATTCGGATTCTTAATTTCGGCATTCTAATACGCATACTAGATTGAATGGTTATTACACATTTATTCACGATTATTTCCCAGTGTTCCCTCCCCCGCACGCAGCGCAAGGCGTGGATTCACCCCTGGAGCTTCCGTCAAGCCCGGATATGACATCTGATAACCCGCCACTTGTTTATCATCCGAAATCACCGGTTACCTTAGCCGTTTCGGCTGTGCTCGCGCGTGTTCCGCACCCAGCAGATCCGGATCCGTCTTCGTCGGAGTCTATATTGATAAGACGCGCATATTCTCATAGATTTGCCCGTGCCGCGCTAGATAGCGTGGAAGCAGAGTCAGAATTGACTGAATCTTGTGATAGTCCTGCGCAAGCGCTTCTCAATGAGCAACCGATACCCAAAAGACTTCCAGTGCACCCAAACACGCCCGTTGAACTGGAGAGCATTCTGGCGCTGCTTATTCTCAGCGTTTATGAATATACACAGCGAGGTAACCTTGTTAAAATGCGGAACCGTGCTGGCGAGGCATATGTCAAGGCTCTCAATATGTCACTTCACACACAAGGCAGGGAAGATGATATTTTTGCTGAAGCAAGACGGAGAGCGTGGTGGATGACAGTATGATGAAACCCCCCCGCGGAATGCCGCTAGCAAGGTATATGGATAGGTTTTAATCATCACTCTAGTTTTACTGCGTTTGTCAGGGCTCAATCGTTAGTAACACGGTAAGGCCCGGATCCCTAAGTCAATGAAGGCTGTCTAATCCCTATTATAATTTTAGGCTCCCGCAATCCTCGTGACGGACCCTCACTTTGTCACCCCATTGCCCCTTTTTTCTGCTGATTCTGATGTACCGTATCCCGATCTCTTAAATTTTTTGCTTCGAGGAGCTACTGACAGCGTTTTAGGCATGGGCTGTACTAGTCCAAGCGCAGCAAGTTCTCGTTTCTGCAACGCAGTACGTGTGTGACCTCAATCGTGCTCTAAGGGGCCGCGCCGATATGTCTCGCATATATGAGAGAGTGAAGAAGCTGGATTTTTGGGCTTTAGCTGCCCTCTCCCAAGCTAATATTCATCCCCCAACACATGTTTCTGCGCTTGATGCGTATCGTTCAGAGGCGATCACTGCAAATAGCGTCAGGGCAATTGCGCGAATAAAAATCAGCAGGTACATATGAGTCTCCGTCCAACAACGACCTAGTCTGCATAGTAACAAGGAAGTTACAGTGCTCGTATCAAAATCCATCGGTTCCGCGCCTTCTTAGATATACCGATTTTTATAAAAAAGCACTGTGACCTTACATGCGCGAGTATCGGTTCCGCAGATACAGAAAGCACGAGCACGGAACAGCGAGCAGATTCTAAAGTTTCATGTTGCAGTGCCAGTTTATCTCAAGTGCCGACTCCTAGCGATATTTCGCCGTCTGTCTCCCCTCCCGCCTCAGATGCATCAACATACTCCTGGGTATCCGAAGAATCTTTCCCATTCTCCAATTACGATTCAACCAGTATATGTCTTGAATCTGCCCTTACTATTGCTCAGATGTTTGACAGTCTGCCGTACCCACACCCTCTCTACGGAGACAGACCACCTGGAGGCTTTACTCCATCGTGTGACCCGATGCCGCGCACAATGCCTTCATTCGCTTGCTGTGCTATGCAAAGTAGCTATGCTATGCTCATGTTATACTACAAATCTTGCATCACAAAACATAATGCGGAAAGCACTCCATTGAGCAATACAGATCAGCTACGTGAACGGCTTCGGCATGGATTGAGATGCGTGATTGACGCAGTCAAGAACTATGCAATTGCTTTCGAGGCGTTAGATGGGATGAGAGGTGCGTTCTCCTCTTTCCATCAAGAGACTGTTTTTCGTACTCTCTGCTCTGTGAGTGTCTAGTATGTTAACCAAGCTCGTAATTCTAGATGAAATCGAAGGAGCCTTTTTGACGGCGTTTCCACAACCGTAACCTTGAATGGTCCCTGTCCCAAGATGCAGAACGTCTATCGAGCTCTGCTCATGGTTTTCTTCACTGTCGAATAGAGACACTACGCTGCTTTCCGACTTCTAGCCCCTAACATCACCGAGGGCTAGCGAAACAAATTCTTTACAGGCCAACCAGCTCCGCCAATGTACAGCCATTAGACAATAATCCTACACGTGATCAAAAGATACCCTATATACTGTCAATTAATTTGGTGCCCCCTCCATATATCCCCAAGCGCAAGGTTTAACTACAGCTAAGCCTTAAGGTTCTCAAGACTTTTGTGGAAAAAAAAAAAAAAAGAAAAGAAAAGAAAAGAAAAGAAAAAGAAAAAAGGGGGGGAGGGGCGAAGTAGTTACGCATCATTTTAGTGCTATTTATTTGAAGAGTTTCCTTCGGTCTCTCAGTTGGGCGACATTCTGCGTTCCTTCACAACTGCTCCCATCGCTGTATCTCTATCTCCCCTCGCTCAGAGTTTCTGCGTAAAATGGATTTCTGTGGATTCACAGCTGCTAAGAAACTGAAAGTGAATATATCCTGCAGAGCTATTATATGTCTTCCTGGAATTCTAGTCCTCTATATGCGGGTATGAATATTCGAGCATCGATCGAAAGGACAGGGTCAATTGGACATCACCAATTTACAGATCGTCAGAACTGTGAATTTACTTGTGTGTGCATGAAACCACACATATCGCATAGCTTGAGGAGATATTATATTAATATTGGTCAACCATAGCCTGAGAGCCTTGGTGAATGTGTGTGAAAAAAAAATTAGGTATTTAAGAATATAGATGCCCGAGAGGAAGGATGATAAGACATCCTTTGCAGCTATTATATCTGAATGTTCTACTTTATTTTGGATAGTGAGAGAGAGTGAACAATTTCATCTCTTATTCACTTACTTCTATCTCTATTCTAAACATAGCCCCCCAAAGACAACTAGCATGGCAAAGCTCATGGCTTAAAGGACATAGGGTATATAACATAGTGGCTAAAAGGCTAAGTGGTACTCCGTGGATCCCGGAGTAAATGGCAGGAAAATCTTTTATACTTCTTTGAACCCCCAGATGGGTTACTGTTCAACCTGAGTCACAGCTTCGACCGGATCCCTTCCAATCTAAATTTTACATCCTTCAATACCTTGGTAGATGGTTTCCAGTCATCAAATTGTTTTAGAAGTTCGATTGTTTCTTCGGATAATTCTCTCCGAACGTATTCTTCCTCCAGGACACCTCGCATGGCAAAAGGGAGAATATAAGGATTCGAGGGGTTCGATAGACGAACGGTATGTATTTCCAGTTTCGTACTGGGAGCAGGTGTTGTTTCGAGCGCGAATCGGACAGCGAGTCTGATAAAAGTCAGCAAAGGTCAGCAAAGCAAACCCGGAATGACCACAGGAGGGAACTCACTGGTAAACCGCATCGTCATCGTAGAGGCGAGAGTGTCCTTCTCCTAAGTATAAACTTCCTGCCAATGGGGAGCTGAGTTCACGGATAAGGCCGTGATCGGATATTCCGAGGTTACGCAGCTTCATACAGAAGCCAACTAAATGTGATACACTACAAGAGGATGGGTAAGCCGCAGCACTGACATGATCACAAAGTGGGATATTGCTTACAAACTTGGCGCATGTACCCTACCGTCCACAAATACGGCGCGGCAAATATGAGGATGGGAAATGGTTGCGAAAACAGACGACTGCTGCTACGTCAGAAGTGGACTAGGAATGACATATCGGGGGCGACATACCTCTAGGGACACCAGCTGATCATCAATACTACCTATGTACGCTATTTTGACTCCGGAATCGAGCACAGTTTCAAGTGCTGTCAGATAGTCCTGGGAAACCTTGCTTTTCGAGTCGGCAAAATCGAACAATTCACCAGCAGAGCCACTTATCCACCTTGACCTATAGTCTGGGAACGGACCGAGATTAACCCCGGCCATTGCGCAGATGCCTATACGTGCAGAGCTAATGCAGCCAAAAGCAATTAATTTGGCTACAAGCATCGTTGCCACAGGTACTCCCTGGCTATGGCATGATACCATAATAAAATCAGCTCTCCTGACATGGTCGATCCAGTTGAGTAGTAGTTTCCATAGTAGATCCACCCGTTCAGATATACGGCCCTCGCCTTCGAGTATGATCTTTTCAACTTGGCATGGTGAATTATTAGTTGCGGCCCATTGTAGGATGGCCTTTTCTGCCATCATCGCGAATTTGACTGATGTTCCTGTGGGTTGACCAATGATATTTCTTATCAACGGAGCGGGAAAGTAGCCATGAATACCGATAGCCAGTGCCTTCTTAATCTGAGGCCGATCCTGCACACGTAAAACATGTTTCGGTTCCGGGCCCTTGCCATAATAAATTAAGCGTCCTAGTTGCTGAAATATGCCGGGCCGCTCTTGTGGGGGGAAAGTGTTTTCAAACGAAGGTAATACTTGATTGGGGGGAGTATGGGACTTCTTTGCTTGCGAAGACTCAGGCTGTTTAGCCGATTCAGGCGGAACTTCAGGGCCTAGTTCCACCACAACAGCCTTTGCGGATTTTGAAGAGCCCTTATTTTTTGACTTTAGATTTGATACAGCGGGAGCTGGTTGGGCATCTACCGGGCCCACTGTAGCTTCCGGGTTATTCTGCTGTGTTGACCCAGGTGATTCTGTGGAGGTTTCTTGCGCGGTGTTCGGCGTAGCTCCCGTATCTTGTCTTTCTCTAGACCAAAAAAGCCAGCTGGTTGGTCTGGCAACGTCTCGTACCGGGGTAGCATCATTGACAGTAGCATTCACGTCAGGTCCCGTCGCATGCATACTTTCTGCCTGGTCCGGCATCACCTGCTGCGATGACTCTGCTGGGTTCGTCTCGACTAATTGGCTTTTTTCTAATTTGGGTTCCCCATTTCCAAAATTCGCTTCTTGAGAAGTGGCAGGACTCACTGCCCACATATATAACCAAGATCTTTTTTGAGGTGTGGTGGTCGAAGTGCTGTCCGTATTCGTAGGAGGCTCCACACTCATATTCTTGCTTGCATCTTGTTCTGAATCAGCTACCAACTGATTTACAGTCTCTGGCTCCGTCTCAGGGGCAGGCTCAATCTTTATCGGGGATTTAGTTAACGTGACACCGGTTGCTGTGGTTTGCCTGTTTTCATCAGTGGTAGAATTATCCGCCCCATCTTTGCTACGTGAAAGCCAACTGAACCATCCAGGTTGTGGACTTGCCGTATTTCCTTGCGCGCCTTTCTCTGCTGGCTGATCTGGTTTCGTCGGTTCTTCGTCAGTCTCGAGACTTTCCTTCCATCTATTTTGCTCTTCTGTTTGTGCGCTATTCTTTGTCTCGGTCACAGGGATCAGAGCCTCCTCTTTAGCGCTATCGTCCCCATTTTCAGGTTTGGTAGCCGGCGAGAAGTCATTGGACGTTCCCAGCACAGGTGACGATCTACTGGAAGCAACATTGATTCTCGTAGTAGTAACATCGGCGGGAAGTGACCTTGTTGACACTCTACCCTTCTTCATAAGGTCTATGGATTGGGTCCTCGATTGTCGCGACACAGGTGTACTAGATCGAGTCCGTTCCGATAGATGTGTATTCGTTGCCGAAATGCTCTCGCGCGCAACCTCCGTTATCGCTGGTGCCTTGGACTTCCGAGGCCAGGAATTCATGTACCACGTCTAAACAAAAGGAGTTCAGCTGCTATCACCACTAAAACAGATAAAGTGACACATACGGTCACATTTTCGCGCCCATTCTGTGAAGAGTCCTCTTTTAAATGAGATTTCGGAGGTGGGTCTGACTGACGGCCCTTTTGTTGGTTCACCAGCTTCCGAGGCTCCGTATGCGCCATAAGAAGAATCTATGAGCCGGCATCACACGAAGCCCGCAAAAAACATGAATCAAAGCTCGAAGGGGGGTCACTTGATAGAAGGATAGGGTTCTGGGGGTTGCTTTCAGAGAGTGATGAATTGGCATTGAATGCCATCATCATGACAACCACTGAGCGTGGTCGTCGTTCCATCATCTGATAGGCCGAGAGCCAGAGTAACGTGATGTCATCCGCGCCAAGCTATATTCTGATTACATAATATCATGTGATTCGTGGCTAGAAGTATGTGGCTGGTGATAGATCTTGGCATTCAAATATTTCGATCTCGGTATCTAATCGAGCTGATTTGAAGGCGGCGAGGTGAGCGGCGTCTGGTTGTCCGGTTTTGCTCCTCAGCTACTCTAGACTCGAGGTCGCGTAACTATGGCTATCCAGAAAAAGGTACTGACCATTCTCCAAGCACTTCCCTGAGAACATCAGCTAACAGGATTTCGTCTCCTAGCATGGCAAGGGTCGCTTGGACAAGTGGTATAAGCTTGCCAAAGAGAAAGGCTATAGAGCTCGAGCAGCCTTCAAATTAATCCAACTTAATAAAAAATACGGTTTCCTTGAGAAGAGCAAAGTACTTCTTGATCTTTGCGCAGCACCTGGTGTACGTTCTCCTATGTTACTCCTCGTGAAGTTATTTTGACCCGAAATTCCTTTCTAGTCATGGTGTCAAGTGGCTGCGGAATGTATGCCCACAGAGTCTCTTATTGTCGGAGTTGACCTCGCGCCAATTAAACCGATACCTCGAGTGATCACCTTTCAAAGCGACATCACCACGGATAAATGTCGTGCGACAATCCGGCAACATTTGAAAACCTGGAAAGCGGATACGGTTCTTCACGACGGAGCTCCCAATGTTGGTACTGCTTGGGTTCAAGATGCTTTCTCCCAGGCCGAATTAGCCCTACAGTCGTTGAAACTCGCAACGGAATTTTTGGTTGCCGGCGGAACATTCGTTACAAAGGTCTTTAGATCGAAGGATTACAATTCATTGTTGTGGGTATTTAAGCAATTGTTTACTTCTGTCGAAGCAACGAAACCCCCGTCCTCAAGAAATGTTTCTGCGGAAATTTTCGTTGTATGCCGGGGATTTAAAGCACCGAAGCGCATGGACCCGAAATTCCTGGATCCCAGACACGTTTTTGCGGAATTGCAAGATCCCACGCCGAACAATGAAGCGAAGGTATTCAACCCGGAGAAGAAAAAGAGAAAGAGAGAGGGTTATGAAGAGGGAGATTACACACAGCATAAAGAAATTCCCGTCACAGAATTCATTAACACTACCGACCCAATCGCAATCCTCGGAACGTATAATACATTGAGTTTTCATCAATCTCCAAGTGGTGATCTTGCTTTGGCAACCCTTGAACGACTTCCTGAGACCACAGACGAAATTCGAAATTGCTGCGAGGATCTCAAAGTTTTAGGAAAAAAGGAATTCCGAACTCTCTTAAGATGGCGTCTAAAGGTGCGAGAGCAGTTTGGGCTGGCGGTCAAAAAGGGGGCCAAGAAGGCAGAGGAATCAGAAGAGGTTGCTGAAATCGAGCCCATGGATGAAGAGCTCGCTATCCAAGAAGAAATGCAGCGATTACAGGAACACGAGTCATCGAGGAAAAAGAAAGAACGCCGAAGAGAAAACGAACGGAAGCAAAAAGAAATAGTACGGCTACAAATGCACATGATCACGCCAACGGACATTGGTATGGAGCAGAGTGGACCGATGGGGGAGGGAGCGATGTTCTCTATAAAACCTATCACTCGAGAGGGAGCGACGAGAAATATTACGAGTGGAAAGATAGTTGATGTTCAGAGCGAGGAAGATGAAGAAAGTTCGGCTACAAGCGATGTGGCGAGTGATGATGAGGAGGACCGCCTTGAACGAGAACTAGATGCAATGTACGAAAAGTATCAAGAAGATCGCGAAGAGCGCGATTCAAAATTACGGGCCAAGAAAGCTCGCAAGGGCTTAGAGACGGAGGAGTGGGAAGGATTTTCAGACTCTGATAAAGAAAGTGATAGGTTAAGTGACGATGATGAGGACGCCCCTCAAGCGCAACCTGGCATTCTTAGAAATGGTCAAGCAAATGGTCTTTCTAACAAAGCGGCGTTATTTTTTGATCAGGATTTATTCCAAGGTCTTGGCAATGAGGACGATGAGGAAGATGAAGAGGGAAGGGAAGCAGAGAGGAAGCAGAATCTATCGGAACAAGATGAGGAGAGTGATGATGACAATGATTCCGAAGATTACGAAACAACTGACAACGAGAGCAAAATGTCTGTGGATTCCCTTCCGGCGACAAAGAAGCAGAGTGGCCGTTCTTCCAAACCAAATATAGAAGGGTTCGAAGAACAAAAAGATGATCCTCGCACGAAGGAAGGTAAACTCGGTAGGTGACAAATCTTGCCTGGTTTTGAATATGTCCAAATTGCTAACCCTAAGATAAGATATCGACATCATCACTGCCGAAGCCATGGCACTCGCCCAGCAGATGGCCACAGGCGAGAAAACTTCCGCCGATGTCGTCGACGATGGTTTCAACAAGTATGCATTCAGAGATATTGATGGTCTGCCCGAATGGTTCCTTGATGATGAAAACAAACATTCCAAACCTCTCCGACCTATAACAGCCGCCGCCGCTGCCGCAATCCGCGAAAAGATGCGTGCTATCAACGCTCGGCCAATCAAGAAAGTCCGTGAAGCAAAGGGCAGGAAAAAATTCAAAGAAGCTCAGCGATTAGAAAAACTGAAGAAAAAATCCGCGCTTTTGGCAGAAGACGAGGGTGTGAGTGAGAGAGACAAAGCACAGACCATTGCGAGAATGATGGCAAGGGCGACAAAGAAGAAGCCCAAACAGAACGTGAAGTTAGTCGTAGCAAAAGGTGGTAACAGAGGAATTTCAGGCCGGCCAAGGGGCGTCAAGGGCAAATATAAGATTGTGGATGCGAGGTTGAAAAAGGATGTCAGGGCCCAGAAGAGGCTAGCCAAGAAGCGGAATAAGTAATCAATTGCTCCGGATGTCGGCTTCTGATTGGATAGGGAAGTGCATATACCGTCCCTTTATGGGACTATGGAGTATATTTGGGCGTATTGCATCGGAATGTGAATCGGTATATTTCAAAATATAGATTCTCTTCATTACCATCTAAATACATGATGGATGTGCACCATCCCGAAGCTTTACTCTAAGAATCCGAAATATATGATATTCGACCGCCAGATCGTCCATGTACTTTCTAGTGGGATTTTGCTCCACCGATGTATATATAAGGGTATCTCTAGGTTAAACAGCATGCAAAATGATTGTATCGCCCAGCCCTTCATACTTCAATTCACTCTGCTTCAGTCTTGCTCTCATGGTTTACAAAAATGAAAGACAGAAAGACGATCGCTGCGCCTATCCAATAAAGCACGGTCGAATATTGGCCATGGATGAAAATCTGGGCAATAAGGGACAAAGGGATTGTCATGCTGAGTCCTACTGTCACAACCAATGGCGTAGTGAGAAGCATAGCATAGGCCCAGCAGATATCCGAAGCCAGCGATACAATCGCATTAGTCTAGAGAGCGAGGCTGGTTAGCAGTTCAACCGCGAAGGCTCGTTTCCGATGGGAGAAACAAAAGATAAACTGTGAGGATGAAATCTTAATACATACCCGGATTATCGTCCATGTTAAGTGTGAGTCAGGCCATGCAAACGGTTCTAGTCCCGTAAAGTGCAAGATAAAAAACCCGGGCCACATAATAAAAGTATTCCAAAGGCCAACCAACCCGAAAAACAGGGCCATGCTCACCCGGCTTTCATCGCCTACCCGCTTCTTCATCACTATAATGTAAACACCATATAATATGGCACTAAACGCAGCCATTGCATCACCGATAGCTATCTCAGCTGGGGACTTGTAGGGAAAAGAGCCACGATTTTCATCGTTGGATCCAGATAAATCAACCCTAGAGATAATAATAATTCCCGTCAGAGAGGCAATGACGCCGAAAAGTTTACGCGCTGTAAACTTCTCTACACCGAGTGTTGCCCCGAAAATCAGAGTCCATACCCCTAATCTGTCAGTATCCTCCAAGATTATGCAAACGAACCCAACTCACCACTTGTCGATGTTAAAATCGTTGTGCTCCCAACCGTGGTATACTGCAGGCATGCGTACGCGAAATAGTTCGCCTGAAGGTTCATCATAAATGGATGTAATGATAGTAGTCAAGTAAATGAGGCACTCACTGCAAACTAGGAGCCTTGTTAGCAGGTGGGTGCAAGTTCGCTCCGTAGGTGTAGTTCGCTCACCCATAAGAGGCAGAATTGGAGACTTAATCGCGCAGTCGCCCGGAAATCCAATTTTTCGCGAACTTCCTTGCTACACCGAGGTAGCCCATCTGCAGACGCTGATGGATTGCCAGGAGCATCGTGTCTAATACCGGGCTCATTCTCCGAGCTCAGAAATGGATGCGATTCTTCTTCTAATGGTCCATCCTCTGCTTGGTGTGAGACATCCGCGTTTGCCCTCGTTTCTTTCCACCACTGGAAACCTCTGCGTAATGCATATGGGATAAGTGGTAAGGTGAACACTGCAGTGTTGAGATACGTCACGAAGAAGGGCTTGGAATAGGTATTATCCGCGAAGATCGTCTGCGTGGATGTTGAGTGGACTGTCAGTATATCAACTGGGATATAAATGGGACTATGAAACACTTATAACCTCGAAAATGAATTGCACGTACACTGGCAAGGAAATTCGATGTGGTCCATAAAAATACGACAATCAGTAGGAGGAGCACGCCTAGTGTATGCCTCGCGATGCCTCCGAACGGTGAGCGCCTGACGGTGGGTTTCCCGCACGGTTGGTATGCAGTCTCTTGAGAAGGAAACTCTTGATTCACGCCATGGGATGCAACAGCTTCTTCAGCGGCGTGGCCCGCATGAGCAGAGGTTCCAGTCTCCCCAGCCGTAGCCTCCAGGAGCGCCATACGTTCTATGATCCGCCAATAGGGCAGTTCACCGAATCAGATAAGGAGTGACACAAGTACATCAATGTTTGTATCCATAAGTACGCACAAAGGTGGACCAAGTTGTGACTAGTGTGATTCGTGACATCCTCGCCCCCGTGGCCAGAGAGGTGTAACGTTGAATGTTCACGAAATCTGAAAGGTAAATATTTATCGGGGCTAGCTCGCGTCCTCCATAGTACCTTGAGGTCACTTCCGGGGGCCAAGTAAACCCGCAACCCGCACTGAAATACCCCCAGTGCCTGCTTAATCCGTTCCCAGTGAAATCAAAAATGTGTATGTACTTCAAAAAATTTTGAAACCGAAGCCATGCCTTATCATTCGATTGATCAATTACTGTTGACAATAAAATGCTACTAACACCCATATCGGACGAAAAGAGTGCTATACTTCTGATTATTTCGAATGTGTCCGACCCTTTGTCCTGCAGCCAACAGGGCAAGAATGAAACGCGCCTTGAGAGTCAAAATATTGTAGGAAAGTATGGCTAGCAAGAAGTCCAAATGATACAAGGAGTGCCATAATCCATATCCAGGTAAAGAAACCACGGAAACAACGCCGAACGAACCCCAGCCCATGAAGCGGAATGATGTTAATCAAACGTCAATGTATTTTTTATCTGACACATTGACCATCAGTAATGTGTGGCCCCCATAGGAAGCATCAAGTACCAGACATTATTTCCAGGGGGCCACTTGTTGCTGGTTGCGAACCAGGAAATGACGAGGCATTGTTAACATGCGCAGGTATCGCGGTCGTTGTCGAGATGGATGTTGATCGGGTCCGTGAAATCGCCATTGAATTCTTCTGATTCCTCTTGCGTAAGAGCAACCTTTGCAATAACTATACTCCACATTAGCAAATAAAACATCAGCAAAAATGGAATTCACACAAACCTTCGAATGCTTGCTCTACATTAATAGCTTCTTTGGCGCTCGTCTCGAAATATGGAATGTTTCCCTTAGATTGACAATACGTTGACGCTCGTTTGGTGGATATCATCCGTTTGGACTCGTCAACATCGACTTTGTTTCCAAGCACAACCTGGGACTCCGTTAGCCGATCTGCCAGACCTGTCAATATTTGAACCACTTACGAATGGGAAGCTCTCAGGGTCCCTGGGACAAGCCTGGATAAGAAACTCATCCCGCCAACTATCAAGGTTCTCGAAACTCTTGGAATTGTTGACATCGTATACCAACACGCAGCAATCTGCTCCTCGATAAAAGGCGACACCTAGTGACTGGAATCTTTCTTGTCCGGCAGTGTCCCAAAGCTGAAATTTAGTTAGTAGAGGCAGGAGCGGCTTCAGGCTGGCAGAGAGGATACCTGCATAGTTACCAATCGATCGTCAACTAGAACTTCCTTCGTCAGGTAGTCCGCGCCGATGGTAGCTTTGTAACTAGCACTATATTTCTTGTTTACCTATTCAACAACAGAGTATAAGTATCACCCAGGCCGCTGTGCGATACGGAAAGCTACCGACATATTGGTTCATAAGACTAGTTTTGCCGACACCGCTATCTCCGAGGATGATCACCTAAAATATGGAGAAGCATTAGCGAAAATACGAATAACAACCAGTTACAGAGGGTATACTAACCTTCAGAAGGACCTTCTTCCGCGTTGCCATGACTGTAATGAAAGTATGAGTGGACGAGAATGAGGTTTGACTGCCACTCTGGTGGGCGGCTTGGGGACGGGAATCGTTTTATGGACACCGATGTTCTGGAGATACAGGTCAAGAAAGGTGGACCGCAATACAATATAGCAACATATAGTGTTCAGGTGGAAATATGATAGTTCAGGCAATAAAAGAGGAGCCACTTGCGACTGCAAAGGTGGTTGGTGGATGCGGAGGTGGATGGTCAGATGGAGAGAGCTTTGGGGGAGTTAACTTGTGAGGTGACCGCTGACCAGGTCTCACCATGCATCATCGTTGCCAAGACATGCCAACCAGCGCCAGCCATCACCCTCTCCAAAACGACAAAATATTAGGTTGACAATATCTTCACAAAGAGGAATTGACTGCAGACCTTGGAGGACAGAGCAGTTCTATTTATGATCCACCCATGTAGTAAATAGGGCTCATGCCTCCGCTCACCCACTCCAAACCTCTCCAGGAGCACCCAATGCCCAGGTGACCTTTCAAGACTTCGATCCCATACCAGGGTAGTCGAAGATCATTGACCTACCGCGTTGTTTTCTTGTTGTTGACCTTCAAGAGAGAGAGACAGATAAACGCCATTAATTACGATGTCCAATTGGAGGGAAGAGTACTATACCGCCCTTGGAGTCCGCGATGAGCGGGAAAAAGCGAATGAGTCGCTCTATGATGCCTGTATGATAATTACTCCAGGCTGGGGTTCTATGTGAGTCTCTTTCAAAGAAGATTCGCTCACACCAGTCCCTAGATACCCGCCTTGCCGACCGCACCAGCAAACTAGAAACTGCCAATTCTCTCCCTCCCACTCCTACGATCCCAAATCCGCCGCAATCCCCCTCCACAGCCACTCCTAAGAAACTAGGCAGGCGTGACACACCTCCTATACAGCCTCCAAGTGTTCCCGATGCTTTGGCTGCCGCGCGCAAGGACCTTGCTGAGGCGCAACGTTCGCGCACAGAGCTCCTAGTCCGATTAAAAAGGACGACAGAGGACCTGGAAAACGCAAAGAAGAAGGCCACTGTCGATAACAAGAAGATTTTGGATCTATCAGTGGAACGAACACAGTTGCAGCAGCGGCTCAGGGATAGAGACGAAGAACTTCGAGGAAAGGCGAAGCTATTGGATGTAAGATGTCCCCTTCGCCCTTTTTTGTGTCCGCGCAGAGGGCTTCCTTCAGACTTTCTCTCTGACTATTCAACTCCTTTGGGCGGAAATATTAGGATGTCCAAGATGAACTCGTATCACTTAATTTGCAATTTAATATGTCAGAAGACCGAGCAAAAAAGTTGGAAAAGGAGAATAAAGAACTAATCGACCGGTGGATGGCGAGAATGGGCCAGGAAGCCGAAGCCATGAATAAAGCGTCGAAATTCTCATGAATATCCTTAAGACGATTGAATGTCATGATGAGTATCATGCAATATACTAGCGTTATATTCCTAATGACTCTATGGAAATAAATTGCATTAGTCGATCACAGCATCATACATTCGCTGTAGCAGGGATTTCCACCCTCATCCTCAGCAGCGATAGCAACATGAAGCGGTGATCCGGGTATCTCATAATAATGTCGTCTAATTAATTACATATCCCAGGTCATCCATTTAGCCAAAACCAATTTAATACCCTCAAAGAGAGATCCAACCTTGCTCAATCCAAGCCTGTAAAACACATCTAGCCGGGTGTAATAGGGTATCCCTCGCTCTATACACATATATCCAAAAGAAAGTTGAAAAAGGAGGAACGAGTACTATAATGCAAACTAGAAAAGCCACCAACAAACATGATCAGCCAAAAAACACTTGTTCTTTCACGTCGATGACTCTAAAAAGGCTTTCAGTCGGGAACTATCCTTGGTTGCAATAAAATATGTTCCTGCGGCATTGGTCCAGCTGACACTGTCAGACCAGTACTGCTTTTGCTTGACCGAAAGCAGATTAATAGGCGAATTCAAATTCCTAGATTGTATCCGATGTCCTGCAGGAACAAAGGACTTGAGCGATACAATCTGGCAGCCTTCTTTCATATCGAGGAAGTAGTTTACCAATTTGTGGTTTAATTCTGGGGTGAAGGCTTGGTTGTTGATAAGAACCACGTCGGCCTTCTGGAGAATTTTGCCAACGCTATCAACTTCGAGAAAATCACCTCTTTTCAGGTGTGTCTGGCCAGGTTGCAGACCCCACAGACGGCAACGGGTTTTGAATTCCTTTTCTTGGAGTTCTGCCAGGTCACAGGCGTTTTGCATCATCTCACAGCCCCAGCTCTCACACCCGATTTCCAAAGCTGCCTGAAGAACGACATTTCCAACTCCCGACCCTAAGTCGACGAATACTTGATCTGACTTCAAACGGGTTTCGGCGAAAATCTTTGAGACAAGCCGCGGCAATAATTCACCATAAACGTTGTCAGAGCCGTTCTCATATTGGCGCAGAGAATCTACTCGAGGCGAAACCGTCCGCGAATACACCTGTGTCAAGATCCTCTCGACTAATGGAAGCGCCAACGCGTGTTTAGAATCCAAATGTCTAGAAATCGATCCGTCCTGGTGAAGTCTTTGGATGGTTTCATTGTAGCTTTTGACTCCATCTAAAAAGTCCGTTAAAGACGTATTGCTCAACGCACGACGCAAGCGTCGTAGCAGACCATTCGATTCGTCTTCAAAAAGCGCTAGGTGTTCTTCGGGAATGTAGTTCTGCGAGACAATTTCTAACAGCTGGACAATATCGTCAAGGGGTTTGAATCCATCGTTGTCACGAGGCACTACCAGCTGATATCTGCAAAATTTCAAGTTTAGAAAACCAGATACAAGTGAAACACATGCCAACTCTAGTTAAACCAACCTCTCTTTCTGTGGAGCTCCAGGATATTGTAACTCCACAATGATTGGACCATCCTCGATCCCGAAGGCATTATTAAAACCTAGAGATTTTTTAGACGAAATAATATCTGCAGCATGTATCATATCAAATGCGGCTTCATCGGAAAATGCATCTGTATCCCGAACGCGACGGTGTAAATCCGGCTCAACGCTGGAGCTAACCCTTGCCCTCTTGGTTATCCGAAGGTCTAGAGACACATCCGTATCGCTCTCCTCGCTACTACCGAAAAGAGTTGGCTCAATAGTGTTCCTTTTGCGCGAAGGCGGCCTCGATCTCGGTTGAGGATGACGTGCAGGCTTGCTTGCGGAGCTTGCGGATCTGCGGGCTGCAACGGGTTTTGAGACAGTATCTAGACGCGGTTGCGGCTTCGCAATCGAGGATAAGGACAAGGAGGATACCACTTTAGATGGTTTGCGCTCTACTTTGCGAATCTGGACCTTTTGCGCCTGGATTGCCCCAACACCTTTCTTCTGGAGATGATCAAAGAAGCTCATTTCTAAAGCCGGACAGTTCTAAGCCAAACGAGGGTAAGCAGAGACAATATAAAAAGTACAAAAAAGAATGGAGATGAATTAACAAGATAAGAAATGATGAAAAAGGAATGTATGTAGGTGAATCCAAAAAAGACGAAGGCAGAAAATTGCTGATAATCCTCACTAGATGAGAAGGAAACGCTCGAGCCGCAAAAACTGCGGCGCAGATGAGCCAAGACCTCTAGCGCCAAAGCCCCAGTCCCGGTGCCAAGACAACGTGGGTACTCCGAACAAACGAACTTGGTATGTAGGACATGCGCCAGTGCACCATCAGCCACCCCTGGATTGAAGCTAAAAATATTCTGTATCATTCTGGGAAAAACTTAGAATGTCCAAGGATACCAAAACCAAAGGGAATAATTATAGAACATTGTCTTAAGCAGAACATTAAAGGGTATCAAAGCCTGCTATTTAAAAGGTAGCCCATCATTCTAAAAATGCCACGCAGCTCGCCCATGTAGATACATCTTGTTTCCGAAGAATACGGAGAGTCGCCAGCGTCATCAGGAGACCATTGAACACGCCACAACCAATACGGAGTACGTAGATAGCGTCCATATATCCCAATAGCAATGCAAAAATATGGGATGAGGGGGAAAGAATTTTTTGCCATATCGCAATGCCGAAAAAATACATGCGCGCAGTAGATCGAGTGTTCCTTGAGCGAGGAACTGACGGGGCTGATATGAAAGCTTCGCCGACAAGGTGCGGAGTAGAGAGTATGGTTCATCGCATTTCCAGGGAAGAGTCTGGAACATCTGAACTAGAGGGTTGACAGCGCGGCGCTCCGAGAGCTCTTGTCAACACAAATTTCAACGAGCCGAGCCATTTCCCAAGGGCAGCTTCGTCGAGGGCGCAAAACCTATACCTAGTGTCTTCGGTGATAATTTGGAAGCAGAACACTTTGGATCGGGAAATCGGGTCGATATCGGCGGCATCGATCACCTCGTCAATGGAAATTATCTTAATTGCCGAATACTCCTGTTCATTCTTATAGAATGCTAGTTTGCCCACCCGAAGAACAACCCAAAACTTTTTCCACTGCCGAACCCATTTCTTGTTTCTGAGATACAAGAGATATCCATTGAATATCACACGCTCCGGGTGAATATTTGTTGATTCAAATTCACTATTTAAAGGGCTATGGCTGTCAATTGATGGTTGGACGTCGGCATGGCCTGTTGGCGATATTGCTGAATGACGCGTCTTTGGCCTCCGAGGAGCTGTGGAGTAATTCGAGGACGACGTCATGCCGTTGCCGGGCACCTCAAGGAAATTTGATCTTCCGGATGCTGTGGTGCAATGTGACGAGGCCAAAGTGTCGTCGCCTTTGTATACCTCATTGTCCGACATCTCCCATCCACTCTCGTCCCCGTCCATGGCTGGTGATCCTCTTCCCACGAACGTGATCCGATGTTAAGAATATATTAGGGTAATTTGACAGGGTATTCAAAGTGAATTTAACGCGTTCAGCTCGGAAACCCAGTTTGCGATGGCGCCTGAAATCCGTATCTGTTCTTAGGCGGAGATATTTCCTAGCTGGTTTGGGGGCCTTGATCCAGGGGCTTTTTATGTGCCGTGGTAAAAGCAGCTAACTATCAAATTTGTTATAAGGAGTCAAGCTTCGTTCGTGACAACCATAACCATCTTGAAGATATTTTGAAGGTTTGGGGTATGGTTATATTAAAGAACAAAGACGTAGTACTCTGTGAAGAGAAATTAATATTTACTTCGTAGCTAGTATGGAGTAGTTGAGCTATGTATTAACTTGTTAAGGGTCATAACCAGCTGCTTCAAAATTTGTCACCACCAACTAACCACGCATTTCATTCAACCTGGGTTGGTATCTCCTTGTACCTGTAAATTCACCAAAGCATGCATGTATGTACATACATGCATACAATTGACGAGTACAGGCACTCCATAATTTATCAAACTGCCAAGTATTTAGTTTTAGCAGTCCGAAGATTTTAAACCAAGATCTGAAGTGTTCTTAGAAGCTAGTGAAAGACACTAGGTACCTATTATCCTGTTTACTGGCATTGATACGATCTCTCTCCTTAACTGACGCGACTACCAAATCTAGACTGGTCAACAGGGTGGCTGGTTAGTTGTATTTCGTATGTTATTATTTTCCAGTGTTGAGAGTAGTTTCCACAACCATCAGTACATAGCAATTTCATCTTCATGGCTAAACATTATAAGGTTGTGAGAAATATCATCAAACATGGAATTCAATCTGAACACTCATATTGCGCCCATCTTGCAATACATATTCCCCAAAAACAGTACCCTCAGTCTCGGACGGGTCTAAGAACTTGGGTATTCAAACATTACGCCACTCTCCCTCATAATGTGATGTGTACAGAGCCTTGCAATACTCCCAGTATTCTGGGTACCAACCAGCATGGGCCCAATCAATGAGAGCAATAATACGCGGGGGACGTGTTGGCGAGATTAAAATGTTACCATGATGCAAGTCCACATGAGTCAGCTTGATGGTTCCATTGTCTGGCAAGTAGTCACGATAGGGGTCCCGATATTTGCGTGATTCAGGAAGCCAGTGCTGAGGCAGTGAAGAGAACCAGTCGTTGAATTTTCTCACATTTTTAAAAGGTCCCTTCCAGGGCATAGTTTCAAATACATAGTCATGTAAATGTTGACGAGCGATGGATCCTACAATTATCAGCACAATAGTTTCATGAAATAGTGCAAGACATGCATACCAACAAATGGATCCTTTGGATCTTGTTCAACCTGGCGGTGAGGAAACGATCACCTGAAGCTGATCACAGATTGAGGCCTTCTCAGGTTCACTTAGAGAATCCCATCGATCATGCAATGTGTCTCCTCAAATAAGCTCCATGTATATAAAATACACAGCCGTTGTGAACTTTCCAGCCATACACCTCTGGGACAGGTATCTTGTCACAGAAGGTCTTTCGAATCATGCGTAGGCATAGGGCTTCTTCAATCTCCACAGCTGAACCAAACTTGACAAGAAGGTTGATCAAACTTAACCGGGGCGGGCCGTGGATCAGTTTTGAAGTCTTTTGAGAGGGCGATGACTTCTATGGGAGTGGGCAACCCCCCTTTTTTGGCCTGCCTTGGTCGCGAAAAAGGAGGAGTCTAGAAAATTTACCTCCTTCTGGGCCGGGTCGGGCTTCGGTAGGGGTTGAATTCGTAGTTTAGCGGGCATGTTGATCAAGTTTGTCAATGATTCTTGTGGAATACTAGAGTTGAGGGAATCGAGGGAAGTATGCAGTTAACGTGCAGATGTGTTGTTTGAGTGGAGGATGGGGAGCTACAGGTTCATCCGTACGGCAGGGAACACGGCGCTTTAGCACTGACATACTCTGTAGTTGACCAGTGAATTTCACCAGTAATTAATAATAGTCCACTCATCTCACTGAATATATCCTACAAGCCTTACAATAACCATCTCTCTATTTCTGTTTTCAAAATCAACGGCCATGAGTGAAGAGATAGCAGGAAACAGTTGGATTCATTCAGCTCTGTCCTCTGTAACCTGACAACACTAAAATCCACCTCTCTGCATACGAAACATCTTGGCTCCAGCTCATCTTCGGAGAATTCACAATTCCGCCATAATTGCCAATGCGGTAATGCCTAATTGACGATAAGCTCCAGAGAGCAACCAGTAATAAACTCCGGGGACCATCGAAGGAGATGCAAACCATACAAGATAGAGCATAACATGTGAGTTTACCACTGATCATTGCATGAGCATGATGAAGGTATCTAATTCACATCAGTTCTCCAGCAGCCGGGCGGTCACCATTGGAGATGCCATACTTCTCCCTGAGGCATTTGTCTCGGCAAGGAATCTTGGTATATCGCTGTCTTCCTCCAGCTTCCAGACAGCAAGCTGGTCTCCGCTCTCAAGCAGTTTTCATGCAACTCGTTGGCCACCTCGGGGGCTATGAATAGGACAACCACACGCCAATCTTACACATGCCCCTTTGTCGACCGTTATCTGACTATGACATTAGAAATAACAGACGACGATTACTGCTTGCTTGCCAAGTCGCATTCTTGAGTCTCAGCTCCCCAGCTCTTCTCAACTCAAAAACGAAGTTCCCTTGGCCCTGAACCTGCCATCAAAAATTGCCCGATCCGAATTTCCGACATAAGCCGGAATTAGGGTTGCTGCCGACGGGCCGGTTTTATAGAGTAATTATGGAGAGAGTGGGTGGGTTGCCGTCAGTTGTCTGGGTACGGATGACTCCGTATTGAAATATTGAGTGCTCACGAGTGTGTAGGTCCGCCGCAAATCTACAGCCTTCTACGTGAGGTTAAATGCTGATGCTGTGATTGCAAAGGAAGATATGAAGTGAACATTCAAATCCACTGCATGGAGTATGTCCGTATTGAATTTGGAAAAGAGCACACTCAAAAGCGAAGGAGTCTGCTTGTCGTGAGCGGTATACATCCTGCCATCATCCTGCCAAATTCATGTGGGCCGTAGAATGGAGGATGCTCAGTCAGTTCCAAGTTGGGATGGTCGAGTGTTGATATTGATGTTGCAGGTCCCGGTTACCAGTAATCCGTTTGTTGCCCAAGAACCAAGGTATTCCATGTTTGCTCTGTTTGCGTCCATCAAGCCCCCAACAAAGCCCACTAAAACAGCTTACGCGTTTTTGCTTAGCTATCCCACTCTTTCGCCTGCTGATCCGACTCTAATAAAACTGCGCTTCAGTCGCTGGCTGGAAAAAATGATGGAATGCAGGGTGAGTTTATTATGCAGCTAAATAACACAAATACGGGCGTTGTTGAGAATTCAGGAGGCCTTCGTCGCACAGTAAAGTAATCCAGTATCAATCTCAAGGAGGAAGAGTATCTGTACTCTGTACGGAGTAGAACAGAGGAAATAACTCGTGTTGAGAAAGGAAGACAGGAAGTCAGAACCTTGGTCAAAATTTTGAATGGCAAATTCTAGACTCTTTGGTTGGCCGAGATTTGATATCTGCGACCGGGGGGAGGGTTTCTGTTGGCGGACTTTCGTCCCTTGTGGTTAGAATCAGTCTTGGCACTGTTTCTCCTGTGAAGGTTCATCTGCAAGAAAGCCGACGAGGAGAAAAAAAGCCTCAGACCTCCCGTCTTTTCGCCGGAATCAACCAATATCACCTTTCTCGGTCTTGTTTCTGATCCATGATCATTGCTGGGCAATCTGTTTTCCTTTCGGTGGTCGGATTTCGGTCCATTGGATGACTGTCGTCCCCAGTGATCCTGGCAGAGCAAGAGGTTTCCCCAGATCGAGCCTTTCGACTGTGAAAGCGAAGCCGATTTTCACTCCCTAGTCGCTCGTTACGCCTAACGCCCTGCCAACCTCACCCTTCTACGACGATTTTGGTCCTCTCTGTGGCCCAGGTCCCCAATCTGTCGCTTTTATCGTGGCTCTGCAACAAGCGACACTACCTTCTCCCATAAAGGGGCCCCCGGCCGCCGCGATCCACCTTCCTTGACTAACGAGGATTAAAGGATACAACAATCACGTCACTTCGATGGGCATCATACATCGACTCGCAAAGCGAGTATCATACTTGCCCGTGGCGGCATCCCTCGACAATGCTCTGAGCGAGAAGGGGACCATAATACCACGTTTTGCTTTCTTCAGACGGCGGATACGTTTAAGAAGAAACTCCGCCATCTCAATTCCCTTAGGATTTGTTTTATTATTTCCATGTATTGTAATTGTTCTTATTGTTCTTCTCATCGTCACCCATCCCTCTTCCTCGGGTGGGATCCTCGTGCCAGCTGGCACTCCTCCGACGATAAGGTGGGTTTCCTTCCCCGTTACGCTTCCCACGCCCTTTGCAGTGCATCGCAGTTGACCTGGGCGTTCAAATCTATAGAAAAATCAGCGAGAAGTATGACAAAGTATTCGCAACCGGCTGCCTCGAACTTGATACCTCGACCCCCAGGGCCAACGCAGCTTTTGTTGTCTTGGCCCGAAATAAGGAGATAGATGGCGTGATACAATCCATGAAATCGATCGAGAGGCATTTCAATCGATTCTACAATTATCCTTATGTGTTCTTAAACGACGGCGATTTCGATGAGGATTTCAAATCCACAGTGAGAAATTATACCGGTGCTTCGGTCGAATTCGGTAAAATCGACTCGACCATGTGGGGTTATCCCGACTGGATAGATCATGAAGTGGCAAAGGAAGGAATCCGCAAACAAGGTGATGCAGCTATCATGTATGGCGGATTGGAGAGTTACCACCACATGTGCCGCTTTTATTCAGGGTAAGCTTCGCATCGGTCAGTGCCAAGTGAAGGTCGCTGACAGCAAAATCCAGGTTCTTCTATAAGCATCCTCTGCTCATGAACTATGAGTGGTACTGGCGCCTGGAACCCGATATCAAATATTTCTGTGACATTACCTAGTATGATCTCCTTTCCCTCCTACCTCTCAGAGATGCTAATTAGGTTCACAGTGATCCCTTCCTTAAGATGATCGAGCACAACAAAACTTACGGCTTTACCATTGCTGTTAAGGAGCTCCGAGAGACCGTACCGAATATTTTCCGCTATGCATCTGCCTACAAGCGAATGAATAATTTGACATCTAAAGGACTCTGGGAAATGTTCTTGGAAGAGCCAGTGGAAACCCAACAAAAGCCAAAGGAGGGAAAACCTGGTGAAAATCCGCTACCAGATGAACTCCTACAAACAACACCCGGCGATAGCGGCACCCCGGAGGTTAGTCCCGAGGCCATGGAGGGCGAAGAGTACAACATGTGCCATTTCTGGAGTAACTTTGAAATTGCTCGACTTGACTGGTTCCGTAGTAAAGAGTACGAAGATTTCTTTACGATGATGGACCGCAGCGGAGGTTTCTGGATGGAAAGGGTAAGCAGAGATGTGCCACCTTTCCCACTTCTAAATCTTGCTAACTGTCATTAGTGGGGTGATGCTCCCATACATTCTCTTGCTGCCGGTGCGCTCTTGTCACCTAGCGACATCCATTACTTCAGAGATTTCGGATACCGACATACAACGATTCAGCACTGTCCAGCAAATGCTCCAGCCCGCCAGCGCGATCGTATTCCGTGGTTGGAAATGACGACTGAAGACGAAAAGAAGCGTCAAGAAGAGGACGAGTATTGGGACACTCCAGATCCTCCAAAGGAAAATGGGGTCGGCTGCAGATGCAGATGTGATACTGACATCGTTGATGTCGAAGGCAAGCAAGGTAGCTGCTTGGCCGAATGGGTTAAAGTAGCCGGAGGATGGGCATCTCCTTAACGACTCGATTCAGCGCGCATTTCCGTACGTTTTCATTAGCGCTCCTCCGTATGGTCCTCGAAAGTTGTTACAGAGCGTTCAATACCTATACCTCTATCTGGCACTTCGAAGCCTTATATTCAGTTTATTCCTGCATTTCCTGTTGGCCATGGGATAATCGGAAACACGGCGTTTCACGGGGGATAATTCATCGACCTTCTCAATTCAAAAACAACACTATACTTCCGAATTTTTACGGTGCCTAATTACGCTTCTATTCTTTTGGATGAACATAAAATCCACTTTTCTTCATAACTCTGTTTTAACGCCCTCCATTCCTGTCCACAGATATGCGTCGTGCTTGAGCGTTATCGGTATAGGCTTTCCCAAAAAGATATGCCATACCCAAACAACAACGGTTAATCCAACCAACGTTGCGCTATCAAGCTTCGGTGTCACCAAAGTGAATCACAGAGGCAAATTGCTTGTGACAAGATGCACCTTTTATGTTTTTTCCTATTCGTACATCCATGCCCCATCTCCATCCGCAGTGGTCGTCTAGTTACACTACATCCAGATGCTGGAATGATTCGAAAATCCTTGCTGAAGGCATGTACAACATCCTGCTTATGAAATAACTTTGTACCGTGTAGACCATCCTATTCCATTTACATTTATAATATTCTTCTCACCCTCTTTACCTTTTTCGGTGTATACATAGGATGGTTTGACTCTTTTTTTCCTTTTTCGATTCATGTGTTCTTCTGCAGCATGTTTATATTCAGGGAGAAAGGTCCGAGCGGACTCTAGGCTTCTGTTAACCTGCTATTTCTGCTTACGAGGTAAGGTACATGTCTTTCGTGGGTTGATGGAGAAGCTGCTCAGACGATGAGCTCTCACTACTTGCCCATTGTCTAATATTGCAAATGGACCATCAGGCGAAAATCTTCATCAAACAAAAGATATGTCTGGCATTTGACATTTAACATAAGTGATTGGTAAACTCTGGAAAACGAATATCCGCTCCACATGATGGAAGCTTTATACTCGTCCCTCCATATGCGCTCTCAATGTCAACATTGTTGAGGTTGGAGATAATTTCCAAACAAGCCTGGACCAAAAAGGGCTAGAGTCATGATATCATCCGTGCCCATACAGCCCGCCTTTGAAAGAGTGGAACATGCTTTCAGGGACATTTTCCATCGACAATTTACTCCATATTCTGTATCTTTTCCGGCTGAATGCGGTACTCTGCTATTGATAACCCATTGCTCGTACTCCAGGGAATCAAGTAAATATCCGATGGTGCTTTGATGAGCTGAAATCGCATAGCGCGGGCTGAAGTTGCATTTTGTGGGAGATTTGCCAGCGCCATTGGTTGATGAGCCTTAAGCAGCGGTTCTGCCTAAGTATTGACGCGAAGCTTAACCAACCCAGTATCCGACCCCACCTGTGAACTCGACTCGCCCATCAACTGAGGTCGTGCCAGCTCATCGTTTCAACCCTCAGCTTCGGTATTCAAGGAGCTCGGGCAGATGTGATGACCTTCTAAGAACGCTACTTCATATGCGTTGCCAGACAAGGGGCTGCTGCGGCGTGCCAACAAACTAATCGGCATCCAGATCATTGATTCGAAACCCCACTCTTTCGAAATACAGCTCCGCCTGCCCCCGTACCCAATCTAGATCAGGAGTAACGACCGACCGCTTCAACGCACTATACCTCTTGCTTTCTACCGGTGCCTTTCTCCCTTCCTCGTGACAAAGGTCTACTCAACCTTTCTTTTCTGCATCTTCCAGGGGCTGCGGTGCCCCGACCTAAACTTGACGCCGCCGCCGTCAAGCTTATACCTCTTGTAGGAGTACCTATGACCTCAACCTCTTGAACTTCCAGCAGACGAGTGAATGATAGCTAATGCCCTGCTTCCAGATGTAATTTGAAGGGCTTGCTCTCCTTCAACAAACCCCATCGCCTCTCTATCGAACGGCACTCTCATCGTCGTCCTCGCCAGACACTTGAATCCGACAATACGATGACGTCAGCACCCTCTAATCGACCCGCAAGCTCCCTGAGCGAGAGCTGGGCCACGCTCAGCAATTCAGACGCGCATTCCGAAGATGAGTGGCGTTCGGAGCATACAGATAATATGTCCCTAGTCGGCCATAGTGTCGCGGACGATGTTGCAAGTCTCGGCAGCCGGGATCTGGAGAGTGATATCGACAGCGAGGACACCGAGAGTCACTGCTCTGAATCCCGGCCTTTCCTACCACCTATCTATCGCGAGGCTGAAAATAACTTTGAAAATGAACACAAAATGCAAGCTAGTTTTATGTCGATGTCTGAATCAATTGTATTCGATGAACCGGATTATTGGCCATCTACGGAAGTTGTGGAATTGAAGCACACCGTCCAGGTACTTGATAAAGCCGACGCTCTGCGTTTCGGCGTTCCGTTCGATATCGGGCAGGGAGACCTTGCCATCTCCGTTCAGCAATCAGTTTCCAAAAAAGCCATTGATGTGGAAAAGCCATTCCGAGTGCTTTACATTGGGAATCCAATGTTCAAGTCTAACGTTCTGGATAAACTTGGAGACGTACTAGTTACTAGCCCTAAGAATAGTGTGTACGCTGGCTCTGCAAATTCATCGCGGTTCCATGTTGTCCCAGCTTCTTTTGGCCCAGATGCCACCCCAAATTATGCCGAATTACTCCCCATCCACGTTCAGCTTGTCGTGGAGGAAGCCGTTTCCGCCGAGGCGTTAGCTGGCCCGAGAAATGCTGACAGTATTGGCCTTTCTTTCAAGGACAGAGAGCCGGTCATATCCACAAGGACAGACTCTGGCTTTCAGTTAATTTCTGCTTCGAGTTGGGTTGCGCCAGATATTACCATTTTCTTCGTGAGAGAAACTGAAGATATCTCAACATATGCCACGCGCAATCTCGCCTTCACGTTCATGGAAAGGCATAACATACCTGCAATGGTGATCTCCGAATCTCCGCTTTGGGGTGGCCATGACTCTTCAATCTCTATTGATCCGCGAACCCTGCATATCTGCCTAGAATCGCGCGATCCAGGCACTGGCAGCTCCAAGGTCGTGGGTAGATATCCCATAGACCTAGTCACTTTTGAGAATATTTCACCCGCGCAACTTAATCGAAACTTGGCGTCCCTTGCCGGAATTCACCCCAAGGAACAAGCGAAGCTAGTCTCTCTTCGGCGATATACGAACCAAGACGGGAGAATGTCTGACATTGGGAAATATGGGACAGGCTCAAATTGTTATCATTTCTTGAAAGATGGGTGCAATTTAAGAACCATGAATGGCCACATCCTAGGGTTGATTATTGGGATTGCTATGATATGTCTCTGCTGCACTGGATTAGGAACACTACTCTTTGCTTTATTTAAGTATTTTGCCGGCTTCGCCAATGTCTCTGTTTCCATTGCACATGGAAAGATTTCGGCCGGCTCCCACACGACACTAATTCCAAGCACTAAATCGAATTCAATGGGAACATCACTGCTACCGAAATCGAATGCGGTGGTTCTCTCCAGTTGCGCGAAAGACAAGACTCTGAGTGTCAATGATGATATCCTGAAATTGACCCACTCGAAACCAAATAACACGGACAAGTTTCAGGTATATGTCGTGGGTGATTGCCATGTGATCATCAAAGTACCAACTCGCATATCATCGATGAGAAAGGTTCCAAAATTCGAAGTCAAAATCACAAAGGCGGATACAAAATTGGATTTCCATCTTTCAAAGCTTTTCGATAATGTATATACATTACGACTGGCCAGAGAGGATGCCCACGGGGTTATGAACGTCACAATCTCAGCGAAAGCGAAGCCGCTTGTAGAACAAATCACCGAGGTCGACTTCGGTACTCCATGGCTTAAAATAGCAAGCTGGAAGAAGGCAGCTCAATCTCTTTCGTATCAGCTAAGGAACGACTTGACTGCTGCTCAGGCCGGGATTTCCGAGGCGTATTATCGAGTCTTCTTTGACCTGCAGTCCGTGAGCGACACTTTCAGAGCAGAAAGCGGCTTTGGTCCTCAAGCCTCAATCAAGCAAATCCTTAAGGCGGCATGCGAGTCTGTGAGCAAGGCAAAACGGTATTCTGAAGAGATCCAAAAAGAGTCATCAGAGCTGATGAAGGAGTCTTCACGGCTCTTACGAGAGCAAGCGCAGATCATTGCCAAAGAAACCACAGAGATTGCCCACGGGATGTTTTCGAAAGTGCAGCAGCACGCAAAGCGAGCGCGCCAGTCAGCACTGAATGTGGATCTCACGCAGCTAAAGCGCACAGCCGAAAGAGCTACCAAGTCGCAGTCCCTGGCTGCAGCGCAGAAGCAGGCATTCCATTTGGCTCGAGATGCTCGACTTGGATGGAGAAAGCCGAAAAGGTCTTGTAATGGAAAATCATGTTCTGCCAAAGGGATTAAGCAAAGGTAGAGTCTACTATATTCTCTTCTCCTGTGTTTGCTCTTTTCCTCTTCGCATTCTTGTTGATATTTGTTTTCGTGTATGAAACATCTCAAGGACAGGAGGTGTTTGGTTTGCAGGTTTGGCGCAAATATGCCAATCATGATAATTATTTCTCCAAGGAAGTGTAGTTATTAGTTCACCCTTCTCCTTGGTAGAAATGCCTCTTATTTTCTCGCATATCAGCCGCCTTGACATTCAAGGTGAATCAAGGAATTGATCAGGAATCATGGTGGTGGGAATTTCTTGTATCTTGTGCTCTGTATGCAGACTGAATTAATATCTCATCGGGAATTGACACTTTAAGACCATTCCAGAGGTGAAAGAAAGGGAGTTCTCCATGTTTGAAGAGCGTGAGAAGAATATATCCCAAACAATCGTGTGGAGCTTGTCTTGCAAGATTGGGCGCTAACTAGTGCACCACCATTATCAGCCCACATTTTCTCCCCTTGACCTTTAATGCCAAACAACCCGATCATCAAGTAATAGAGGTCTTGCTATCTAGATCCCTTTACCCCAGATAGTCTCCCATTTACATTGCCCTTTTCTACATTTTCTTTGCCCTCAACAACACATAGCACCGCTCACGATGTCTGACACCGAGACAAAACCCGACCCCACCACCACTGCCCCTCCCGAAGAGAAGAAGGAAGAGGTCCCTGCCACCACAGAACCTGAGGCCGAAACCAAGCAAGGAGAGACCACAGACAAACCTGCTGCTGAGCAGGAGGCGAAGCCTGTCACCTCTGACAGTGTGTTCTCGATGTTTGGTGGGGGTCCCAAGAAGGAAAAGAAAGAAGAAGCCGAGGATGATCAAGCCGAACCATCTGGATCTTCAAAGAAGAAGGAGAGCGAAGAAGCTGTAAGCGGCTGCTCAGCTTTGTGGGATTTTGCCGTCTTTGATAGGAGATTGTTTCTCCGACCGCGGAATCATTTTCTATTTCCTTTTATTTTTTTGCTTTTATTTTTTTTTTTTTTTGCTTTTCTTCTTTGCCTCCCCGCGGCCGATCTCTGCGGTGCTGCTTATCACATTCATTTTCATAAACCTTTTTGCCATTGCGAGGAATATATTTCCAAAGGCTAATAGAAACTGCAATGCTATAGGATGTTGAAGCCGAGCCTGATGTCGATTTCGAGCCCGTTTATCGCCTGACTGAGAAGGTTGAGATCAAGACAAATGAGGAGCTCGAGGAACAAGTTTTCAAGATGCGTGCGAAGCTTTTCAAGTTTGATACCGACTCTAGAGAGTGGAAAGAGCGTGGAACCGGCGATGTGAGACTGTTGAAGCACAAGGAGAACCACAAGACTCGCTTGGTTATGCGAAGAGATAAGACTCACAAAGTTTGCGCGAACCACTACAGTACGTTCCTTTCCTTCTTTGCGGATTGGAACCAGGAAGGATGATATACTGACAATATGCTCGGTCTAGTCGTCCCTGATATGAAGTTGTCTCCAAACGTTGGAAGTGATCGAAGCTGGGTGTGGAATGCTGCCGCGGACGTCAGCGAAGGTGAACCCGAGGCGCAGACTTTGGCCATTCGTTTTGCCAATAGTGAAAGTGAGTTGATAGTTTTACTTAAAGAGGGAAAAAAGTGGATAGACTGAGGCTAACGATACCGGTCTGTAGACGCCAATCTCTTCAAGGAGGCATTCGAGAAAGCTCAGGAGGAAAACGAAAAACTTTTCAACAAACAGTAAACGTACATGATTCTCTCCTGAAGTCGACCAGGAACGGTTGCCCGCCATGGCGAAACCCACAGAGATGAGATAGCTCCCACAGTGATCTACACTAATTTGCTCCATCCCCGTCCCTACGCCCAGATCTATTGAAAACAAACTCATCCCGATGCACTTACCCCATCCCCTTTGAGTTCCCTATTGCGACCATCGAGCTCTGTGGCTATTTTCTATCAAACCCCCGTTTGGCTCCAGGGAGAGCGGTTCGGATCGATGGTGAATACCAGATGATGAGTACTACGAATAGCTCCCCGGTCCTGGGCCCTCCGCCCTTATTTTGAAGGGAAAAAGAAAAAAAAAAAAAAAAAACCAGTAGTACATAGAGCACTCAGTTGATAGCAGCCCAATATCAAGTGAATTTTGACAAGTATTGAATTTTATTTTGTATGGTTTGTTGTTTGATGTTGAAGACGTTTGCTGGACAGCTCCGCATTCTCATAGTAAACTATTTAACTCTGCTTGGAGAGTGGGTTGCTGATAACCACCCCAAAGTCGCATCCCACTCTAGATGGCGGGCGGCAACTCTCCTCTTACAATGAAATGAGACGAAACCCATATCATCCATCTCATCTCATCTCTTAATCTCTCAATCAGCACTCTGTCTAGAGATCTCTATTCCTCCCTCTGACATTGTCTGTGTACAATCACCCAGAGAACTTACCTGGCCAACAACGGCGTTCCCCGCAACACAACTTCGCGACCACCAACACTTCTACAAGTGTTCCAGAAACAGTCAATAACACAACCAGGAAGGATGCCTGATGTAAGCTTCCGGAGCCCTCTGGACCTCATGTTGCACTCTTGCAAAAACAGCTTCTTTCATCATCGCGTCACCATCCCTTCACACTCAACCTCTGTCGCACCTATCACGCAGCTCTTCAGGTGAACGCCAATACTAATGCCGAGACACACTCAGGTCAAACGCACTGTCAAGCTCATTACGGAGCAGGCCCCGACGTATGTATTCTTATCTCCCTGTTGTTGTCGACCTGTGTTGCTGGAACTCGTCCACCGCCGTGCATGCGGTTTTTACCCCGCCCCGCGGTTGCCCCTTTCGAAACGGAATGAGAGAATATGTACCACATAAATCTTGCTCTATATACATGGATGCTGCTGCTGTGCTGCTAAGCTATGTCTAAAAAGGAGTACTGTGCGTTGGGACCCGTGCTGATTGGGTATATCATGAGATAGGGAGAAATCCTCTGAATTTGACGGCTTGCCGGTCCGTCGGTGGTCCGTTGAAGTTTATCTCCTGAACGAGCATGGAGAACAGGTTCCTGCGACGCTTTTTAGTGAAGTGACTTATACTCTTCACCCGAGTTTCGAAGACAGAGCTGTCCAAAGTGAGTTGCGCGTCTAATTCATGCTTTTTGGTACCCTAAATTACCGGAAGACACGCGTGACATTTATATTGTATTGTAAGGGCTGGGCCCCTGCTAACTAGTTCTCTTCTGTTGCCAGCTTTCAAGGCTCCGCCTTTCAGAATTGAAGAAGAGGGATGGGGAGAGTTTGACATGTCCATTCGGCTTCTTGCGCCGGACAAGGAACATGTTATCGCTCATGACTTGAACTTCCAACAGAATAGATACGAGTCGAAGCACGTTCTTGTGAGTTATATTCTTTATATTCGATGCCACTGTTTCCGATATCTGGTCCCTTGGTCTCTAACAGTCGGATATCAGACGTTTAAGAACCCTAAGCCGGCTGTCCTCGCTGCCCTACGCGAATTTGGTCCCGTCCCAGGAGATGAAAATGGTCTGAAGTCGAAGCGTGGCCAGGATGATAACTCAAAGAAAAAGAAACGCGTCGATAAGAATGTATGCCTTGATTGAAGCCTCTGTGGTATTGCAGTCAGATTTGGTGCTTCTGTCACTAACTATTATCTCTAGATTGATATGGAGAGGCTTGCCGATGGTTTACAGAAGCTTGGAGAGGATGATCTTCTTCAAGTTGTTCAGATGGTTCATGATCATAAGTCACCAGATTCATATACAAAGAATGATATTGAACGTAAGTATTATGCTTCAATATAACATCTATGCCTTACTAATTTCTACTGCACATATAGAGGGTGAATTCCATGTCGACCTGTATACCCTGCCCGACAGCCTTATCAAGATGCTCTGGGATTTCTCTCAGGAAAAGGGAGTTGTGTGAGCGAATAAGCTTGCACCCCCTATTTTAAATTAATATGCTAAAATCGAAATTCATTGGGAGATAACCAGCATTGTTAAATATGGAGAAAGGAACCAAAAGCTGGAGAAGAGAAAAAGAAAAGGGAAAAAAAGTCCTGCAATTGCGTGTGCTGAAAATACAGATGTAAAATAGGCCATATCTCTTTGCTTCCGCCCACATCTTCGTGTCCTCTGCTGCCATTGGCCCCGCATATGGTCTTTCCTTTTACTCATAGCCTTGAGTTATTTTTCTCTCATCTTTTGGTCTGATTTTGCCACGGAGTACATTGGCGACAAGGTTCCACTTTCGTGTAATTCTGGCGATACATTCACTGATGGCATGAGATATTCTGGGTTGGGTCTCTTAATAATTGAATGGCATATGAAAGCACCGTTTAACCTTTTTCTTTCCTCTAATGCTACTCATTGTTTCAACCTTTACCCTACAAGCACATTTTTAACTATGTCACTATCAGTTGTGCCTACGGTTGGCAAAGCTTTGCCCAGGTACTCAAAGATGGGTGTGAACACAAGAGCATTGATCTTTGCTTGCAATTATAAGGAGTTATACTTTATACAGGTGTAGCATACAAGGATGCAGAATCTATTATATCCATGTCATATACATACACTCCCAAGACAGAGAGGACATCAGCGAAGGTTAGATGACTTTTTGTCAAGCACAGCCATTAGGTAACTAAACATTAAGAGTGAAACTTCTGCAAAACATCCCAGTTAAATTCACCCTAGAGGTGGTTTAAGTAATATATTGGGCGTGGTGTGCAGGTTTCTATATCAGCATAGGCCGAATCGCATCCACTAGTATTAGCACACTCGAGACGGTGTGTTGCAAAAGTGCATATTTTCACAGCAGAAGCTCTGATTATTTAGATTGGCGTGCATTTACCTAAAGAGGAGCAGTCAGAATGATATTGCGGTTGGATTGGGGGTCCCTCAAATCGTAATGACATGAAACATACCACATTTGTTGCACTTCATTGGGGGTTTGGTTCCGGGTTTGCCCTTTTCAGGCTCTCCCTTTCCAGGTTCTTCCTTTCCAGGTTCATTCTTTCCGGGCTCAAGTCCAGGAAGGGGCTTGCAGTACTTCGGGCATTGAATTGGGAAATCCAGGAGAGGGATCTCGAAGATTGGGGTCCGATCGACTCCCCAGACTCCAAGGTCCAGCTGCAGACTGGCACCGGCAGCGAGAGTTACACCAGTCTTAACATTGCTATCTGGGCACCAACCTCCCTCCTCTGAATTGTTTGGAAAATGTCAAGTTAGCCGGGAAACCAGAATAAACAAAATCCAGACATGGAAGAGTCAATAAACTTACTGAGACCAGCAGTAAGGTTGAGATCAATTGGGATGCCAAACTTAACGCCAGCTTCGATGCCAGCACCGCCAAGAATTTCAAAGCCCCAAGTAATCTTGGATTCAGGGACAGTGGTGGTATCAAGGTCAATGTATCCATTGTTAAAGGTGACGTCCGACTTCGCCTCGATCTTGTCCAAGCCTACGACGCCGGACTTGCCATCGCCGATAAGGACGAGGGTCATTTTGCCGCCATTTGGAAGTTTGGCGGTGCATCCGAAGTTAACAGTGGCGCTGCCAGTGAACTTGACGTCGCCGTGGATCAACAAGCCAACCTTAGCACCAATGGACAGGATACCGGGGATCTCGATTCCGGTAAATGGAATAACCTTTTCGAAAATGGTCTGAGAGTACTTAATCTCCTTCTTGACATTCACCAAGTCGAGTTCGAATTCAGCAGCGGTACTGAAATCCTTTGGCTCAATTTCGAGTTTCAATTCAGTAGTGAGGTAGTTTTCAACCTAGAAAATATGAGAATAGTCCACTGCCATATAAGAAAGCATCATTACCTTCAGAGTTCCAGTAGTAAGGAAAGTTCCCTGCACGTAGCAGTTCTGACAGCTGAGCTCAATCTCGGCAGGGGATCTAGGAACATCATATCAGTGTCGTGCTTCAAGCATTCACGGGTGACACGTACCCAGGGCCCTTGTACAAAGTAACTTCAGTGTTTGGTTTGAAGATATTGATGGGAATGTTGACTGGCAGGCAAATATCGCCATCACCATCGACCACGTCAATTATATCCTTGATTCCGCCCTTGAAGCCAGCATCAAGGCCATCCTTGAATTTTTCAATAGCTTCGCCAATCCATCCAATGACACCCTTTGCCTGGAGAGAGAAGAGAGCCTGCGTGGACATCTTATAATGACCAAAGTCAATGTCGAAGGCGCCGGCAAATTGCTTCCAGGCGACCGCCTTGGCCTTGAGAGTAATACAAAGTTTTCCGGCATCGTTAATCACGTCAGTAATCCTAAAATAGAAATCAATATCGATACATAGATTATAGGCTGGTCGTCCTGAATTTTACCTGTACGCCTGGCGTTGTCCTTCGGGACCGCAACTAGCATGATTGGCAATCATCAGGAATTCTGCATCAGTTTTGGCGTTGATATAGTCCCACGACGTTATGGCAAATTCATAAGCAGCCTTCGATTTGAAAGTAAGGGACATTTCTCCATCGTCCCCCTTGCAGTCAACAGCAGAGGTCAAGTCTTCAAAAGTTTCCATCATGACGATAGGGAGGTTATCAGCCGCATGAAGCGTCATATTTGCCAGAAAGAGTTTGCCGGAACCTTAAAAAATCAGCGAGTAGGTCATAATTAACAATTGACAAGCGCAGTGTCATACCGGCGAGGCCACCAAAAAGCATGTTAGCATTTTGCACTGGCTTAAAGCAAGAAAAGTCGGGCAAGGTGCGCTCGTTGAGGTTGTCTTGTGGTTCGAGGTCTGAGAGTTTGATAGGTCGTAAGAAATTGGGAGTCGAAGCTTCAATGAAGGCTTCTCCCTTCGGGGCGGCCACTGGGCCTGGAAAAGGAACGGCGGCAGTGGCAGCAGCCAACGCTGCCACAATAGTGGAAAAGAACGATGAGCGCATTTTCATACAGCAATCCTGCTGTAAAAACGAATGACTACTTTGAAAAAAATAAACGAATGACTTGGGCTGTGAGAGCTCGAAAGAAAGAGGATCACTAACCAGGGAGTGGTGACGAAGATTATATACTCATCTTGGAGCACCCAGCCCCTGACCCTTCAGTGACCCTAAGTCTCACGAAACGGAAAAAAAGAAGTCAGCTGAGGAAAGCAACGGCTGTTTCGTTTCTTGGTTCAAGTGTTGTGCTATTCCTCCCAGATATTCGCCCAGGCAAGAGTTCAAAGCATATTTGGCGCTAGTTCAGGCCACCCTAATGCAGCTCATCACGGCTTCATGCAACGGCCTTGGAAGCTTGAAACCAGCGACTCCCTTGGCGCAACCGAGAAGTTCACGGAATCCAGAATCGTAACTCTTGCCGCTCCCTTCCCATTGGGTATTCAGTAGAGGACCCTTGTTTTTGGAATCAGGAGGGTCCATGGAAGAGACTTGTATGTACGGAGTACCCCGTATATTCTTCGCACTTCTGGGATGCGAAGGTGTCCGAAGTCCAACACGTGTTCCCGCATCCAGCCCGGAAAAAAGAAAAGAAAGAAAGAGACAAGAGCATTTGATCGTCCGCTAAGGAGGACAATCCATTAGCTATTGGATACTCCAAACTTTGCAGAGTATGGCCCATCCACGAAGTGGAGCGAAGCGGCGCCGACTGCAAAGGGAATGTACCAGAAAAGAACTAGTTCACGACCGGATAAAACCCCGGACACGGACGGCGCTATGATGAGATAACTGATCTACGGAGTAGGGCGCCTTGCTCCATAACATGGCGACCTCTATGAGTCTCCATAATTGGACGTGACCGATTTCCGTACTCTGGCATAGGTGTACGTATATCCGGAGAAAAAAGAAGAGAAGAAAAGTTTCCCATGCAAATCCTCCGTTCTTGACGAGTTCTGCGCTTGGTTCGACGGGGAGCGAGGCCGCAGTCAGGGGTAAACTCAAAAGATGCTTCGGTAAAACACCTTGTTTCTGCTATTTTAGCGTTTCTCCAGGATAGAAGAGCAAGGCTGAACTGTTGAATCCTTGTGAATGTTCATGTGAAAGACGGATGTGATGCTGAATCATGAGGGAGGAGAGGCGTTGACAGTCACCATCCTACATAATAGGACTTAAATAAAGCAACATAAACTTGGATTCATGATAAGTAGATGCCTTTCATGCAGCTGAGGAGCTGTCGAGAGCCTTGTTGGCGACTAGCAGGAGGTTAGCTCGACGACGGTGAGGTTGACCGTCGAAGGATTCGATTGAACTACTCCGTTAACTAGCGCAACCGAGGTGGACTGTTACCGTGGACGTGCTAGCGCCATTCCGAGCTAGTTAGTGAGTTAGCTACGCTAAACTGTCTTGGGTAACTAGTTAGCAGGCCTGGAACGATAAGATAAGATCCGATGACTAACTGCGCTTGCCAGGGATCCGCTGCAACACGGTCTTCAGCGCAGAGAAAAACATGAGGGCCATCGCAAAGCCCGAGAACATTCCTGGAGGCTCACTGTGAGGAGGGGTCTGAGATGTTATACTTCGATGTGGTGTCCATTTTGACCGCCCCGCTTGAGGTAGGCGGTTCATTGAAATCGCGAATATACAACTCCCGTCTGAAATCATCTCCGCCTCAAATATATGCTCTCATCACCGAAGTAACGAAATGGAACGCAGTATTGAAGGAAGTGGTGGACAGTTCGGATATTCTTGCACATGAGCCGAAGGTGGGTTCTTGTTTGCTTTCTTTTCCGTTTCCCGACAGATTTCGGCGGATAAGCGATCCAAGCTGAAACCAATGCTCGAAAACGGCGAAAGTACGGAGAAGTCTAACCAATGTGACTTAGGCAAAATAGCTCACTCCACTTCTCTCACTTCTCCTAACCCATGATCTCCTCCTATCTAAAAGGGGAATCGCCGCTCCCTCCAACCATCCCCTCCGTCTCGCAGTTGAACGACACAAGACACGATTGAACGCAGAGTTCACCAGGATTCGCATACGTCGTGGCTGCGCTTCCGTAGAACAGTTACGCTCAGCTATAGAAACGGCAACAAATCGAGATGCAGGGGACAAGGCGCTCCCCAGTCCCCGATGGGTTCGCATCAACAATGCCCGCACCACCCTGGAGCAAGAGTTGAACGCCACCTTTGCCGGCTACACCCCTGTTACATCCCTTCACGGGCTCTCGACATCGACGACCAGGGCATATTATGCTGACAAGCATATTCCAGACCTGATTGCCGTCGCATCCACATCGCAATTGCTCTCGACTCCGGCGTATAAGCAAGGAAAGATCATCCTCCAGGACAAGGCTTCCTGTTTCCCAGCGTACTTATTGCTCGGAGATCAGGCAGCTTCTTGGAGTGGAGATCTAATAGACGGCTGTGCCGCCCCGGGAAACAAAACAACCCATTTAGCGTCATTGTTATCTGCGGCTGGCCGAAAGGGGGCCAAAATATATTCCCTTGATGCGTCACCTACCAGATCAAAAATTCTCCAGAAGATGGTTGGAATCGCAGGAGTAGATGATCGGGTCACTGTCCTTGCGGGCCAGGATTTCCTGGCTTTGGATCCTGAAGACCCTCGATTCAAGAACGTCACGGGTCTTCTTCTCGACCCAAGCTGTTCAGGCAGTGGTATTGTAAAGCGTGAGGACGTCCCTCGGCTAGATTTACCGGAGCCAAAGTCTCAAAACAGCCGGAGGTTTGTGAATAGTGGCCCCAACAGCCGCAAGAGAAAACGCAAGCCAGGTCCTCCAGAGGCTTCGACCTCGGAATCGCCAGCGCCGGACACCTTTGAAAACGAGGCTGTGGGCGGAGAAGTTGATATTTCCCGTCTCACCAAGCTTTCAAATCTCCAGGCCCAAATTATCGAACATGCGTTTAAATTCCCATGTGCTACGCGGATCACCTACAGCACCTGCTCTATACACGCCCAGGAAAATGAAAACGTAGTCTATCGTGCCCTACAGTCTTCTGTCGCTAGGGAACGGCAATGGAAAATCTTGCCAAGATCAGAACAGGCTGAAGGGCTGAAAAATTGGCCTCATCGAGGATGGCTGAAACGTGAACATAAACCTGTCGACGGAGAGGAGACATGGGAGTTAACAGACATGGAGAGTGAGGCCTGTTTGAGATGTTCCGTCAGAGATGTAGAGGGTACCGGTGGATTTTTCGTGGCTGGGTTTGTGAGAGACCAAAATTCAACATCAAACAGTTCGAAAGGGGAGGATGGAGATAGTGATGGCTCTGATGAAACCTGGCATGGCTTTGATAGTGACTAATTCTGAATCCTCGAAGAAAATTCGTTTAATGAAAACAGTTGGGATATCATGTCCAGCCAAAAGTCCAGAAACGTGGAGTAAATGTCTCCTCTATCAACCAGCCAACAGTACTCCGTATGTACGCGATTGATTTCTGTTTCATGGAAACTTCAAGTCCATAATGGATACGGAGTAATAAGTTACCAATTGGAAGTGTTCACCAAATCCCCTGATAATCGGAGCACCTGGTAAGAGATATTTCGCTAACCACGTTGGGCATCATCTTTTTGTTTCAGATCGTAGGTTAAGCAACTCTCGGGTCTCAGCATACCGATCTCCCCAAGTGTCTGTGCGAGAATCCACCAGCTTGCCCAGAGGTAGCTCAGAGGAGAACCCCCTAACCTTAAGGATCGTATTATTTTCAAGGCAAGTGATATATTATTGGCAAAAAGAAAGGAGATACGTAACAGCTGCCAGGGAGGCTGAGGAGCGGAAAATATATCAGAAAGACATTTGGCATAAAGAAGGAATTAATAGTAATACAGAGTCCAAAGCAAACATGCAGAAGTCCAAAAAGGGATTAAAAAAAAAAAAAAAAAAAAAAAAAAACCTGCCATCAGCCATCAAACCAAGAGATTTTTCTTGCTGTATATCAGTTTACCGCTCATTCCAATTCCCAAAAAATCACCTGAAAAAGATCCGCCTCCAATATACCTTCCCAAGGCCAATCTAAGGGATGTACGTGTGCTAGAACTCCAGGATAAAAAAAAAAAAAATGCTCATTAGAAAGAAAAAGGCAAAATTAACGTAGATGTCCGGAGCAATTGACCGGCTTTATTCATACGCCGTGTCCAGCAGCGTTGTAGATATTAAATCAACTTATTGTTTGGTTCACGTCATTTCGGAGTCTATGGAAATTGTGAAAAGAAAGAAAGGAGTGAGACGAAAGAAAGCAGAGTCGTAAATCAGAGAACACGATGTCTATAGAGAGTTAGTGTTCCTTGTTTCCCATAGCCCGCGAGGATTTGACCGGAAGACATACTGCATCAGAAGAGCTTCGAGGCTAGACGAGCTGCAATCGCGCCCGTCAGGAAGCTGCCGGAAAATATCCACTATGGTCGCAAAGACATCGCCACCACGGTAAGCAAGCAGAGCAGGAGCTTCGATGTGGTCCATTTCCGCAATTTCGTGGTGTAGTTTAACGAACCGTGTCGTAGCATGTTTGCGTGCGACTGTGTTTAGACAATCCTCAACGATAGAACTTTCGGACAACTACAACGTTTCAACAAGAACCTGTTAGAATACACTGTCGTCGGACTTGAAGGGAGACATGGAAATGCAATTCACCAACCTCAGGATCATATATGCAGACTACGACAACGGTGTCTGCCGTGACTCTCTCCACGGCATCAAGGTATCCATTTGCGCCGACAACCTCGACAGATCCGTATCTTCTCTTGCTCGGACTCGAACGTCTCATGTTCTTATTTTGAAGTTCGCGCATGCGCGCCTCCCGCCACTCTCGCATGAACCTTTCATCGTCGCTTTCCTCGGGGGTCTGAGGGGCCGATGGACTCGCTTTTTCCTGGTGAATAGCTTCTGGTTTGTTGTAGGACGGCTGGTAATCGATGCCGGCGGCGCTCATCAAAGTACGACGGAATGATCTCTTCTTTGCGCGCTCATAAGATTGCGCGTCGGCAATGACACCCTTAGGACCGGTGTTCGCGTCGAACCATGTTCTGGGGACATGATAAGCGGCTGGCTGCGAGGTGATCATGTTGTAATCGCTGTCGTCAGCGTCGGAGTCGGAAGGGATGTACTTTAGTCTGGAAGTTCTCTTTTCGCGTCGTGATACCTCTTCCTCTTCGTCTTCTGAGGGGGAGGAATGGAGATCTTCGGTCTTGAGGCGGTCTTCGGGATGGCAGGTGGCTCGATCCTCTTGACTGTTCAGAAGGCGGTTCACTTCGTCCTGGGCAGCTGACATGGTGAAAGAGACAGAAAGGAAAAAAATTTCTCGGAGGTGAACCGGCAAACGGGGATTAGGATATATATGTCACTTGACGAATTCTGGGAAGAAAGGGTTCATGAAACAATGGACACGGCTGGGCGAGCCAACATTCCAGCCTGAAGAAGGGGGCAGTTCCGGAGGGGCGTGGAGTTTGTTTCAGGACCAATGAGCGGTCACGCCTCGCGCGTCTCTTGAGTCGCCGTGGCTGTTCTCGCAATTCGGGCCCGCGAAAAGGAATCTGAAAGGAAGAAGCAAAAGACTGGAGATCGTCATCTGTCGGACCATTGTGGCCTCTCCTCGATGCCCATCCTGGCCAGATTCTCAAAAATAGTTGAGGCCTGCCGGTCCTTTCGCCCCGTTAGCGCCACTCAGGGGCCCCTGTTTCAGGATCACAGACACAACAAAACGGCCAATTCCCACCACCGGGCCCCATAAGGCGACGACCACGCTGGCCGACCATGGTTAGAGAAATTGAAAGAGTCCATCCACGCGAACTCCTTCCAGACGGCGCCAGAAGCACATGAAACCGCCATCGGTGGCGTGGCACGTTCTCAACATAAAACCAGCCTCACTAAAAACTCCACTCGCGATCGTCGTGACGGACATACCGAAGGACGATTGCATCGGTGGCTTTCGATCTGCTCGTAGGCGAGCCGCATCATGTATCATGTCGGGGAGCAAACAAGACGCACGTGTGGCATCATTCTTTGATTAACCTCGTGTTGAACGCGCGCCAGGTTAGGTGAGTCAACCCCTTGTCCTCCCCGGGCGACTCACTCAACTCGTCAAACATTAACGACATCCGCCGGGATGGGCGACAAGGGGAAAAACCCCACTGCGTCCAGCTGATATTGGAAGCTTCCGAGACAAGCGCAGGCCATAACTACTATTTAATACCAACTATGTGACTCCTTTCATGCCTAGTTTTGCTTTCCGTCAACCTGACGTCCGTTGACATGTCTCCATTGCCAATTAACTTGACATCGAACCCAGGGACGCGTTCTGCTCAACTGCTATGCAAAAGGCAACCCTTCCCGCCACTGCATTCGGGCTAACCATTAGCAACCCAAACATGATGATCTTACGGTAACGGAGCATCCGCGTCTGGTCTCTTGTCGATCAGATCAATTTCAACTGCCTTCAATCCCTTGACATCCTCTGAACAACTCAGTCTCCCCGGTCAATGCTCCCGCTCGACAAGAATATTCCCTCTCCCTCTCATCTCAAGGTCCTACAAAGTCATGGCCCGTGTTTTCGGACCGGCCTTTAATTCAGCAGATCCCTTCTGCATACTATTAGCTATCTGCCACGTTTGTGCCCACAGATCTACCCCCATATCCTCCCCAAGAAAAACAAAGTAAAAAAAAAAAAAAAGAAAAGAAAAGAAAAGAAAAGAAAAAGAAAAAGGAAACAATGGTCAGATTGCACGTTACAGCTCTCTAGATCTATAGAAGGATCAAAGAACAGGGATAGCAATGACAGCATGATTCCCTGACAATTTTATAGCTGTCACCATGAAGTGATTGCGTGCAGAATCTCCACTCTCCAAGCACAATAGGGGCGCAGCTTCGCAGGCATGATCACTCTTTAACATGTAAGGGAAAAGGAAGAGATCCATCAAAGTATGTGATTTTGAAAGGTACCAATGCTGCCTTCATAAGGGGCTTGTATTCGCAGGAGTCTATTGTTGGATCTTGCGCTGGCCGAGTTGTGTCCACAAAGTATGGAAGCTAGCAGGTAAAAAGCTATTAGCTATTAATAGAATGTAGTCAGGCATTGCGTAGTTGCAACATGAAGTGTGTTTATCGTCGCTTGTGAAATGTTGCTTAACGCTCAGTTCAAGTCCCATAAAACTCCGCCAAGTGCTGTGCAGATTTACTCCCGCTCCCGAATGCGAATAATTTTTTTAAAAACTGAACACCGCACGTTTACCAAGGCACTGGTATACTCTCCCAATTTTTTTCTCCCCGTCTATTTGCCGATTCAAAGTCACGCTTCATCAGAAACATGCGTCTCTGTCCGCAAAAGCCTCCTGGCGTAGCTTTGCTTTCGACCATCTGAAATGATCCTCCCGTTCCTGGTCCGTCCACATTGTTCACCCATGATCTTTGCTTCACCAATTGACCTGGCTTATGCAAGCGTCGGGGATTGTATTCAGGGTAGCCGATCTTGCTGACGATATACTGTAGATTGCGGAATATGCGCTCATATCTCTTGAAAAACGGCAGCCAGTTCCACGTGTGCCGGGTATACGACACCCTGATAAACGGGTTGACAAACACCCCTGTACCCTCGGAGACATTTGGCTCGCCAAAGGCATCCTCCAAATCTGAAAAGATAAGACAGCATTCGGCAGCCTCCCAGAACGATTCGGGCTCGTAGCGAAAGCGTGCCGTCAACCAGGGAGAAAGTTGAGTAGATAAGCTCTGAAACTGTCCAGCCTCAAACGCAACCATTCCCCCCCAACAGCTGCGAACAGGGACTGCATCCTTCTCGGCTAAGACGGCGTTTCGACTTTCGGCACTTCCTGTTGGTGGGAACCACGGGAAGAACATCAGCCCCATGCCATACCCATTGGTGTCTCTGACGACGAATGAGTCGTAGAACATCACGTTCGAGACGAAATCGATAGCGCATGCGGCACGATATCTGCTCTTATTCGTCGAGAACAATAGCTGTACGGCATCAGCTGGGGAGAAGAAGATGTCGTTCAGAAATAAAATTCGGTCGAATCTCATATTCGCGTGTTGGAATCCTGTTTGAGAATCAAGAGGTGTGTAGGTAGGGTCAAGAGGTCTGAGAGCGCGGTTCCGTACTTCAGCGAGGTATGCGATGCGCTTGATCCTCTTCTCACCGGAAGGTACAGTGCTGCTTGGTAGGTCTGACAAGGATAGGTTGTCCCCCGTGACGATGGAGGAATTACCTGCGGGAACTGTCAGCTAAGATACCGCGATAAGAAGGGAGGGGAAAAGTTTGAGGAGCATGTGCTAACATCGTAGCCTTTCTTGGAATTCTCGAAGAGCATCGGACGTTCCAACGCCACTGTCATTCTCATAGACACTGACGAAAACATTCTCTTCTCCTAGGATATCAACCAATTCCCGCATCGCGTCCCCCCAAGCCCCACGGATCAGGTCTTCGTTTATGATGTTGGCTGCAATGAATATCTTCTCGCCGTTTGGATTCCCACGGCCCGGCCGCGCTGAACCAAGTATTCTCCGTTGCAGGGCACGATAATGCGCAGGAGGAGTCTGATAGGAGGGATATAGAATTGCTTCAACGACCGATATGCAAATGAACGCGCCGATGAGTAAGACCGTAAGCCTGAGGACGCGACGAAAGCCGAATCTTTTCCGCGTGGTCTTGCGTGTTCTCAAGCACTGTTCGACCAGCGAGAAGGGCAAGCGAGAGTATCGAACGCAAGAGCCTAGCCAGGTTCTCGCCTGTCTGGGCTGGCGGAACAGACCTGGGTCGACATCGCCTGGAGACTTGGGGAGGAGCGTGAGGTGGTCATCAAGCTCAGGAAGGGTGTCGACCGACTGTCGTAGCGGAAGAAGCTCGAACGAGGAGGACTGAGGCATCTTGGGCTGTCTGCGAGAGTACAACAGTCCTCCTGAGAAAGACACACGGAAAGGCAAAGGAAGCAGCCTGCTGGACATCCATCACCCGCAGGCGTCTCTTTGATGAATGGGAGATCATCGTTACGGGGACTCCTCCCGACTAACAACAGCGCCATGCGTAACATGTACAGTAATGTATGTACGGAGTAATGCGGCTTCATAGCCCAGGTGCAACTGGTTCGAGCTAAGTTTTATTGTTCGTTGATTACACGTCAGCTTTGGGGGGCCGGAATGGAACCGGCAGCCTGCTGATCGACGTGGGCCTGGGCTATCCCCATTTGTGGAGTGTGGTTCAGACACTCCGTTTTGCTGCTTGAACTCTGGTGCTCCCAAAACACTCAAAAGAGCTGTCTTGGGGGGTTTCAAAGGCCGTTAGCAAAGTGAATGTGGATGTGGCTCATGCTCAAGTTGGGAGTTGTCTTGGAAATGTCTGTTTGGAACTGCCTCACCATGACACACAGTTCATCCAGTCCCCACCACATCCCATCCCCCAACGTCCCGAGAACTAGCTCTTGTGGGTTATATGTAGCTTGATGGATTGGCCTGCAAATCCATCTCCAGGCTCCAGGCTCCATGCTCCACAACCCAGAGCCAACAACCTCCGCAGCAACAACTTCACCACGAGAGGTACTCCATCCAAAAGGGTGTCTCTTCGTTAGTTTTAAGTTCCCTCGTACGCACCCTGTCTCCCACCGCGGCCCTTAGCCCAAGTCCGCCCTACTCAGCCTCGAACCTTCACTCCTGCCGCCCAATTAAGCCTTGTATGCATGCAATTCCGTTCTCCACACGGGAAAGCCACAGCAGCACACCGGATTCACCATAGAATTGGTTGTTATATCATTGGCACGCCCTGTGCAGGTGCATTCCCACAGGGGGTTCATCCCCAATCCATGGCGTTCAAAACGGTGCCGTATCAGAGAGGGAGACATATACGCAGGTAGAGAGCATCTTGTCTGTGAAGTTTGGTCGTAATGAGCCGAGATATGTCACAATTGGGACTATGCCCTTAATCGGTGGACTTGTGCGGCAATTGATGGACTGTCACATCCCGAAGCTCAAGGCTAGCTCTGCATGGGAATACGGACTTTCGCCGTCGGCTTCTCCTTCTTGCCGAACAGGCAGTAGGCGCGCGCAATCCTCAAATCTATCGGTCGAAATACTCTGGACGCGCGGGGAAAGCACAAGCATCATTAACATTGCAAATATAGGGGAATAGAACGGCCTGGGCTATGGTGGGCAATGCTCAAGAAACAGAGCTGGACGCAACAATTGAGTCAGTTACTTTAAAACACTTACAATGTCTTCAGAACAACAACCAAGGAAGCCAAAGGTCCTGGCGTTGAGCTATCCAGCCTACACCAACAAGGCCTATCTGGAAGACTTCACCTCCAAATTCGAACTCCATGTCTGCTGGCCTTTCAAATATCAAGACGAGTTTTCACCCACCTCAGCTAACCCGCCAGTCAGGTCCTCAAATCTACGGACCGTGCCGGTGCGATTCCCGAGATCGCCCAACTGGCAGCCTCCTGCGGTCCGTTCGATGCGGTCATGGTCCGGATAGGAATCATGCCCTTTAAACCATTCGACGCCGAACTCTTCGGGCCCTTGCTCCCACATCTCAAAATCGTCGCTGCGGCACCTGCCGGATTCAACGCTTTCGACGTCGACTGGATGACCAAGAATAACATCTGGTTTTGTAATACACGCAATGCAATTTCAGAAGCCACCGCGGATATGGCCATGTTTCTCATCTTAGCGACATTGAAGAACACAACAGTGGCAGAACGATCGGCAAGGGAAGGCAGATGGAGGGATTTGGTTGTTAATCCGTCGACGGATCCGAGGGGTCTGACGCTGGGTATTGTGGGAATGGGGAGTATCGGAAAGGTATGTGCAATTACCCCTTTTTCCCAAGCCCATGCGTCGTGGAATTCCCTACCAGATCATGAACAGCTTCGTCTATGGAGGGGAAAAGAAATGATGTTTGACCTTGACTGAGAATATCTCCCTTCTACGGAGAATCCAACGGTAGCTCTTGGCCAAAAAGGCGTTGGCATTCAACCTCAAAATCAGATATTACAGCCGGAAACGCCTGTCCCTGGACATTGAAGAGCAATATAATGCCTCATACTGCCCAACGCTGGACGATTTGCTTTCTACTTCCGACATCGTATCGATAAACTGCCCACTGAACGATGCGACGACAGGTCTCATAGGTCGAAGAGAATTTGCGAAAATGAAAGATGGTGCATACTTCGTCAACACGGCACGGGGTGAAGTGGTCGATGAAGGCGCACTGATCGAAGCTCTGGAGTCTGGAAAAGTGAAAATGGCAGGACTAGATGTGTTTGAGGGGGAGCCGACGATCAAGTATGTATTCCCCCCTTCTTCTCTTCTCTTCTCTTGTTCTTTAATATCTTCTCACCCGGCCGCCAAAGGCAGCTGCATCCCAATATGGAGCTATTGTGAGTTTCTTATGATATTGAGCGCATAAGCCACATACTGTTTATATATTCTTTTCATCTAATTTCCCTTTGCACAGTGAGTACTTCAGGACGAGTGAGAAATGTATCATTCAGCCCCACTTGGGAGGAAACACGACTGGAGCATGGATGCTTTCAGAACTGGAGTGCTTGGAAAACATCAAAGCTTGCTTGACCACCGGCGTTCCCGTCGCACCAGTGAATTGGGTGGAAAGGAGAAGCTGATGCTGGCTGCTTGAAGCCTTGATAGCTCGTCCTTTCCTGTCTGTAGGTATTGCGGACCAGATGGTGATTTCTACATATATACTGTAAAGATGTGGCTGGTATATATATATGAATATTGAGAAATAGGATGGAACACTCGCAACCGCAACCTGAACAGGTATCAACGATAATGTGCAATGCTATCGGGGAGTTGGGAAATATCCAGCACCCGCAATCTCCGGATCCCGATTTTCTAGGCCTGGAAGAGGGAAAGAGGAATACGCAAAATTCCTTCAGCTCTTACAAATCTAGAGGATAAATACGTAAACCCACATAGTATCCAGAACAACATGACTGGAGGCTGTGGTAACGGGAGCTGCTGATTGGGACGACGTAAATGATATAGCCCATGATGAGTACATGACCCAACAAGGTGTGGCAACTCCGTACATATGAACCAAAAGAAAGGAAAAAAGGAAAAAGGAAATAGACCAAAAATTTTAAAATTTTAACAATATCAAAACTGCTTTGTCACCCCAAACATATCCACCACATACATACACACGCACCTTTCTCACACTCTGGGCCTAAATACATATAATAGGAAGAATTAAAAAAGATTTATGACGGCCCAGCTCAACAACCCAACCACGTGATGTTTCTGGGCCAAGAAGGGAAGAAAGAGAGAAAAAAAAAAAAAAAAGGAAACGTGTAGACAAAGGTGAATGATAAATAGCACCCTGAAAAATCATACAGAAAAGGGCGGCTTGGTCGGAACCAGCCATGGAAGGAGAGGAAATGAGAAAAACACCAACAAAGGGGGAATAATGAACTGATTGCAGGAACAGGGCGGGCGGGAAAGAGGGAGGAAAAGGGTTCGACCGGTGGGGGCGAGAATAAAGGTTAGTACCTAAAGGACGAGAAAAAGATTGGTATGAAGCGCATTATCGTTCCCGACCCGCCAAGGGGAAAAGAAAAGGGATAAAAGGAAACACCAACGGAAAAAAAAGGGAAATTTCATGGCCGACGGGGCCAAATGCGATACAAAGCTGGAAAACAAGGGAACAAGGATTCGGGACATGTAAATCAAAAAAGATGAGGAAGAACCGTCTGCAAAGCCGCTGAGGGTTTTAGGTAGAAAAAGCCATGTATCAATCATCAACCCAACCCAACGATCAATTAAGAGCCAAAAAAATGTGCGATATAATTTCAAAACTTCCCATGTCTGCTCCAATTTATTGGAAGCACACTTTTCGCAAATTCTCCTTCACCCACTTTTTCGGGTCTTCTGCCGGTACAGTCAAATGGATTTGTGATATGGAGAGCCAACAAAATACTGTCATGTCGTCGTCGTGCTGTGTCGTTCACAACAGGCTCATAGGTCAGAACGAGCAACTGCTTCTTAACCGCGGAGGCGCGCACAGGTAACCAAGCCACCTCTTTACATCTCAAGGGTTTCAAAATGGAAGTCTCGTATGGCAATAATGTACGGATAGCGAAATGTAGAGAGGAAGCGAGGGTCAAATGATGAACTGGTTATTGTACAAGGAGGGCCCTTGACTGTTTCGAGGATATACGCTGGCAGCTGATGGCGACTTCGAAGTTCCAACCCGAGCTTGGGCCTTACCAAGCCCAGATTTTGAGCTAATTAACCGAGTGTAAGCGTGTAACTTGTCAAATTGATGGCTAAATGAAAACTCACAAGGGAATCCCAAGATCCTGTGCATAAACTTATTCCATCATTGCTCACGCCCAAGCAGCTTACGCGATTCTCGTGGCCGCTCAACGAGCCAACCTTATCACCTCGCAAAACGTCCCAGACCTATATGACATATTATAAATGCATGAATTTCGAAAAAGGAGCTTCTGGTAAAAGGCGCAACATACTTTGCATTCAAAATCATCATAACCTGCGAACAAAAGTCGTCCAGATACCGAGAAAGCAACAGATGTGATTCCACAGAGAACTTGATCGCTCTAAATAAATATGATGATTAGTTTCACGCAAGTTTTCATGGTATGTGATTGGAGTAAAACTGTCTAAGAAGAACTGCTTTGAATTTGACGGACCTGGTAAATGTTCAATTCGCGATCCGCCCGGATATCAAACAATCGGCAAGAAGTGTCGTCCGAGCCAGTTCCGAATGCATTGCCGTCCGGAAAAAATTGGATGGCGTTAATATCGGATTCGTGGCCGGAGAAGGTTTGAACGGCCTTGTCAACTCGGGTATCCCACAACTTGGCGAAGGCATCGCATGCGCCGGAAACGAAGATGTTATTGTTTGTCGGATTAATGCTGATGCTCATGACATCCCCAAGATGGTCGGCAAATTCGGTGACTTTCGTTCCCGACTCAATATCCCACAACATACACGTCATATCGCCGGAAGAGGTGATGATTCGGCGGTCGTTGATGAATCTGCAACATGATAGATAACCTGAGTGACCGGACAATTCCCTGGCGACCCGGGTGGGGCCTTCTCGCGAAGAAAGGTTGTAGATTGAGCAAATGTTGTCAAGACCACCGCATGCGACGTAATTTCCACTGGGAGCGTAGGCGCAGGTCATAACCCAGGAAGAGCGAAGGGGAATAGCGTGAACTTTGTTTGTCGTGTATGCATCCCAAATTATGAGCTTCCCATCTTGAGAAGCAGAGACCAAGTGTCGGCGATCGGTCGACCAGTGCATAGCGTAGATTTTGGCGAGATGGCCTTTCAGATTTCGTCGAGGGCGCATGCCAATCCGCGGTAACGGATCCGTATTGTTCTGCGCAACTTGGCGAACTGGTATAGAGAAGAGAAGATGTTAACATCAGATGAACAAGGCTATCAGATTCCACGTTGGCGGTGTTGCCTCTTGACTCCGACAACCCGTCCATAGGAGTGACTCGAAACAAAACAATGAGATCAAAGAGGAAGCGCGAGGGAACAATTGCGAAAAAGGGAGGGCCTTACGGGTGGTATCGGCCAATTCATCTTTCCTTCGCTTGATTCGATCTTTTAAACCCTCTGCCTCGCGTCTGGCAGCCGTTATCTTCGCCTGCAATTGCTCGCTGTCCATGATCGGCGGCGATGTCAAGTGGCAACGAGGCGTAGAGCTGGATCAATTGGATGGAGATAGGAAGAGAGAAAGGGTCGATTGATGGTTGAATCTTGATCCAGGGGGGCCTTAATTTTCGTTGTTAAGATTGATGGTGCAGGAACGCGAGGACGATCGAGCCGGGGGGGTTGAACCGAAGCGGACTAGCTGTATGCCCACGGGGGGTTCCGGAGGGGCGCTCACTCTCACAGTAGTGGTGAGAGAGGATGAATGTCGTGAGCCTCTGCGTGCCTGACTCAATGATAGGTTGGAGACGAAGCGAGAAGGCCTTGATTGGAGAGTAAGGCAAGAATAGGTCAGTCCAAGTCCTCAGATTGGGGTCGTGGAAAGATGAGCAGTGTCACCAGAGGCGCAGTAATTGGTTGGGTGTGCAGTTATCCCCTTTTGGGGTCTCTGGTTAATAATACCAGTAAAAATAACCATACCGAATTAAGTTTCAGCTCGTGGTAACAGAGCCGAAAATACATTCATGTAACCATACGGCTCTGCTGTGGGGTCAGGTGGGCTTTCATCACGGACTCCAGGGGCACCAGACGTTTTCTCGAATGAAAATTCCACTCTGGGCGTTGCGGCTGGGGGTAGATCTTCTCAAAAAGGTGGTTTGAAAGAAGACATGTAACACTTATCCCTCGCAGCCGTTAAACATGCCTATCTTCTCCGCACCATGTCAGTTACTCTCGGGCGGAACACTTTTACTACATCCGGAGGACAGGACAAAGGATGGATGGGAGCTTTGGCGAAAAACAGCCCCAGTGCTCCATACAAGTTACCCACTTCCCCTCGTTCATGGCCAATTGTTGCTCGTTGTTTCTTTTCTCCAGGCTGCACGTCATTATTTTACGCGGTACGGCTCCGTACAAAGCTGTTTGACATCCCATCGCTCGGGTCATATCCAGCATTCCGGAGCCCAGTCCTCCGTCGCTACTTTCAGGCTCTCAACCTCTGAGAGGGAATGAATTGGAAAGCCTAACTTTACATTATTAATGTGGCCTTGTGGGGTCCTGAGTTCCTCTCGAACCCTCGATCATCCATGCTCCATGGAGTTATCGGTCATCCTAGACTTCCAAGACATGCAAGCAACATGAAATTAATCAAAATAGCACTCCAGGCATTGCCCGTATCGATTACCAATGCTACCTCCTTCTTGTGCGGAACACAATCAACGCTTTGAACAGATGATGCATCTAGACTTTGGAGGCGATACCGTGCCCCTCGTTGACTCAGACGGAGGGAGCGCTCAACGGCCCTATAAGATTCTCGAATTGACAGCTGAGGGGTTATCTTTTTTCGTTCTTTGTGTGCCGTAACTTGTGCAACATGAGCTTGAGGCGGATTGGCCGACTGACGCCAACACAGCAATCACCCTCTCCGAAGCTTTTCTGCACAGAGATTCTCGGTCGAGTCCTGCTGATATCAAAAACAGAGAGGCTAAATAAGTGTTTCAATAATGAGTGGTTCGGAGGCAGTAATACGGAGTGCCGAGGGGGTAATTTTTTAGAGTGCTTAGGCCGGAAGCTTTGACCAGCTGTATGTATCAACCGTACTCGACAGACCGATACACGCCTGTATGTTATTATGGCTTATTATGGGCGCCAAAGTAACCGGGTTTTGGCAACAGCGATTGGCTGCACGTATCCCGAGCAGGAGAATTGCCATCCAATAAAGCCGTCTGATCCAGGCTTGCCTCTAGGGAAATGACTGGCTGCGTGGGAATTTCACCGTCAGAACGAGCTGAAGTTGGTTTGGACCCGAAAAGCCCCCCAAGCTCCCTCCCAGCACGCCAAGCGATCTCCCGCCCTCGAATGGATCTTCAGCCACACACGGAGGACTCGGTCCCCCAGGCATATGTATCACCGTTTTATATCCCGTCGATGTTTTAACAGCGGAACAAATGGGAGCAACCCCCTACATCCGCGCTGCGGACGAGGAAATTTACCAGTGTGGGTCGAAACGCAATAAGTTTCCTCGGAGAGCCTTGATTAATGTAAGTCATCGCAGATCACATCCCGATGGCGGGAGATGAACGAATCCTCCCAAGTACGTACGGAGTACTAATAATATGCATGAATACGGATTGCCCGTCGAAACACATCCATCAATCTTCAAAAAAAAAAAAAAAAAAAAAGGAAAGAAAAGAAAAGCAAAAAGAGTGACACGGAGAGTTACACACAACTACCGACAAAGTTCTACTGATGAAACCTTTTGAAAGCTCGATAACGAGCACACGCGATTCCCGAATGAACGGAACCGTCATTCCATCAGATAACCAGAGAGTCTATGGATGGCGGTTCTCGGACTCGGCAACTTCTTTCGTATCTGATTAACTAATATAGAGCAAAAGCTGCTCTGGACAGCCATTATGAAGCACCCCTTCGCCACGCACCTTGCCCCAGGATAACGTTTTTAGAAACAAGTCAACTTGCTAGCAAGGTTATGTGGTCAGGTTGCATGGAGGTTTTTTTTTCAAGATGAGAAGGAATGATACACCAGAGTCATGCCAAAAAATTTGTGGCAAACCCGGCGTCTACCATGGCCCACGAAAGCTTTTGAGAAACCAGGATGTTGCTGTCATCTTGTCTCAATTCATCACTCGAAGCTCCCATTATGCAAATGCTGTTGTGTAATTGCCTACATACTATTGTGGTCTATGAGAAATAGAGCTCAGCGTCCGCTCCGCCAAGGTCACCATGTCATCAGGCACCCTTCCGTCCGACCCATTTGACCCTTGAATACGGTATGGTCTCTGCCACTATGCAGGTACCATAACGGAAAGGTAGGCTGGAGTACTCTGTAGTTTAGGCTGAAAATTCCTCTCTGAAAACGGGGTCAATGAGAGGAAATTTCTGTCCGAGTCATAGAGGTCAACCCAATGCTCGTTTTAACATTTATGGTGGCGTGCCCAACATGGAGGGAGTAGAATCAGAAGATCATAGCAACTGGATAACGCGCACAAGGTCTCAGCAACTCGCCCGAAACACACCCCGTCCTTTCGTGCTGCAAGTGATCCCCCAGAGCGATAAGAAGCTTGCAAGACTTTCTCTAGCTAATTCCCCTGAGATTCTCACTCCTCGACTTTTTGGTGATCGGTTGGTTTGCAGTCGCTGAGAGAGTTGGTTGGCCGGGTCTTGGCTTGGGGGCAAAAAGGTATCGGACCTCAGTCTTAGCGCAGCCTTTCCACCAGCGAAGTTCCCCCTGTAACACCATCCACGCTGTTCGAGGGTTTTGTGACAATCCTCACCGGGTTCTCCTCTTCAATCCCTAATCACATCATCTCCTCTACGTCTTTCTTCCCTCACCCCCTCTCTCTATTTGATATTCTTTCATTCTACGCCGATTTTTGAACCTTTCCTTCTTTTCCATTCCACTCCGCTCGTACCGCTTCTCACAGCCGCCAGTGCCTGATTCTTCGCCGCCGCCGCCGCCGCCGCCTCCTCATTCTCCTCCGCTCGCTAAGCCGTCAACCCCCAAAACCTGCTGCTCATCTGCAACTTGAGACCTTGGTGGTGGCAGCAATCTATCATTATTCAAGTTTTTCGACTTCGACGACCTCGAGATTGCTTTTGGTGATCCGTGTCCTTTTTTCTCCTGTTTCAAGTTGCAGGCCAACCAGCCTCCCGCGCTCCATCTGATTACAGCCCCAACCTTTCGACAAGCCACCTCGTTGACATCGAACTTGTCAAAACATCTAGAGTCTTACCGATCCGCCTCCTTACTTTCAATAATATGCCCTAATACGGCCGAATCTGAATGTTCTATGCTTCTCGAAACCTGCTTTAACGCCAAGTTTGATTCAAGACTCACGTTTTCTGGAACAATACCCCTGCAATCATCGACATAGTTTCATTAAGACCTTTGTTCTGTGGTTACTCTAGAGTGCCTTTTTTTGCGTCCCGGTTCTTGCTAAGCTTCTCGCGTTTATCATCTGAGGTATTATTCTCTTGAGACCTAAATCCATTAGAGGTAAGATGTGCTGTGGGAGCCAGATGAGACATCTGAAGCTAAAATTTTTGCCGTATCTGCAGTTCACTAGACCACCGCTTTTAAACGATAGCCAGATCCTCCGTGACGATGCGGGAAGTCAACTTTAGTATCCCGAGCGTCAATAAGGCGGCTGTTAGCATCACCACAACTCTATATGATCGACGTGCACTCGACTGCACGTCAACGCTTCCGCTTATAAACTCTTTGAACCATCTAGCATATCTCACGACATCTTCCGCTCGTATTCGAGATATCCTCACTGTTGATGGAGGGATCGAGCGTTTAGTTTGTATCCTCAAAGAGGGACGCAGCAAAGATTTGATGGAAATGTGGAAGTGGAATCTTGCCTTTCAGTGTATCGTGAATATCGGTGTACGAGGCTCCGAGAATGTGCGAACAAGAGTTGTGGAGGCTGATATGGTCCCGGTGATTGCGACTATTCTCGACAACTATATCCAAGTTGTCGATAAGATACGAAGCGCGACCGACGCAGAACCCCAACGGAATTCTGCTAAAGCCCACAAAGCTCAACCCCGTCCCCGGGAACAAGTCATCCGCACGTCCTTGGACCGCTCAGCGGCTTCCATTTCAGAACATCGCACGACTCGGCGGCAAGCACCCCCACCATCAATAGAAATACCTCATCCGTTTTCCCAAGACGCCCGTCAACCCGACGTGGGTGCCATGGAAATCACTCCTTCTCCGCAAATGGTTCTAACGTCTCCTCCGGAGCGAACCAGCTTCTCTCGTGAAACACATTCACACCGCACGCTTCAACCGGGTGGTCATCGCCACAGGATCATACAGCCTCTTGCAACGGCTGTTCCATCTATGGATACTACCGATGGCTTTGGGTTACGGCCGGTTCGCGATGCAGACCGATTGCCGTCGCAGGTGCCCGGTTTACAAAACGGGCTTACCTCTCAACCGGACTCCCCGACCACTCCTCACACCGCTGTTGAAGCACAGTCAATCCCACAATTCACCCCAAGAGCAAGACGGCGCCCCTCCGTTCGTCAACAGCGTTCAACATCTGGCGAATCTGACGATGGAAATACTGAAGATGTTGTTATGGGTGATGACTCTGCTGAGCCAAATGTTACTGAATCAATCGTCGGACTTCAAGCTGGGATGGAAATCGAAAGTGTCACGGACCAGGATGCTATCATGAATGATGGCACAGACTCTCACGGAATTGCGCTTCCGAATCCTTCGGAACAAGCTGATGCGGAGACATTTAATATCACACACCGATCCGTCCCTGACGGCAGCCTGATGAATCCGGCAGCACAACAAGCGAACGGTGCGATCACCCTTTCTCCTACCCGTACAGCCGTCGCTACGGCGACACCAGCGGCCAATCAAATACCATATCCTTATTACCTTCGTGACCGCACTGTGCCAAACGCCGTTTTAGCGGCGATGCCTCGGGATGAGGATGTGCTTATGGCACTCCAACTTTTAGCCTATGTTTCCAAATACTGTAGCTTGCGGTCGTATTTCCAGAATACGCATCTTGTCCCTAAATTAAAGATCGGAAAGGATATCCACCTCGTGGACGACCCTAGCGGCTTATTGGTGCCGCCGACAGAACCCGCTGAGGAAACAGAGGAGTATTTGTTGCCTGACGATTTCAACATTTTTCCTCTTGTTGAGAAATTTACTGTCCGACATCACACCAAGGAAATGCAATACTGGGCTTGCGTGGTGATGAGAAACCTTTGCAGAAAAGATGATTCACGTGGTGGCATCCGGCAGTGTGCTTATTATAAATGTGGGAAATGGGAGGAATTCCAAAGGCAGTTTGCCAAGTGCCGTCGCTGCCGGCGGACAAAGTACTGCAGCAAGGAATGCCAGAAGAACGCCTGGGTCTACCATCGGCACTGGTGCCACAGCTCACCCTAATCCATAGACAGCATGGTGTTCGTCCGCCTACTACTGTTCTTATCATATACCCTCTGGCTTATACATTCTACTTTGCATTTGCAATCTTGACATTGAACGGTGCGCTGGCATTGCGGTAATACCCCAACAATTAGTCCTTTCTCAAGTTTGATGTTTTCACTCAAGCCTGATACCATGACGAAAAGTCGCATTTCACGAGTCTCCTTTGTGATACCAATACATGCCACGATCAGTATAATGATATTACTGCAAACCCTGCGATTTTCCCCTATTACTCATATTGATTAGTAAATTTACATATTATCCTCCTCTGTGTGATTCCCAGATTGATTTCTGTTCAATTTTCTACTTCATCCTGGGAGGTCTCAAGTCCAATTCCCTCTTTTTACACCAAATTCCTACTACCACAATTTTCAAACGCATTTGGCTGATAGCGTTCAATCAACAATCCCCAATAATTTTCGTTTGTTTGTTTTCTTTCCCCCCTTGTGTGCAGCTGTGCTTTCTGAAATTTGATACCTTAGTATATTACCACTCACATACTTGATACTTTTTTGTGTTCTAGTGAATTTACCCTGGTTGGTTTATGTCAAACTCTTGTCTGTTTTGAACATAATGCTTGCATAGTATTCTCATATGGGTAGATCGTAGGCTTTGGGCTTTGTTATACGTCGGTTGGGATATATCAAGCAAACTCTTGAGGCTATCTATGCGATCAGATATATATTTATATTTATTCCAATCTTACTTATACTCATTTGGATTGCCACCATACGTTGCCGCTAGTCTACTTGCAAGATGGTCGCGAGCCGTCATAATTTTATCGGCGTTGGGCCCGTCGCCGGCAATTGCATCTCTATGCTGCTCAACTAGCTTGCTAGGCACGGGAACAAGTTCCGTATCGTCCAGCGGATGGCAGAAATACGCCATGCTATATCTATCATCGCCGGGAGAAGAACCTGATTGCTGTTCCACTGGAAACACAACTCGATGAACGGTGGACTTCAACAGCCCGTTCGTCCAGTAGCTGAGCAAGTCGCCGATGTTGACCAGAATCGGCGGGAAGCTTGTCGTCGTGGACTCCTGCTGGGGTCGGATGGGAACAGGTGCCCATTCCCCCGTTGGAGTTTGGATTTCGAGGCCGGGCTGTCCGTCGCGTTGGAAGAGGAGGGTGATGCTTCCGTAGTCGCTGTGGGCCCCGGCGCGGACGTCAATGTTTTGCTGGAATGTGGAGGTCGAAGGGGATTGGATGGATGGGTAGTAGAGGAAGCGGAATGTCACACCCGAGGGACCTTTGGAGGAATCGTGTCGTGTGGTGAACCAATCCGATGGGATCTATGGATGGAGAGAGGTGGTGATTAGATTGGCGGAAAGACACCCCGAGTGGGGGGTACGTACTCCTAATCCCAACGCAAGGAGGGTGAGAATACGGTCACATGTCTTTCTGCATAGGTTCATGAAGCGAGATATCTCCGCTTCATGAGGAACGAGGGAGGAAGGGAGAGGTTGCTGCGCTTTATCATTCTTGAATTCGCCGAAGTTGAATGCTCTGTATTCGTGAGAGAAACGCCCTGGGCGACTTTGCCAATGGAGAATAGGATTTAACATACTCCTTAAAATCACCTCTCTGTCAAGGTACCTGCAATCAGTCTTGTTGAAAATAGCTATTTGATTCATTTTAAGGGTCATACCTTTTGATGATTCGGATCTAAAGTCTCAACGTGCATACCTGTCCAGCCCCTATTCTACGCCTGTTAAGCAATGAAGCGCAACGATGACAGGTCCGGGTTGATCTATACATTTGATCCGATTTTAGCTTGCACTTTTTCTTCATGTGGAGATGCAAAAAATTTTCGCGCCTACGTTAAAGCTATCAGCGATGTATCTTGGAGATAGTGCCTTTAAAGTGTAGGTGTTGGTGTGCCGTCGTCGAGTTTAGGCATGTACTGTACATCATTATTGCATACACGAGTTAGAGTGTTAGGTAGATACCATTGCAAAAGCCGATTCCACATCCTCATCTGAAAAGTCACTGGTCACACTATCAACATATAGAAATCCATATTTGGTGGCTGCATCTATCATCGCTTTGCCCGTTTCCGGGCGGGTGCTCGAAATATCAATAATGGGGAGTCGAATGGGAAGCTTCGTCAATGGAGAGTACCGAGAAGGGTTTGCCATGGTGGTTCAACGGACGGTAAGGTAATATGCGAGTCCAATTCTGCCCAGCTAGATATGTATGATGTCGATACCCGTCCTGTTCGGACATTGCAGCCCTGGCTTGCGGATGGAGGGACAAAAGCTGACGGGCCCTTATCTTATCGGCTGTCCGTGCTTGGCTAACTAGTTATTCCCAAAAAGGTTTAGCCAACTCGTCCTCTTGGCGTTCCTGGTGCCTCGCCCGAAGCAGCCTCTACTTTTTGGTGCAAGTTTACACAGTTGTATTTAGCTGTCTGCGGGTAGTGCTAGAGCTGAACAATGAATGAAATTGATGGTTCTGAAAGATGATATCTGCTTTCTAAGGAGTTTGCTAATCGGCTGTAGGCATTTTGAGTGCTCAGTTTCATATGCAACTGTTGAGTGCAGCAAACTGGATGCGGGTGATGACTCAGCAGACTAGGGTGTCACAGGTGAAAGCTCACTGGAACTTCCCCAAGCCTTACAGACAAAAGTCGCCTTTCTCCTGCACCTCTTCACTCAATCCACCTGTTCAGAAGGTGTGCTTACTGGTTGAGCGTAGCTTTTCCAATCAACTTCTGGTCTCGTTCTTGTTCCTGGACCTAGTGGGCCCCAGACTTGATAACCCTACGGCGTCGTCAAGCCTCATCTTGACTTGGCCTCAATTCTCTGGGACGTTCATCTTAGCAAGCTCAAGGTGGTGAGAGCCCACTGACAGCAATATCAACAATGCCGAGTAAGTGCCATTCTAAACTATCCTGGGCGTTAACCTTTCACCGGCTCTTTCTAATAACCAATTCCTTGATTAGTCCGCGGTTTTGATGATTGGGCGACCAGTCGCATCCAGGCCTTGTCCCTCTCCGCCTTAAAGGGTGCCGTGATTGGTATCCATGCTTCTCACTACCTTGATCTTCATTTAAACCATCATGTTACTAAGGAACCTCTTCTGATTGCCCTGGGAGGATTCCCATTTGCGCTAAAGTCCCACATTGAAAGAGAACTCCAAGCTCTTAAGAATGCCGGAGTTACGTGCGTGTTTGTGTTCGATGGATTGGAAGTCGGCAAGCCGGAACCGGATATCATAGCTCAGAATCAGTCTACTCGCGCCCTAGAACAGGCCTGGGAATACTACGATCAGCAACAGGCGGAACAGGTGGTTGATGCATTCAGCAACGCGGGTAGGGATGCGTGATCAATCAAGAGATAGGGCGGTGGCTGATTTTGACCCTACAGGAAGCGCAAAGCCGGAATCACTTTATAAATTTCTCCAAAGGATTCTTCTTGCAGAGGGAATTGATTTTATTGTTGCGCCATATTCTGCCGCCCCTCAGGTAAATTAGGAATTTGCTTCCTGATCCCCAGGTTTGCTAGCTTACTTTTTGGTCTCTTTATAGCTAGCCTACCTTGAGAAAGGGCCGAACCAGCTTATTGATGCTGTCTTTGGACCGACAGAGCTCTTTTTATTCGATGTCGATAAGGTTATCACGAAAGTTGATACAGATCTTTTCCACTTCAGTTGGATCACAAGGCAGACATGTGCCAATGATTTGAATCACCTGAGCAACGATCAATTCGTCGACTTCTGCCTGCTTCTCGGCTCTCCCTTTCTCCGAACCTTTCCTCCCTTCGAAAACCACCCGTATCCGGGGAAGGTACTGAACATTCGCGAAGCGCTGAACTTGTACAACAGCGCTGGGAGGAATGCTCTTGCTCTCTGTGCCCAATTCGAAGATGATCAACGAGATCTACAGTATGCAGATCGTTTTAAACGGGCGTTTATGACTGTAAAACATCACATTGTTATGGACACCGACGGCAAAGTAGGGCCAATGGACCCTGAGAATGCATCGTCCGACTTGCACGAACTGATTGGGCAACGGCTCCCAGAGGAACTTTACTTTTATATATCTAAAGGCATCTTAGGGCCAAATGTTCCCAATTGGCTAACCTCTGGTGAAATTCCAATCACTCTCCCACTTGGCACGGAGGATTCCGACATCTATCGCCGCCTCGTATCCGATATGCTTACTCCCATCCGTACTCAATCTCTTTGTCTTCTCTCCAACTCGCTGCATCGGTTTTATCAGACAAAGGCTATTCATATTCGTCCTTGGTATGATAACAAAGCCGACCGAACTATCAATTTAAAGACCTTGCCATCGGTAAAAGAGACCATCGTGTCTTGGCGCCTTCGCAAAGCCCAGCTTCCTGATGGGTTACAGGAGCTTCAGGTAATTTCAATGACCCAATCCAAAGATGTGTTGCATATTCTTTGCGCTCTAACATGTCAATAGGGCTCATCTCCGCTTCTGACATCCTCTTTGGCGATCGTTAAAGATCCGGCCTTTGTTTCAAAGTCGTTCGCCGGTAAAGATGCTCCGGTAGGTTCTCGCCTGGGCTTTAATGTTCAACATGCTGACTGATTTAGCCGCTTTCTTCAAAATCTGAAATTCTCGCCAATGTCACTTGGCGGTTCTTGCAACTACGAGGCTACATTGACGAAAAGCACCAGCTCACAACATGGGGCAAAGCATTGGAAGCAGCTCTATCCTCGCTAAACCCATCTGAAAATCTCGAGGAACCCGCTTTTCTAGCGGTAGAAATGCTCCGTTTAGGAATTTTAAATTCAAAAGATGTTTTTGCGAACATTTCAGGAGGCCCGATGAGAGGCACAGGTAAGGTGAACCCGGGCATTTGGCTATTCAGTTGTACTGATGGAAAGGATCGTTTGATAGCTGAGGAGAAATCGTTTAACCTGCTTGTTTCTCGCGTTGCATGTTTCGGCAAAATTCGCCACAAGGCCATTGGATATTCTGGTCCATTAAGTAGACAGCTTTTGTCTTTCCATTCGTTGATCTACGCAATTCGGTCGACTCTCCGAGACTTAATAGAAGTCATACTCGCTGGCTTGCTTCTTAGCGGAGAAGCGTGTCGGGATCGCAGTGATTTGTCCAGCTTGAGCCTCGAGTACGTTAATTCTGTTTGACTATCGTTGTTTGCGCTGACAGTGTCACTAGCCTGCCATTTATTGATGACAATGACTGCGGCCTCGGGATCGCTGTGCGCACCTATCTGGACGACTTGCCGCAACAACCTGAGCCGACATCACAGTCCGTGCGGGCCGAGGTCAAGACGAAAGGAAAAGAATGGTTCCAGCATAGTCGCAGTTTCGTTGAAAATTTAGACATGGCTTTCCAGATCTGGGATGCGGTAAGTTTTTCGCCTTAGTTCCGCGATTCATGTGCTGATAAGAGGTGCAGGTCTACAAAGTTACTCGGAACGCTCCTTCGAAAGAATTTAAGGATGCTAACTTGTGGGAGGACACGAACAGGTGGCTGGAGGACCGAAGGTAACCTATTATTCTCATACACAACCTAACGCTCTTCCTGTACATTATCAGCTCCAATTATACTCTATAAAGTACCATTTATGTATTCCGGCCTAGACTAAAAGCTCCGCTGGCAACAAATATTGCTAAGATGTGAGCGACTCAAGGAACAGGGGAAAACAAATGGTGTGGGGGCGGACACACGTGTCGTAGGAGATTGATCATAGCCATTGCTATGGGTCTGTAAAAATGTATTTATAGACCTCTAAAAGTCAAGAGGGAATCCGGATTTTTCCACAATGCTCTTTTGGCATTAGTCCTGGAGGAACGCTGGAGGTAACCCGGCCCTCTCACCAAGGGGAGGGCGAGGTAGGTGAGGCTTGGGTGAGGACACACCACCCAAGTGGGCTGGGAGACTGACAAGTCGGTTAAAGCATCCCAATGTTACTACGGTACTTAACAGGGTTCATAAGATGGGAAACATCAGTTCTCAGCCTTTCAATTCCGGGTCCTTCGCTCGGCGGTTGCCAGAATTTTGCCAAGAAATTTTTCGAGGACTTCTCAACTTTTGGTAAAGGAAGTATCTCTAGCATTGTTCACTATCCTAACCCATTTCTACACACGAATTCCATGATTTAGGGACTTAGAGATGGATTAGGGTTAGGGGGGCTAAGGGTGGTGATAGGGGTGATGAGCAAAGCGTGCGATAGCAAAGTGATGCCAAGCCCAAGCTCGGCGGATCTGAGCTCCGCCGAAGGTTTTTCCGCCCGGAATTCAAATACCACCTACCGACCTCAGCCACAAGCCCCCTTTTTTAAATTCCATGTACGTTTTGCGTCAGAGACAAGCTTTTCTATGCAAATGTCAAGCTGGACACAGTATCTCTCCTGACATGCCCCATGACTGTTGAGGTTCTCTGCATATCCAAAGTATATCCTATGAGCTTCCCAAGGTTACAACATTCTTATCAATGTAACGTCCAACCCAGTATCTGAAGCGCCTTGATTCTGATAGACTGGGAGAGAGGAAAGCAAGCAAGGAAAGGTGTTAACAAAAGCATTGCTCAAACACCGAAGACTCAAGAAATGCAGCAGAAAGCGCTGACTTCCGATGAGCCGCTTTGGGCGTGACCCATTGGTATCAGAAACCGCAGCACATTGGTTTTGGCTTATGGTGCAGTGTCTCATTAAAATGATGGAAATACTCCGTACTGATTAGCGAAACAAAGGAAATGGAACAAGACAAAAGAAAGCAAATCAAACAAAAAAGATCATGAAGCAGGGCTCGCTCCCCATTTATATCCCGCTTGCCCCTCGTACGTATTTCGGGTCAAGACCATCTGTGAATGCGATACTGAAACGTGGAAATCGTGGTCGCTGTGGAAGTACGATTATCGTCATAGAGACGAAAGCTCGATATTTGGAGTACAGGATACGTTACTGGAGCCAGTACTCACATATTGTGGGCCCACATACACGCAAAAACGCATGTTTACTTCTCATGTCGTCTTGCTTTGCTTCTTCGAGACGCTGCGAGCCGATGTACGTTTATTGCAGCCCGAAACAAACCAGTTTATTTAGCCATGCGCTTGTTAGACCCGGCAAGAAAAGGAGCTACCGTGTGTTCTCCGACTATAGATTGATCCGGTGATCTGAGCACCCAGATTGGCAATACGAAGACTCGCTATCAGATAATCAGTATCTGCAAAGTCTTCAGTAGTGGTTTCAGAGGACCATGGAATCGTGGAGGGAAGATTGACATCAATACCCTCGTCTTGGATAGATACCGGCTTGCCGAGCATGCACGCCCAACTTCGATCGAGTATGTACGCTGTCCACCAGACTCGGTTCCGATGCTCCTGTAGCTCGCGGCTGGGTAGCTGATTCTGCGGAACATTGAGATGAAGGCCCATTATTATGCCAAACCGTACAGCATATCCTACTAAGCAATATGCAGAATGTCGGCGGTTCGTAGCAAGTGAATATATGGACTGTACGTGATCAACAATGTTGCTGTACGCAGTATGGGCGTCTAACGTACAAGCGCCACCATAATCTCAACGCAGTCAATTCTGGGCTGCTCACTAAGCACCCGAAGCATCCGTGTAGCGCTCACATAATACCCAATGCCAGGAAACTGGTCTTCAGATAGACAGGTTCTCGTAGAGTATGCTTCGCCTAGAGCAAAGAGCGCAAGGAACTTGCAGATGGAGATTATATCGCATAACGCAGGATTATGAATTGCCTGTTCCAGAAGTTGAAGAGTAGAGCTCCTCTGCACGAGGTAGTAGCGTCGGCATACAGTAAGTACTGAGTGACACCTTGAGCAGAAAACGGGCTCTTGAAGGAGTAGACCAGGGGTATTCCGAGTTCCATTGGGAACAGATGGTCTCGTCATGTACGTTTTGAGTGCGCAGAAAGTGACTCTGCGAGTTTCCTAATAACTCTTGGCGGAACCTAGTAGCAAATGCTACATCGGTGGCTTCCCCTACAAGGATGGGCATCTCCGAAGTCAAAGGGAAAAACCACGGACGCTCATCTAGCAGTGGATTTCGAACACCATCCCCAGTCTCCGCGGCCAGCGTTGCAGGACCGGTATCGGCACCCTGCAACGTGTTTGCCTCGACACTCGTGGCAGACACGGCTGAAGATGGATCCGGAGGGGCAGTCCTGGCCGTTTCGGCCCTACATGGGCCTCCAACTGACTTGGTTCGCTGGGTGGCCTCGGGAGCCTGGGCGGCTTGCCGAAGGCGGTGGATAAGTCATCTATGTAGCTAGAGTATCCTGTTCAGTACGGTCGGGATGATCCAATCGGGCGTAGTACCTCTGTTAGACCTTGACACGCCGGTTACGGCTGGGATATATGCACTTTGCATGGCTGTTGGCTTGCTTGCAGTTGGTACAAGGTATGTCGCCGGAGCATTTAATCTTCCGCGCGTGGCATTTCCGACAACTGTTGAAGCTGTGAGCAAACCTCAATTCTGATTACTGAGGTCCATCTAATTGTCCACGTACGCTATTCGCGTGTTTCTCGGTCTGTCTAAAGAGACTCCAACCGCACTCATGGTGGAACAAGGACGGATGAGATAATCGCCAATACAGTGTCGCAGGGACCGGTTGCGAAGCCCGGCGTCTGAACTGTGTAAGGCGATTATTTAGAGAGGATGATACGGAGTACACGTCCGGATATTGACAGGGGTAACTTTCCGAAAGGTCCGTCCCACAAGTTACCGTGCCACGCCGTTCGGTGTCAAGATAATAACTGGGAAGAGGACATTTCGGTGACGCGTCGACTTGCCGAGAAATTTGATGGAGAGCACGTATGCTTGTTATTCACCAAGCTGCTCCGTACCTCAAGTAGAATAGAAGTAGAGATGAAGACAAGCGTGCTCGCAGTCAACTAACTAACTATGGGGCGCGCAGTTCTCAAGGAAGCAACGGTGTCCTGATCTCGATAGCCACATAAGTTCAGCACGTCAGCAAAAACCGGTCAACTATGCTTCCAACGTCTGGAGTAATTTAGCTTTCCAAACATCGCTGCCCATTGACATACGACCATTTACTGAACATATACTATTTAATAGTCTTCGTGATTCTGGTTCTCTTTTACCCTCCTGAGTGGTGTAGAGCGAAGTTTTCGTTTCTAGCATGGCTCGATTGAGCAGCCTCCTCGTGGCCTCCCTGGCTCTCCTCACCAATGTCGTCAATGCCGACTCCGCCGTCCTCGATCTAATCCCCTCCAACTTTGAAAAAGTCGTCCTTGGATCCGGCAAGCCGGGACTCGTCGAGTTCTTCGCCCCCTGGTGCGGGCACTGCCGCAACCTTGCTCCGGTCTACGAACAGCTCGGCCACGCCTTCGCCCATGCAAGTGATAAACTGCATATCAGCAAGGTTGATGCGGATGCGCATAAGTCTCTAGGCAAGAAGAATAAGGTCCAGGGCTTCCCAACGCTGAAATGGTTCGATGGGAAGAGCGCTGAGGGTGAAGAGTATGAGGGTGGAAGGGATCTGGAGAGCCTAGCCAAGTTTGTTACGGATAAGACCGGCGTGAAGCCCAAAGGGATAAAAAAGGCTGGGGACAGCGTGGTGAAGATGTTGACGGATCAGTCGTTTGCGAAGGAAGTTGGAGGAGATAAGCATGTTTTTGTGGCCTTTACGGCTCCATGGTGCGGTCGTACGTACCCTTTTCCCGTTCAAGCGTTCTGGTCAACGCATTGTGATTGGAATTCACTTATTGACATAACTGTACAGACTGCAAAACCCTGGCTCCTACATGGGAAGCTCTCACTGAGGATTTCATGCGTGAACCTGACGTCCTTATCGCGAAAGTCGACGCTGAAGCAGAACAGTCGAAAGCCACTGCCCGCGACCAAAAGGTCACTGGCTACCCAACAATTAAATTCTTCCCCAAGGGTTCTAAGGAAGGCGAGACCTACAGTGGTCCCCGGTCTGAAGACGCTCTGGTTAATTTCGTGAACGAGAAATGCGGAACACACCGTGCCGTAGGAGGAGGATTGAATGCCAAAGGCGGGGCCATTGAAGCTCTCGATGATATTGTAGCCAGATACGTTTCCGGAGGAGCAATTGCTGAGATTGCAAAGGACATTAAGGCTGCCGCAGGAGATCTCAAGCAGAAATATGCGCAGTATTATGTCAAGGTGGCCACCAAGCTTTCCGAGAATTCTGGATATGCTGCTAAAGAGCTGGCGAGATTGGAGAAGATGAAGAGCAAGGGTAGCCTGGCCCCAGAGAAATTAGACGATCTGGTCTCAAGATCCAATATCTTGAGAAGATTTTTGGGCAAGGAAGGAAAGAAAGGAGCCAAAGATGAGCTTTGATGGTGTTTGCAGGTTTTTATCACATCTATTGGCATTGTATACCTATTTACTAAGCGTTAGGCTTAACATGAGCACAGGGACAGTGTTGGGTCACGGTTAACTTTCAAGCCAAAATATTCATGTCATCTTTGTATGTATGTACAGCTAATGGTTGCCTACAGGGTACATGGCCAGTTACAGGGAGCAAATTAAAAAAAGGCAACCTCTAAAGGGCAAAAAATTCATCCGAGGATTATATGAACATACATTTGTAATGCGAGTCAAACAACAAAGGTGTATGTTTGGTATAACGCCCGTGAAATCAGACATTACAGTAGTTATATCAAATGGTATCATTGTTGCAACTCGATAAAAAGGGTATCAACCGCCGGATTTGACGAGCTCTTCGCTCAGAAATCGGGCATGCATCATTTCGTCATAATTAAGTTGGATTGTCGAGATAGTTGTAGCGTAGTAAAGACTTTCGACGAGCGCTTGGGAAAGGATTAAGCCTTAATTTGATCGGTCTGCCTCGCTGGCAATTGTCAGGGAAGCTTCCAATTCATCGAGTCTTCGCGCCATATCGTCCACTGCCCATGCCCATACGTTAGTATATACCTGCAAAAGCTAAACTATCCCCTGGGAAGCCGGTCAGGGAGAGTAGCACAGGATCTTCGGGTCTCACATTTTCCAAATATCTCGTTCGACACATTGGTAAACCGGTGCTGTAGATGATCTAGGAGATCGTCGACTGCCACGGCGAGCTGCTGGGAGCCGTTGTCTTCGGTTGATGCCTTAGGGTTAGAAACCGGAGATAGGTCAGAATTGATCTTTATAAAAAATATGGGAACTCCTGGGAAACGAAGCTCACCTCTGCGGGTGTCCCTTGCTTTATTGTACTTGGAGAGGTAATGGAAGCACGGTTAGGGGTGCCGGTACCGCTCATTTTCAACAGCAGACTCAGGAGCAGATAGAGCAGTGCACACTCTTCCTTACAAAACTAAGGGACAGAAAAGAGCAATTGAAACTTTGCAGGAAACGGGCACATAGCAACCCGGTGTGATCAGAAGAAGGGGGGTGTTTGGTGATTGCTCTCCGGCGGTTGCACTTGGCGCAACATGCACAAAGAGTGGTGGTGGTGTGACCTGATTGGTGGGGACGTCCAAAGATTAGATTAGATAAGATCAAGCTCACGTGCTGGGGACAAGCTCCACCGGCACTAGCCTATTCCCGGTCTAGCGCGAAAGCTACCGAAATTTCGCGGGAAACATGCTCGCGCTGAAGAGAATCATGGCTGCTTGATGAACGTTTTTGTCTGAGTGAATTGAAAGTTATTGTACCACTACCTCGAAATGGTGAAGAAAAGCAAATTGCTCAACGCCCTTGACGCCCACAAGGGCCGAGATTTCGACAAGGAGCGTCAGAAAAAGCTACAAAAAGCAGCAGAGAAGAAGAAACGACTAAGGGCGGAACGCCAGAAGGAAGAAAATGAAGTGGATAACGAGGAGGTGATTTCTATTCCTATAGATTTGAGAAAGTATCGCATATCACTGACACAGCGCTTAAATCAGAAGGTGAACGGACCTGAAGACTCAAGCAATGTCAACGAAGAAAAACAAGATACTGCTGCTGTTACCAAGAAAGGAGACGAGAGGAAAGAAGACCCAAAAGCGACACGGGCAGAGACCAATGCGTCCGGAGACGAGGGGGATTCTGAAAATGAGGACGAACACGACGAAAATGACCTCGATGCCGAAGAGGCAGATTCAGACGAAGACATCCCCCTTTCAGAGCTTTCTGAAGACGATCGAGCAGACGTAATACCGCACCAACGACTCACCATCAACAATTCTGCCGCTATACGAGCATCTCTCAAGCGGATATCCTTCATCAACGAAAGCACACCATTCTCAGAGCATAACTCCCTCACATCCACAGAGCAAATGGACATACCCGACCCCAACGACGATCTAAATCGTGAACTAGCTTTCTATAAAGTTTGTGTATCTGCAGCTACGAACGCCCGGAGCCTATTAAAGAAAGAAGGTGTTCCGTTTTCTAGACCGACGGATTACTTTGCGGAGATGGTCAAGAGTGATGAGCATATGGGCAAGATTAAAAAGAAATTGTTCGAGGAAGCAGCCGCGAAGAAAGCTAGTGCAGAAGCGAAGAAGCAGCGTGAATTGAAGAAGTTCGGAAAGCAAGTGCAGATTGCGAAGCTGCAGCAGCGACAGAAGGAGAAGAGAGAGACGCTGGAGAAGATCAACAGTTTGAAAAGAAGTATGTGTTCCCCCACACTTTTGAGATCTGGATAAACCAAAAAGACAGTTTCCATTGCAGGATAAACCATATGCTAATCAATCATGTAGAACGCAAAATCGACGGTGGAGCTCCAACTGAGGACGAAGATCTTTTTGACGTTGCACTCGAAGACGCCGGTAAATCCGAGCGCAAGAAGCAAAATCCTACGGGTGGACCAAATCCTAAACGGCAAAAGAAGAACGAAAAGTACGGTTTCGGAGGGAAGAAGCGATTTGCGAAGAGTGGAGATGCAATGTCGAGTGGTGATTTGAAAGGGTTCTCTGTAAGCAAGATGAAAGGGAAGAAACCTGGTGGTGCAGCAAAGCGGCCAGGCAAGAGTAGGAGGGCAGCAGCAAAGAGATGATTTATGTCTACACATTTGCTAGCTTCCACACAGTCTCCTTTTATGGCTATGTACCCGTTGTAGTTTTTGTTTGTGCGCACTATCAAGGGTAATTTTCCTTCCCTGGTGTTGGTTTTATTTTGTGGCACGGACTGGAAAATCCGAATTTTATGGCATAAATGCTTGGGAATAGACATAGTCAAAAAAATTCAGTGCGTTAATTTCACTTCGGTTTGAACTGAACTGGATTGGTATTTTCATTTAATCATGTCCGAAACATGTATTCTCATGCTAATAACGAAACCTTTTGCCAGAGCATATCCATGTAGGTATAATAATGATATATGGTTATTAAAGTAGTGTAGTGTAGACCACAGGAGTTGTGAAAGGTGCAAAACGTTATTTGCATAGTAAACTGACAGCTGTTTAGAATACCAGTGTGTGATTGCTGGGATGGAAATGGAAGATCTGCAGGGAGCACTGCAAAATATATTAGAGGTCTTCATATCCTTGGAGCTGTGGATGCCCATGTCCTAACTTCCTGGGGGAGCAGGATGAGAAGGTACCCCAAAGCTGGGATATGCGGGAAGACAACCCTGGCTATAGCAAGAAATGTCCCGGGTATTGTTTGATATGCGGAGAAAGTACGGCCAAACCATTGTCAAGGGTATACGGGTTGGAATTTCATTATAATCTTGCAAAACAGCACCGAGTATAAAACCACCAAGGCTGATAAAGTTTGGTTATAGGTTTCATTCGTGGACTTTTATCTTCTTCGAGCCGGAATCTATCTCCCCATCGCCGGCGTCTTCTTGAAGGGATCCAAAATCGCGAATTCTATTTAGGAGATGGTCCACGGAAGCATTGACATTCAGACGTTGCTCAGCAAACACTAAGTTCAGCTTTGTCTGGGTATCATTAGCATGCACTAGTGAGTGGTCAAGGATTACTTCTTTGGATCGCTTCGAGGAAGCTTTGTAGACCGCCTTGCCGCATCCATGCACGGAACAAATCCATGTGTCTGGGGGGTAATTAACGTCGGGCGGCGCCAGTGCTGGAGATGGCATTGTGGAATTGCCATTGATAAAGGGTCCAGTTTTGCCAGGTGGCTCTACAGCCTCCTGTACGGACCTCGCGTGAGGAGATGATGTTTCTAAGTCGGAAATAGAGATGACGGATCGCGCAAGCTCATTTACTCTCGGAGGCAGCGGTTCTTGAGTCATGTGGTGTCCTCCAGGTGGCGTCGGGGTATATTCGATTAGATTCATGTCTTCTAATTCCTCCGAGTCGGAAGCTTCACTTGGGGGTTGCTTGGCGGACTTTCCAGCACGCTTCGTAGGAACAGAACTTAATTTCGGCCGAAGAATTGACATACGTGCTCGTCTCTGCCTTGGAAGATCCTCCTCGTCGCTTTCTTCGGGAGAAGATGAAGAATTCTCTTGGTCCTCCGGAGGGCGAGGATGTAAGGGAGTGTTGCAGACGTCTTGGGTGCTGGCCGAACGTTCCGCTTTTTTTAATTGTTTATAAATCGTTTTCCGGGACCAGTCAACGGAGGATGAAGTCCTCGCGTTATCCATCATCTCAACCAAATAACTTGCACGTGCTTTCATTAGATCAATAGCATAATCTAAGGAAACCATCTCAAAGCGCTTTAGCAAGTATTCTGCGACAGTTTTCAATGTCAGTTGCGGTTTGAGGCCTTGTTTTGACTTCCGCATATCAAGAATAGCCTCAAATACAGTATCGGCCTGCGTTCTTTCAACGGTAACAGCATCCGGTGATTCGGTATTATCATCCTCAACCTCTTCGTCGCCGGTGATGTTGATAGGACCTTCCTTGGCAGATTCATTTTCTAGTTCCTGGAATAATTCCTAGAGAGGAGTATTAGGGCATTTCCGTGAAGAATATAAGGTAACACCAAAATTACCATACCTTGTATTTGTCCCGAAAATATTTGTAGATAGGCGTAGTATCCCAGTCAATGCCTTCTCTCCCCTGAAACATTTGCTTCATAAGAAAAGCATGATGTCTGTCAAACACCTCAGCAGCATCATCTGCGTCCTCGCATGCTTCATGCGTGTGTTTTATATACTTTCATGAATCAGTGTCTAGCTGAGCCAAGCTATAACGATGGAACGGGCCTCACTTGATCAAGGAGGTAGTCCAGTTTAGGATTCCATTGCTTTCTCCTCCGAGCCTTTGGTTGGTGTTTGTCTGTTATAAAATATAAAAGATCAACAGCTTCGACCATTTGGTTGAATACCGCTTTGTAGCCCTTGGCCGGAGAGACCGAAAACCACCCCGGCTTTCCAGCGACCCAAATTCCGACTTCCCCATCGTCATGTTGGCCATAAGCAAAGTGCGTCACATTTTCAATGATAACTCGTTTCGCGCGATAATTTTCATCCAAAACTAGAGGTAATAGATCGATCAGTAAGCTGTACTTCCAGCAATCGACTTGGGACGTACCTAGAGGCTTTTGATGTTCTTCGACCAGTTCTAACTGTCCAGTGACAGAGACGGGGTTCTCGGGAGATGCATACAGGAGATTGGCGTATCGGACCTTGCCTGGAATCCGGACCTTGACATCACTCAAGGTGAACTCTTCCCAGTCATTCTCATCTGTAAGGGAAGGGCTCCTGGCAGCGAGAATACTTTCAATTCGCGCAGTCATCTCTCCGGAACTGTCATGGCGAACGAATCGAAAAGGAGGAAATGAGATGTCTTCAGAGAAGAAGGCATTGGACTTTGACGTTCCTGGGCGGGAGGACTACTTCATATCTTTCACCTCATATCATCAGCACCACATCATCGTCATTGCAGCTCTCAGGAACGAGCTAGGCGGCCCGGCTTAGCTAAGAAGAGCTCGGGTTATGACATTAGCTGAACAGGCCAATTACCGAGTACGGTATCAGCCCCCTTGCTCTCGCGTTCAGCTTTCAGTATCGTACCGTATCGTACCGTACCGGGGAAGGTGTTGGCCTTGATCCCCTTGGTCACCATTAAGTTTAGGGGAAACAGGCCCTGGCTGAGCGGTCCCGGAGGCCGAGTCCGGGGGCTCTTTAGGCCATTCAATAGGGGTGGCTCAGGGGCCTTCCCAATCGCCAGGCCCTCCAATTCCAAAAGTTTGTGTACGAACTACGCAGCTTCGTAGAGAAGATTCCAAACTGAACCCGGAGTGTTCCGTGCTTTGTATTTGCATATAATCACAATAAAGCTCTGATAAATTTAATATTCATAGTGCAATACGGAGTACCGTTTGCGCTACCTCTACATTGATTAGGTCGGTTGAAGGTTCGAGACTCGCGTCGGGATTGGAAAGCTTCACCACGACATCATCGCCAGTGGAGAGCTTTTTCTCCCCCCAAAATTTCCAACAAACTCGCTCCTAAATATAATTTTCGATGTTAACTAGCCGGTGGCATACTAAGCTCCGGCCCGCCATGTCCAACCTTGAGGGAGTTTTCGGTGAGTCTCCACGTCCTCCCGAGGGAAAAGAAAAAAATCGCCTCTTCTTTTTCCTGAGCTCAGATTCTCCAATTGAATATCGGCAATCTAACGGAGATATATACCAGCCGTTCATAAGCCCGGTGGGATCTCCTCCGCCGACGTCCTTCGAGATCTTCAGCGCCACTTCAACCCGTCCAAATTCTTCCAACCTTGGCTCACGGCCGAGCGCGAGCGTCGTAAGCAGGAGCCGAGAAACCAGCAGCGAAGACGCCGAGATAAGCGCATCCAAGTGAAAATAGGACATGGAGGCACGCTCGACCCAATTGCCACCGGCGTGCTAATCACTGGTGTGGGGAAAGGGACGAAACAATTGAACAACTTCCTCGCGTGCACGAAGACGTACGAGGCCGTGGTCCTGTTCGGTGTTGCAACCGATTCGTATGATCGCGTAGGGAAAGTGGTTAGCCGGGCGCCATACGAGCATATTACGAGGGAGAATGTGGAGGAGGCACTGAAGGGCTTTAGAGGCAAGATTATGCAGCGGCCTTCGATATTCTCGGCGCTCAAAGTTCAAGGAAAGAAGCTCTACGAGTATGCTAGAGAGGGAAAAGAGCCGCCTGTGGAGATTGCAGAGAGGCCGGTCGAAGTAACGAATTTGGAGATCGTGGAATGGTATGAGCCCGGGACGCATGGATGGAAATGGCCCACGGAAGAAGCCGGACCTACAGAGAAAAACGTCGCGGAGAAAATGATTTCAAAAGAGAAGGATTTTATTGAAAAGGAACAGAAGCATGTGCAGGAAGACAAGTCTCTTAAAAGGAAGCCATCGCCATCGGCTGATGGAACTATAACAGAGGAAGCAGAACCTTCGTCGAAGCGTCAGAAGGTAAATCCTTCCAACACCCAAACCGAAACAGCACCAGAACCCACAACAGCAGACTCGCTACCGGTCGCTGCGTCTGAGCCTCAGGAATCTCAATCTGCATCAGACTGCGTACAACCAATCCCCCCACCACCGGCTGTAAAACTCACCATGACAGTTTCCTCTGGCTTCTATGTCCGCTCCCTTGCGCACGACCTTGGTCTAGCGCTGAACAGCAATGCAATAATGAGTTCCCTGGTCCGCACTCGTCAGGGAGATTTCGAACTCTCAGCAGATAAGATTTTAGAGTATAAGGATCTTGAGGCTGGTGAAGAGGTATGGGGACCAAAAGTGCAGAGGTTCCTAGATGAGTGGCAGGAGAAGATGAAAAGCAAAACCGAAGAAAATGGAAGTGGGAATGAGAGCCAATGAGTGATGAGGCGCACATATGTATGATGAACAATGTCGAATATACATAGGCCATTTCCTAGACATGGTTAGCTTGCATAATCTTGGCCATGGGGACCCTCGTAGTATGTCCGGAGTTTATAGATTCGATCATTCTTCTCCTAGAAGTATCTACCAAGGGGTGAGAACTTAAAAGAGGAAAATAGAAACAGTCCACCTAAAACAAGTCAATGGGTGACGTTGTCTTTCTTCACGAGGAGCTCAGCTTGAAAAATACTCGGGCCCAGTCCAAGATTGAAGAGCAAAATAAATAGATTAGAATTTTGATATCGCGTAAAACACGCCGCGTATAGCTGGTAGCGAATGGCTTGTCTCGCTAAAACGAGGATTTGAGCGGGATAAAAAAAAAAAAATAATAATAGGAAAAGGGGTATCGAAGGTAATGATGAAGCTCGAATATTTTGTTGGTGGCCATCCAAGAACTGAATGGGTGAAAAATATGGATTTGTAGCCCACCTATTGAAAAGTGAAAACAAACGAAACAAAAAGCGAGGGAGAGAAGAATCGAAGGGAGGTATCGTAACAATGCATAACGGTCAAAGGTTGAATGAGAAACGGGAAGCCCAAGTGTTCTATCCCTGCCATCGGAAAAGGCTAAAGGAAAGGCGAGAGATCTGCCATTGTATACACAAGAAATATAAAAGAAATAGAAATCGAAAATAACTAATAGTAATTGAAAATAACTGGTAGGTGGAAAGGAAAATAAGTTGTCTGACTCCAAGAAGCAAAAGTGCAAATCGAAGAGTGACGAGAGGCGAACTTGGCAGTTATCGATGCTGATATGAATTGTGGGCTTCGAGAAGTACTGCAAAACATAATTAGCTCCGGGTTTCACAAAGTGATACGTTGAAAGTTAAACTTACTCTGAAGAACAGCTTTCTGGCCGTTCCTCGACTCACAGGCGCATTGCAAAGTGCTTCCGTTCTTGAAATCTAGCACAATACTGTTTGGCAATTCTTGTCTATCCTGGTCTGGTAGAGATGGCGTCCGAAATTCAGAGAGGTGATACCGTTTGATAATATTTCTTGTGGTCCCATCGATGGTTCCCGGGGTCAAGATGAGGTATCCGTGGTCATCGATACGCATAAATCGGCGTTTCCAAAGCAGCGTATCTGGGAATTGCACGTTTACCTCCCCAATATCAACGACTTGTGGAAGTTCTGGACTTTGTTCCTCTTCTTCTTTTGGTGGCGGGGTTGGTGGGTCTTCTTCCTTCACTGTTGGGCTGAGAGCGTTGATTATACCCCGCCGGGAATGTGATGTTATTGTCGACATACGCCGCATCAATCGCGACTTTCTAGACTCTTTCTTGTCCTCTAGTACTTCATCAACACTATCGAGGTGGGTGTGTGTATCAGTAGATAAGCGTGGAAGGGGACCATCCAACTTAGAGCGTGACGAAACAGAGAGTTTGCTTGTAGTTGAATCAGAACGTCGTAGAGGAATTGCATCAGGAATGTGCTTGGAGCCAATGGACGAAATAGACCAGCGTTTTCTTTCTTGTTTTGGTGGTGGGGATATTGGCCTTGTTGAATGTGTTTCGCCGTCGCCGTCATGTTCGACTATCAACTGGCTGCGCTGAAGATTCAAAACACTGGGCTCAGAGGGATCGACAGAAGGATCTGGAGGAGGAGCAGAAGGGTCACGAACGATCCGGGCGGTCACAGAAACTGAGTTTGGCTTTCCCTTCGTTGAGCCAGTGGGAGAGAGTGAATCGTTGCGTTTAGGTATTTGGTTACTACCTTCTTGTGCTGCTTGGGATTTATTCCCCTTAGGGGTACTAGGAGAAAGCACATTAGCCGGGCTCATCGTGGCTCGTTTGCGGAATTTCTCGAATGGAGAGGTTGAAGTGGATGACGATGGAACTACGGGTGCATGGCTCGGGCCGGACTCGCGGCTAGAAAACATCTCCAAGGCTTTAATGCGTTTAGAGATGCCCGAGGAAACATTGACTTTCTTTGCCACGAGTACCGGAATCGCATCCTGATTATTGAAGTACGACCCTGATGCAGATCTTCCGATAGGGAGCGCCTGTATGTCTATGCCACCGGCACTTGGATTTGATACAATTCGAGAACCTCTCCACCTCTCCGAAGAAGAAAGATCTCCACTCGTGGAAAACGGGGTAAGAGGAGTCTTAGGCACAGCGACTGGTTTGGCTTCCTGAACAGTTGCTGATTTCAGTTCTTCCATGAACGAATCATCCGAGAGCAAGTTTTCTTCATCCAAGTCCTCATTGCGCCCCGGAATATGGATAGGCTCAAGAATAGCACGACGTTTCTGTTTGCGATCATTGTGCTTTTCATTATCTCCTTGAGATTCTGGATCTTGCTCTGTGTTTTTGTCTTCAGCGATAGGCAATGAAACGTCTGACTGATATTGAGAGACCTCGGTATCAGGCTGAGATATCTCTTCACTTGCATTCGTAGACCCCGGTCGTTCGATAGAAGAACGCTCTGATTCAGGATCCGTTGTCTGAGAGAATTCAACCGGAATTGCGCGTGGGGTAGGGGTATCTGGACATTGAAGATCAGATGGTATCTCAATCTCACATGGGTTGATGTCCGCCGGCTCCCTAGCATCCAGAGACTTATTTAATTGCGTGAGTGTATCATCCGCCGAAGCTGTCGTCTTTCCAGCAGGGCTAGGGCTAGACGGGGGATGATCATGTTGATCGGCCTTAGATAGTTCAGTAACATCAGTATCAGGAGTGTGGGGCGTGCCTGATGAAAGAGCCAGAGATGAAGATGCTTCAGCATGATCAAGGACCATGGACGGCGTCGAAACATCCTTTTGAGGGGTCTGTTCAGCGACAGAGAGATCAACGGCTGAGTCAAGTTTGGATGGGTCACCCACTGGAACTTTCGCTTCGGCTTCAACAGCCGCAGGCAGTTCGGGAATGCTTTGCGATGAGTCCGCTGGTTCTTCTGGTTTTGTCTCTTGTACTTCTTCAACTTTGATTTCACAAACTTCAGGCTTGACACAGGGCCTCGTTAAAATATCTTGGGACGTATCATGCTTCAATTCTCTCGGTTCCGCCTCTTCTTGTTGATTGCGTCTCTTGGCTTCCTGGGATTGTTTTTCTATCTGTCTTTTCCGTAATTCTAGAGCCTTCATTAGCCTTTGCTTCTCCGGAGTCACTCCGGTCGAAGAAGCAACGCTTCTGGCGGATTTAGGGGAAGCAGGTGGGTTTCTCGAAAATGAACCTAGGACGGGGGGAGGAGGCAAAAGTGTGGGGATTGGAGGGGCATCCGCAAGAGTTGGAGGAATAAGATCCGGTTGAGACTTGGGTCGAGGAGCATAGCTTCTTCTGCTGGTTAACCGAACACCGGCAGGGAGTGCGGCTACCGGACGACTTTCACGCGATCTACCCATAGATCCGGCGGTGCGAGGTCGGCCATTCACATCCACTGACGGGCGAGGTCCTAGTTTTATCTTTGGTGGACGTAGGCTCGCTTGGTCTAGATCTCTAGTTGAGGGCCTTGAAGACTGAGTTGATTTTCGCGGCTCATTCGCGCACTGGGAGAGTTGATCCACTAGGTTTTTGTGAGCTACCCCGTTTGTTCGACTCCGTGTGTAGTCGTGTGGGATAGAAGGCAATGGTTTCTCAGACCTATGGTCTGAGTAGCCTCTTGACCGTATTGACGCAGTTTCAGCCACTGAAGGAGCCTGTGATTCTCCCGCCTTATAACGCCCTGGTACAGCTGTGGCCTCGGAAGTTCGACTATAAATACTTCCTCTCCGGTCATCAACAGCCAAGCTACTCTCGGCGATCGATCTATCCGCGATCGAGGCACTCTCTTCCACTTCAGCGTCTTCTGTGATCTCTCCTAACTGGCAACGTCTTAAGGAACTGGAGGATGAGGTCATGGAGCGAGATGCGGTATGGAGCAAACAGGCGGACGATAACGCATTTTCGGTAAGTTCGGAGGAAACCGTCAGAGAAAAGACTGTGTCATGCGGTGAAAATTTATCCAATACCGATTGGAACTGGACGGAGATCCGTGCTAGGAGTAGAAACGTCAGCGTCTAGCTCCAAGAGAAAAGGGGCCTGACCTCCAGGGGAAATTGATAAAGACAAGAGGTCAACGCCATTGTCTAAACAGGAGTACCTTGCAAGATCCTCGAAACCCCCTCGGGAACATATCTCAGTATGACTTTCCTCCGGCGATATTGTAAGAATCCATAGAGCGGAGACTTCTCTTCGTAGCTATCGATTGTAATGCGGATTTCAGCGACGCCGCCCGTACCTCTGGCCAGAAGCGCGACCACGTCTCTGGAGACATATTTGATAAGGAACCTGCATAAAAGATTGACCAATCTGTTAGTAAATGCGATGGATAAATGATTTGCATGTTTTGATTGTCGCTTTTATCGGGACGAAGAGAGGATAATGGGCAAACGATAAATAGGCTTTTCCATGAACCAAAAAAACACAGCAAGAACTCACCACCCTCCGGCCTCGGTCAAGGCAGTCTGGTAGGACTCGATGATGGCTGGATCATCTAAGCCATTAAGAGACATATCTAGCTATCTTCCAACATTGGAATTGGGCCAAAGCGAACAGGGGACTCTCCCTCCTGATTCAAGCGACCGGCGGCTGTAATCAGAAAGGACTGACTGGGACAAAAAGGAACAAAGAACAAAGGGAAAAAAAGGGGAGATCAAACGAAGGAGAGAATGGAGAATTGCTAAGAATGATTACTTCATGGAAAGGATCAATTGGCTTGGGCAGCACTCAGGGAGGTTTTCTGGAAGTGAGATGGAGAACACGACAAGATGCAACGGGGGAAGATCGCTCGCCAGTGTGGAGCAGCGCTACAGACTAACTCGTTCGATCGCTCCAGGGTGTTTGGGCGAGAAATAAATAGGAGGCGCGAACTCCCGCCCGTCATCTCTCCGCTGCCAGTTAATTCGCCGGCTCGCTAATTTAACTACTCTTCGTTAACACAAGAGTTCGATTCCGCAAAATTAGCTCGAGAGCAACGAGTACTCCATAGCTATGTAATATCATGGCTGCGATTG